GGAGTTGGAATATATTTAGTTACTTTCTTGGAGTAATGTGAAGTGAAGTGTGAAGATAAAGAAACCTGGCTTTGTGTTATACGATAGGATATAAGAGAGTGCAGTAAAGATGATGATGATGATAGCAAGAAGAAGGAATATGTGTGAATGAGTAAAAATAGATAATTTTTTCTTCTAATTTAGGATATGTTATAGCAGAGTGTGGGGTGGTAGTGATGAGGATAAAAAAAGCAGACGTGTATGATGTACGAATGAGCATCAATGGGAATTTCTGCTGGTATGAAGAGTTTTGATGAAAGTTAGGATAGAGAATTGATGTGAGAGAAGAGTAAAAAAATTTGAATGTGAATAGATCGTTTGGTTGATGATACAAAAGGTATTCTAACAAAAAGAAAATCAATTATTCGAAAATTATTTCATTTAAATAATAAATTAATTTATTCATCAACAAATAACCTATGCTTTTTATTTATTGTTATTAATTAAATAAAAATAAATGTTGTATTGTAAAGTAAAGATAAATAATATTATTCTGTAATATATCATTGTTAATTAATTAAAAAAAAAAAAAGTAATTTATATCTTGCAAACCAATGAATGTTTATAGATAGATAAGTAGTTGACATTTAAGTAGAAGAATTGAAATAGATAATAATTAATTGATGATTAATAAATAATAAAATTTATTAGAATGTCAATTATTGATTGCTCATTTATTTAAATAAAATATCAGAGTTAAATAATTTTTATTCTAATCTAATTTAAACTTTAAAGACATTCATCTTCTAGTTCAAACTTTTTAATACATTTAATAAAATCTTTTAAAATGTCTTAATACTCTGATCCTCTTTAAGACTTACATAAAATTAAAAAAAAAAAAAATAATAATCCTTCTCAATTATGATAATAATATGTTAATATCTACTGTTTGATATATATCTACTCTGAACACCAACAGGATTCAAATAATTATAATAATAATAATTTTCCTGAAAATATGTACATAAAATTGTTATTATTATTCTACCTAAAAAAAAACCTATTTATTTGCTCCAACAATTCAACATTCCAGTTGAAATATTCCAACTTTTATTGAAATATTACTTTTCTTGATCTGAATATTTAAATATACCATAAAGAATGTTGAAATCATTGATACTTTGCATAAAAAAAATTTTTTTTGTTTAAATATCTTTTTGTCATGACAATAAATTTTTTTTTTTAATCAATATTATTCACTGATAATTTTTCTTTCAATTAATAAATATTATACAATAATAAATAATTCCACATATTTTTGATATTTAAATATTTAATAATAAATTTTTATAATAATCAAATGTTAAATATTTAGTTTATATTGTTTTGTTGCTAGAATGAACACTATTCAATTGTCAGTCACTCCTTTCTCTTTATCAAATTCCATAGAGCGAAAGAAAACTCATATTGTCTATATATATATATATAGGTATATATATACATATATTAGACGATGGTTACATGAACTTAATAAATAATATTTAATCAATTCCACCATATTGTTTTGGATTATTCACGGGCTGAATTTTTCAAAGGAGAAAGGTCGATGTATCGGAGTAGTTGCATTAATTTGAATTTTAAATTGACTTATGTAAATGACATTGGAAATTACATATATGCAAAATAATATAGTGATAGATATGGGATACATTTTTAGACACAATTAATTTTATATAAAAACCATTCTCCATTTATTGGCAGTGGATCAATAATAATAATGTCCTATCATAAAATGTGAGCTCGATAAATTGATGCATAAAATTATACTTTATGTTTATATACAAAAAAATTCATCAATGCTACATTTCATCAGATTATTGTAACATAATGTTTATTACTTCAGTTTGCATAATTCTAATTTACCATATTTCATTGGACAATTATTTATAAATATTTTTATTTAAATTAATATAATTTAATCTTCAATGCTAGTCTTACTAAAAAAAAAATCTCAATTGTTTATTTAAAAATATTAATTGAAGATTTTTTTTTAGTAATGCTAGCATTAAAGATTAAATTAATAAATTAAAATAAAAATATTCTTTTATTGTAAAAGATATTCAATTTTCTATTGTTTAATTTAAATCCTCAATTAATTAAATTGTTTAGTAATGATTTTGTTGAATAAAATATCTTTAAAATTCATAAATGACCTCGAGGTCATTTAAAAATATTAATCCTAAATAGATAAAAGAAAAGGATTAAAGACTGACAAAATTTTAAATACTCCAAACCTTCTTCATCAACTCTACTACCGACGGATAAAAATATAACGACCCCAAAATGCTACTTAAGGGCGCATGTAAAATTTTATGCTCAAATAGAATATAAATCTAAATAAATAAAAAGTTCAATCCCAGATACCTTCAAGTCATATATAATCAGAATAAATGGAATTTTTATCATGAAGCTTCTCTGTAAAAATTACCTCGAGCTAATATATAAGTCTTTTTTCCATGCAGAGAGAAAGAGATAACCAAGCTGCTATTTCCTTCTTCTTTTGCCGATGTGCAACGCATTCGTTATTTGATGGCGCGAGACTTCTATTTTTAGGAACAAAAATAGCCGGGACGAGATGGTATAATAGGAAGAAACGTTTTCAGAGAGGCCTCAGGCCAAGTTCACTGTTCAAATCTTCATCTCTTCATCTATCCCTTTATAGTCGCGACTATTAAATCTATTGATCAACATCAACTCTAGAATAAAACATTGGAAATGTAATTGAATGCTCATTTAGAAAAGTAATAGAATCGCTTACTTTATTGAATTCATTTATTCTTCGAGAGAGAATAATTCCTCTGATTTTGATGGAGAAGAAAAAACATTCTTGGAAAATAGTTGATGAATATTAAAATCTCGTTAAACTTTCACTTGAGAAATATTTTACCTGAATCCCTTGAAACTTGATTCGAAGATATTGAGGTCATCTAAATCAACATCTGCTCGACTTTTCATTTTAAATGAAATCGTTATTGTTTGTGATATATCTATACCTATTTCATGTAAAAACCTTTTCCTTATATTGTCGATAATATGTATAAAGAGAGAGAGAGAGAAAAAAAAAGCAGTATTTTGGTAAGTTGCCAGTGGCACAAATGACACTCGACAAACAAATTGCACCTGCTATATATTACCAATAGCTTTGTACTTAGTTTTCGTTATTAAAATGGTAAAGTAAAACAATGTCAAGTGATTTTTTATACACTCAAAAAGGTCTGTTACAAATTTAAAATTTTTTAATTTTTTTTTTACAAGTACTTGTAAAAAAAAAAATTGTATTTATTCATCATCATTGAAATAAAATTTTTAATTAATTCCACACTCTAGCTTTTATCATAAAAGCTGATAAATTAAAAAATGCATTGAATAATTAAAAGTATGAACAATAATAAATAATTTTCATAACTTTTGTAATTTTTAACAATAAAAAAAAAATCACACTTGATTGATGGTATTTAGTGATATTAGAAATACTAAGAAATGAACTGACATTCTTCAAGCTCAAATAAAAATGTCAATAATACACAACCTATCCTTCATTCTGATCTGAAAAGTTTGAATGTCAAACGAAAATAACGCAAATAACCGTTAGAATTTTCCATAATTACATCAACGTTGTTGATAGAGAACACTACAACAAACGCTAGTTCTAAGAATAGTACAACAATGAAAAGAAAAAATAAAAACAAACAAACCTCGTTAAATAACAAGAAAAGAAATGCAAAAATAATTCCCACGCACGACACACTGCAATGAGTTTATTTCTCATAATGAACCGGCGCGAATAAATAAAAGGGGTAAAGAGGGAAGATGCTCAATCATGCGCAATCTTTTTATATTCGTAATTTGACATGAGATTGACTTGTGAAAATTGACGTGTGATGTCTGTGTTTATGCACTTGTTCGAATAGCAATGACAATTTTAATAATCAAATAAACCTAAAATCAATGATAATAAATTAATAAAAGCTAACAAAAATGTCCATTTTCATGAAATTTAAAAACAAAACAACATAAAAGTATTATAAATGAAAAAAAAAATAAAATAAAGGTAAACTTACTATTAAAAACAAGAAGCTTCCTTGTAGACCCTAGTCTCTTTATAGGAGATTTGACTCCATCAATTTCGTGTTCTTCATCCATTTTATAATTTCGATTTTAGTTCACTTCACTAAATACAAAGTTGACGGGGATTATCTTATTCACCCTCGCACACTCGTTACACGATATACAACACAATTGGTTTTTTACAAGCTCCTTCCTTCCTCAACTTATCCTTGTTTTTTTTTTCTTCCTCTTTTTCTCACCTCAGAGAATATCTCTCTGCATTTTCTTCAGCTCGTCCCGAGCGGTATAAGAACCGGTTTGCGAGCACATCGGAATCCGTTTTAAAATCAACGATTGGCACGATTAACACCGTTGACTATCGCTTGGAGTCTAAGCAAAGACTCCTGATGACTCCTTCTGATTTAGAGGTAGAAGTGGACGCACACTTTTCCCTCGCAGGGTTATGGGTGAACGGTGTGCCCCACTGTGTATACATACACAACAACACAATCAGAACAAAACGCGTCTGTCGGTTAATTCTTCTTTCTTTATGCAAACATCACCACCCAAGACGGATCAACCTAGTCGCGACGTAGGTTGCCGTGGCAGTGAAGGAGACCACCGCTGTTCTATGGCCCGATGTTAGCCGGAGGTCAGAGAGGGAGAAACACACAAAGATATTCTTGGAGTCACGCGTGGTTATATTAATTCAGGATTGGGGCCCCATCGCCATTCGCGTCCTTCGAGTTGCCTAGCAACTTTACCTTACAGCGGCCTCTCACGTGAACACACTCACTGCGACATCTATCATCGAAATTTGAAACAGCTCCCGAGCGTCGGTAATGAAACTTTTCAAATAGTCTGTCGACAACATTGAGAACTAGCTTGCTTTTACTATCGATAAGACAGATTTAGTTGTTCAGAAAAACAAAACATTTTTGTTTGTCTTGTAATTGTTGAGTAATCTGAAGTAAATACAAGATAAAATATTCTGTTTAAATAATTTAATAATTAATATTTGTATCTTCTTAGATTGTAATGGTTGCAATGGTTCCGAAAGGTATATTCATAGAATGTTTTATTTATTCTTTTGTCGGTGTTTGAGGTTATACGCCGACACATTATTTATATTTCTATATTTATTGTTTAATACTAATGTTTTGTTAACAAAATAAACTATTTTTATTGACATGATATTAAATATTCAGATGAGAGTTCTGGCAAACAACTAGAGTCAAATGACATTGATAAAAAAGGGTCAACTGATGCAGGACCGGATCCTACTGCTCCGATTACTAGACGAGGTATTTTAACGTCTTTATTAAATGGAAAACCTATGGAAATTCCTGAATCTGATGTAGTAAGTATTTTTGAATTCATTATTATTAATATTACTCTAATATTAATCGTATTGTTAAATTACAATTTTCTGTATAACGATTTTTTAGCTTGGCAAATGCAGATTCGTATCAGAATTCGAAAAATTAAATCGTATAGGAGAAGGAACCTATGGAATAGTTTATCGTGCAAGAGACACAAAAACTGACAAAGTAGTAGCCTTGAAAAAAGTGCGAATGGAGCATGAGAAAGATGGACTACCAGTCAGTGGCCTGCGTGAAATAAGTGTTCTTTTGTCTTGTCGACATGAAAACATTGTCCAATTAAAAGAAGTAGTCGTTGGACGAAGTCTAGAAAGTATATTTTTGGCAATGGAATACTGTGAACAGGATTTGGCTAGTCTTTTAGATAATATGCAGACACCATTCTCCGAAAGCCAAGTCAAATGTATCATGCTTCAAGTATTAAAAGGATTACGGTATCTTCATCATAATTTTATTGTTCATAGAGATTTGAAAGTTTCCAATCTTCTTATGACTGATAAAGGATGCGTTAAAATTGCTGACTTTGGATTGGCACGTTGGTTTGGTTTACCTTTGAAACCAATGACTCCTAGAGTTGTTACTTTGTGGTATAGAGCTCCTGAATTATTGCTACAAGCTAAAACTCAAACTACTTCCGTTGATATGTGGGCTGCGGGCTGTATCTTAGGTATAATTAATTAATATCTCATTAAATAATTAAGTGGAAGAGTCTTTTTTACATTTCTCTATTATTATAATTCATTATCAGTGATTTAAAATTTTTTACAAACAAAATTATTCTGAAAAAAACATTTTAAACTGAAAAAAGAGACCTTTATTTTTTGTCAACAATCAAAATTAAGGTTATTTTTTTTATAATAGTTAATGGTTTGGATAAATAAACAAAAAAATGTTTATGTTATTGATTATTCTGGATATTTTCTAGGTGAATTACTCGGTCATAGGCCATTACTACCAGGGAGATCAGAAATTGCTCAATTGGAATTGATAGTCGATTTACTTGGAACACCAAGTGAAGCGATTTGGCCGGAATTCAATTCGCTGCCAGCTTTACAAAATTTTACTCTTAAACAGCAGCCTTATAATAATTTAAAACAGCGATTCCCTTGGCTGAGTGCTGCAGGTTTAAGGTTATTGAACTTCCTTTTTATGTATGATCCAAAAAAACGAGCAACTGCTGAAGAGTGTTTACAAAGTAGCTACTTTAAAGAGGCCCCTTTACGTAAGTTTTTCTTTTTCTCAAGAATATTAGTCAGGAAATATAAAAAATTAGTAATAAAAATTTATCGATCATAAATAAATAAATAAATAACTTTCTATATGGTAGCATGTGACCCAAAACTCATGCCGACGTTTCCCCAACATCGGAATATGAAAAAAACCAGTCAACCCAAAGAGACTAAAGAACCTGAGGCAACTTCTAGTGATCAAACAAATAATCTCCCAGCAATATCAGATCTTGTATGTTTTATTTTAATCACTTATAATACATAATACTTTATAATTAAACTTAACATTAGGAATAACATTATTAATTGTTTTCTTTTTAATTTCAGCTTGGCTCTCTAGTGAAAAAACGTCGCGCTGAATGATCTCAAAGACAGTAATATCAAACAAAACTTTTAAAACATCATGATTAACAATACATAAAACTATTGTGTCCATCAGGTATTTTAATTGTAGACTGAGTTGACCATGAAAATTTTGCATCATATAAAAAAAAATTTTAAATGCCAATTTGATACCAATAAGATAATCAAACTTAATATTACGTATTTCTAAACTCTTCTCTCTGAAGTCGTAGCTTCAAAACGTTTTTTGTATTCTCCTTTGGGGTCATATTTAGCAAGAAGTTTTTCCCAATCGTTAGCTCGTTTGGACTTCAAATGATTGATTACTTTCTCCACTGTTTCCTTTGTTTTTGCATCACATTGACTGCATCCAGATTTCAGAGCATTAGGAAGAGTTTCTACAAAATAAGAAGTGATTATTTAATTAAACATGAAACATTACCATGTAATAATCATATTAATTAAAAAAACATTAATGTAATTATGAGTTTTCAATTCATTAAACTCTAGTTTTCTTGTACGCAAAAATTACACGTAACCAATTGATGATTACTCAAGCGTTAGAAGCGATCGAGAAAGTTGTGACCTTACATAATCGAGGTATTGAACTTTCCTTTTGATTTTTTCATTCAATATCCATCTTCATAATTTTTTAATACTCATTATTTAAAATTTTTCTTCAGACAAATCTCACTTGATTAAACTGATGATAAATAATTAATCAACTTACTTTTTAATTCTCGACCTTCAGCAGTGCAAGGTACTGAATCAAGTAAACATTGAATGTAACGACTGAGAAGACGTTGATTTTGAAGCACTGTATCGATGTCAGCATTGGCCAATTGTTTTGACAAAGAGGTAGCAGCAAAGGCAACACCAACAAACAACAAAAGAACGACAAGTGTTTTCATGATGACACTGGACTAACAGAAAAAGTGATGATTTGAAAGGTAAACGTCTAAGTGCAGACCCCAGAAGATTACGGCGTGTTATATATAGGAGAGAGTTGGGCCCACTGGTGGGGCATGAAACCATGCTTAAACATCACCACCTCTGTCTCTAGTGAACCTGTCATCTTTGTTTTGTAAAATAAAACAGTTAACAGACACACTTGGATACCCATAAAAAAAAAACGTTGAATAAGTATTCATTATCTAATGCTTTTCATTGATTTTCATTTTGGAGAGCTGTTTTTGATGTTATACAGACTTCAATTTTATTTTAAACCTTATAGGACTAATGGGTTTTTAGTTCAATCATTAATCAAAGTCATTCTATAAAGCAAAGAAGAGATAAGTATTGGAAGAAGCTTTCGATTTATTGAAGAGAAACATTGTGTAATATGCATAAATTAACCACGCCCAAACGTAAAAACCCAACATCGAAAACACTGACCAGGTGAAGGATCGTGAGATATAGTTATTTCTGAAAGAGCCCTCTGAAAATATATCGTGCCTACCTCCACAGACTCTACTAAGCTGGAAGCATCGAGTTATTTTCGAACTGGCTAGTGGAATCGTTTAAACATTCGACGTTCAATATTATCAGCTCGACCAAAAAGAGACCCAGATGTAAAGACATGGATTAAAATGTTTACAAAACAGGACAGGAAGTTGAAATATAAAGTTTTTGATAATAATAGATTGTCTTGGGGGACACATGATTCAAAATCAATTTTTATGGTGTACTATTATTGTAAAAATAGAAGGCAAGATAACTTTGAATGTATTGAGCATCACATAAAAATAGAAATAAATTTAATTAGCCAACTAATAAAAATATGGTTGGGTTATTGAATTATTAAAATAAAAATAGATTGGATGTCAATAGAAGACTTCATTCATGATGATGAAACACTAATTTTTAAGGTGTGTGGAATAAAAACAAAAAAAAAAGAATACAACTATTTAAATGAACATCACTAATTTATGATGATAATATAATATGACTTTAAAGCTCATTAATTAATTTCTTCACGTTTGTACACATTGCAGACATTGCGCAATTCTTCTCTGGTGATTATCCTGTGCATGTGATTGGAGACATTTAAATATGAAAATACCACTAGAATGTTTTCATGTTGACTTCCTCTTGCTCTTGGAACTTCTAAATAACTGGAAACTCACTCACGCACACAAAGACCTTGAAATTGAACGCACACGTTGGAGAACATTATTGAACAGCTACTGAGAAGTCCAAGCTGATGCTACTGAAGAATATTTTTGCACCTCGCTAACCCTGGAAAGTGAATTTATTCAAAATTTAATCAGGTCAAGTGCAAGGAAGTAAGATTATTTAATTTTCAATCTTCATTGGTGGTGATTTGAATGCTAGATTAGACAGTGAATGAATTAAATTGACTAAATATCAATTAACTTGATGATAAAAAAATATATTAAACAAAAAAGAAACTTACCATTTTTATCGAAATGATGGGGAATATTTATCTTTAAAAAAGACCAGAGTATAGCAGCCATAAACTGATCAACAATGCAAGCAAGATTAAATAGGTGGTCAGAAGGTTGCGCGTTTCATGAGCTCCTGGCATTTTTACTTTTTATGTTCACTTAAAAAATACTACGAAGACAAAAAAATTGTTCTTAATGAACAATACGAAGTAGAGTAATTAAAAGAAGAAAACAGAATTGCAACGAATGCTGACAATGATGTTGTTGATGATGATTGAAGTGATCAGTGTTGATAAGTCTCGTTGACAAAGACTAGACTTCGTTTAGTTACTGATGAAAGACTCAAGTCTTGACTTAACTAAGAGTCCCGGGTATCTGGACTGTCCCGGAATTCCTCCAGGAATGCCCCACTACCCAGCTCAAACGTTGATCTCCAACTAGCATTGGCAAGCTTCTATACGCCTCCGCAACATCAGCTGAATGACGATACAAACGATAAAAATGGAGACGCACTCGAGTTATATTAAGGTATCTTGACGCCTTGCGGAACCTCGAAAATCTATTGGAATCTTTGGTATATGAAGGTCTTCGTAGCTTTCTAGCTTCTGGGTAAGCTGCTAGGGAAAAAAATAAACAGCAGTCAAAAATATGAAGAGCAAAAAGAAATAACAAAAGCAAAGAATGTGTCATGAAATAGCAGATAAAGTGATCGTTCTTCGTACCAAATGCAAAGAATTAATTTCAATATAAATTTCAAGGTCGGTAAGAGTGTTTAGGACATTGAACTACATTGAGTTAAGGTGCCAAGAGTCATCCTCAGAGATTTTTTAAACTTCATCACAACGCATGGCTTGCATGTTATGCATCTTAACTGTCTTCAAGGTGAAATGACATGGTTTTACTTTGGCTTTTTATCAATTTTACTTCTTTTCATGTCTCTTTGACCTAATGATTGATGAAAGGATAAACCATATGTCAGTTAAAATCTTCAAACGTGAGCTATTTAATTATAGTTCTTTGTTAGTTAAGTTAGTTAGCTTTTGCTAGTTAAAATAATATTTCATGGAAGCATTTACTAATACTAAAGAGCTTAAAAAAAAAAAGTAAGCTTGCCAAAAAATTTCTTTCTTCTTAGTCTAAATTTATTTCAAATATGATCATTGTTTTTTTGGAACGTTTAAAGTATTTTTTTTTCTAAAATTCTTAATACTTTTAGACGTCATTCGTATGTTTAATATGCTTCAATCGTTGTTGACATAAACGATTAGTTTGTTTTATTGATAGAGTCATTTTTATTCTATTTGGTTGTCAGAAAATATAAGTAGGCCATCAAGGATGAACAGCTACTACTTTTTTTACTATTTTATTGATTGTTTTCTTTGAGGCTTTGATGTTGTAAACAAATTTAAGATTGCTCAAGACTAAAATGATTATTTTTTAAAACATAAAAAAATGTTTTATCATAAACAATTCTATTTTATTGACAATCATACACATTTTTTGAGACGAAAGAATTATGAGGTAGAATAAACTATGTACAGAAATAAGTTCTTAACACTAGATATTTACATATTCTTAAAAAATAGATTTTTAAAATTCTACTCATGACGTATAATTACGAATTACTGAGCTCGTCGTTTGAAGAACTTTTCTAGATAATCTCATCGACCCAGACACTGGATCTCTACCGAAATATTTTACTTGTATTTCCTGTCCTACTTCAATACCTAAAACACTAGGATGTAATACCTGTCGTTGGTCTAATTGTGAAATATGTAGTAAAGTTGGCACCATGTTTGGATATAACGTAACCATTACCCCTTTCTCTTTTATTTCAACGACCTTGGCAGTGTAAATACCGCCAAACTCTAAATTTGGAATTTTTTCTTCTTTTAGAATTGAATCAATCATTTCTTTAGCTTCACTCATCGCTGTATTGTTGGGAGCAAACAGTGAAAAATTATTATCTTGAGTTGAAGTAAGTACACTAACACCAGTTTCTAAATATATTTTCTTTATATTACTGCCATTAATGCCAATAAATTTCCCTCTCAAATGAGCCGGAACATCAATATCTTGTGTTATTGGCAAGTTGGATTTTCCCATTCTTGGTGCAGCTATAGTAGAATTCATCTTTTGAATAATTTCACTTTTAGCTGTAATTGCTCGACTGATACTTTCCATAATTATTTTTAACGGTAAACCCGGTACTTTTATGTCTGCTTGAACAGCTGTAATTCCTTTCTTCGTTCCAGCGATTTTGAAATCCATGTCTCCTAAGTAATCCTCAATTCCAAGAAGATCAGTAAGAATTTTGTAATCTGTGATTTCTCGAGTGTCGGAATCAAATTTGGTAATCAGTCCTATTGCCACTCCAGCTACGGGAGCAGATATTGGAACTCCAGCATCAAATAAAGCTAAACTTCCTCCACAAACTGAAGCCATTGATGATGATCCATTGGATTCCAGGACTTCACTGGTTAATCTAATGGTAAAAGGGTAATCTTGAGGAATAACCGGTCGTAATCCACGTTCTGCAAGAGCTCCGTGACCCATTTCTCGTCTTCCAACAGCTCCAGTGCGTCCTGTTTCCTTCGTTGCATATGGAGGAAATTCATAATGAAGAAAAAAATTCTTTTCTTTCAGTCCAGTGGTCAACATTGATATTGTATCCATTTTCAAAGCACTATCTATAGAGTCTAAAGTGACAGAACAAAGAACTTGAGTTTGTCCACGTTGAAATAAAGCCGAACCATGGAGGGGTTTAAAAAGATCCACTTCACATTTAATATCTCGAAGTTGATCCAAACGACGTCCATCACATCTAATGTCATTTTCAAACACTAAAGATCTAAAAGTTTCTTTAGTAATAATATTAAAAGCTTCAACAACAGCAGGAAGGTCTAAATTATCAACACCTTGTTTCATTGTATCTACAATTTGATTTCTTAAATTATTTACAGCATTATCACGTGATAGTTTGTCATGATTAATATCTGTGAAAATATCACGTAATTTAATTTCAGTCAAGTCGCGAACAGTTTTTTTTAATTCATCGGGGATATTAATTAGATTTTCTACCTCTCTCTTGGGTTTTCCATGTTTTTTACATAAGTTCTCGATGCCAACAATGATTTTTTGACATTCTTTAGTGGCAATTTTAATAGCTTTTTTTAAATCCTGTTCCAAAATAATATCTGCTGAACCATCTAACATAACTATTAAGTTATGATTAGCAGCAGTTACAATTAAATTTAAATTACTCTTCTGTATTTCATAACGAGTTGGATTAATTAACACTTCGTTGTCTATAAAACCTACTCTAACAGCTGCTACTGGACCATTCCATGGAATGTCCGAAAGTGCTAGAGAAGCTGAAGCTGCATTGATAGCTAATACATCAGCTTCATTAATTCCATCAATGGCTAGAATATTACACATCACTTGGGTATCATAAGCATAACCTTCTGGAAATAAAGGTCTTATCGATCTATCTATCAGTCTACTTGTAAGAATTTCTGATTCAGTTGGAGCTAATTCTCTTCTTAAAAAATTAGTTGGTATACGTCCAGCAGCCGCTGCTTTCTGTCTATAATCCACAATTAAAGGAAGAAATGAATTTGAAGATGCATAGGTTTTACTAACTGATGTCACCATCACAGAAGTATCCCCGGCAGTTACAATAGCACATCCATCAGCAAATTTTGCAAGTTTACCAGTAGAAAGTGTTAGATTTTTTTTTCTGAAAATATTAATGTTTAGGTATTTCATTTTGTTTATAAATATGTACATGTGATTGGTTTATATCAATACATAACCTAATCGTTTATTCAAATTACAAGATTCTTACTCATTTTCCAATGGTATTTGTACTTTCGATTCTTGCCAGTTGATAGAAAACTTTCTTGATTGAATAAAAAGTTTACTTTTATTTCGACATCGGCCATGGTTTTGTATAAACCTAATTTTATTATTTGAAATTAACCTAAAGTTTATCAAACTTGCCATTTTTAAATTCTTGTGAAATAACGTGTGAAGTCGACCACTCGATGATTAACGATTGATAAAACAGAGCAGCCTTGATAAATTTTGAAAACGTTTTTCCACCTTTTAAAAATAAAATAAAGAAATAAATTACTTTTTTTCTCATGATTGCTAAATTTTTATAAAATATATACTGAATTGTATGAATTTAACTATGTGCGAAAAAATATATTTGTATTTATTCAATTCATACATTTTTATCAATACAATCTATCATTAATGTAATTACACTTGGGCTTACTCACTAAAACGCAATAATGTATAATAAAATAACTATTCAATAACTGTACAAATATAAGTAATATTATAACATCAACAATAGTCCGGAATTTAATAGAATAACTTTTTCCAATAAAGTTTATTACATTTAGTCGTGCATAACAATTTACAATCATCTCCAATCAGTCTTGATTAGCGAAACGAATTTGCCAGATATTTTGACGGTGTTCTGTTGTTAAAATTGGATTTAAAATTTGACTTAAAGAATCAATTCTGTGGTGAAACCGTTCTCTATCAGCACGAATTGTAGTCCAATGTCCAATTCTTGCTGCCTTGTACGCAGACTTCCAGTGGAACATTAAATGAACTACTGGTTGAAGATTAAAACGAACCTTTAATAAAAAAATTTCTGATTAAAACAATATGGTTATCTTAATCTAGAATGTGCTACTTAATTTCTAGTTTAATTTAAACTATCTAATTTAAAATCATGACTCACCTTTCGACCTGATTTTTTATTATTATCAGGCTCTTCATCATTCAATGTCTTACAGTCAAAATCAGGATAATCATGCTCGTCTTTAAATACAATAACACAACTGCCTTCTGAATCAATAGAGCTTTCTGAAGAACGTCTTGATCGACAATTATTACCTACAGGTTCACGTTGTTGGAAAAATTGTTTTGATTTCGTAGATGGTTGATTTTCATCATGATCAACATCTCCATCACTCGATGATTCAGAATCACAAGTCAATTCGGTTTGTGATTCCTCTTCGAAAACTATAAAACTATCTTCTGAGTCTGTAGAACTTTCAGATGGTTCTCTTGATCGAAGTTGAAATTTCCCTGAAGTATTTTGTCTTTGTGATTGCTTCGAGTGGTAAAAGTTCTTTATAGGACTTTCACTGTCAGATGATGATGATGATGAATAACTCAAGGTAATTTTTTCTAGAAACTCTAAGTCTTCAACAAGCTTGCTATTTATATCCTGATCATCGACTAGATTGGTATCAACTTCTGGACTATCATTGTCAGTTATATTTGTAAAGTTTATATCTTCTTTACTGGCACTTTTCTGGTTACTTTGTACTGCTGACAAAGGACTTCCGTAACTCGAGAAATTCATGTATTCTGGTTTTAAACAATTTTCAGTATAATCGTCATTCCACGTTTTAACTAAAATATCATCATTTTTGAATTTTTTATGAATTGGTGGGTTCGGTCTATATTTAGTCGTAAACATTTCAGAAATTTGAGCTGCTCCATTGCCAAATGTTGCAGAATTTGTTGGTAATTTGTTCATCCTATCAAATAATCCTAAAGAATTTTCACCAGATACTAAACTTTCTGAACTACCAGTTAAATTATGAATAATATCCTCTGGTGAAAGTATCCCTTCATTAGGTACAACAGTAACTGACAAAGGACTATTGATGTTTGACATGAAGTTTGGAATTTTGGAAACTAAATTTTTTAATGACCCAAACATTCCTGTCATACTCTGTACAATATTTTTTTTGGTATCACTAATACTATCCACAGTGTCATCCATGCTTACTGAATGGTTTAATTTTTGAGTTTTAGAAAAAGGCAATTTAAATAGTCCTGAATCGTGACTTGAATACATTTTTGAATTAGAAATCAAATTAAATGTTGGTGGGTAAGATGATCCGAGGAATAAATCGGATATTTCGAAATTTAAAGATCTTGATCTCCTTGGTGATTTCTCCATTTTTCTTATATATTATTCAATTTTCCAAAATTTATTCTATACAGTTTTTTATTATTTTATTCTAAAGTATTCTGTAATGATAAACATAAGTACATATATTAATCAGTTATAAAGTAAAAAAAAAATTTAATTAAACTATAAAATATTGATGAATGGAATTTTAATTGTTTCTCATTTCAAGTTTGTGATATAAAAAAAAAAAAATATGTTATGATTTGATAGCTACATTACCTTCGATATTTTATCAATAATTTCTTCTCACACATAGATTAAAAATTAAAGAAAAACACAAAAATACGTTACATATAGAACCAATGAAGCCATTCTGGATTGAAAGATAGTTAAAAGTGAAAACAAATTTCAAGCCTGATGAAAAAATATGCTGATAGTGAAAGGAAATTATAAACATGATAGTATCGTGGAACGAGTCATTTTCATACGATGAACTACTAACTAATCTTAAAAAGAAAAGATTACATAGTCACATAAGAAATCATCACCATTTCACAAAAATGAATCAGAACAATTGAAATAAATTGACAAATATGAATAGATGTGGTTAATATTAATCAATAAATAATTACCAATTAACATGACTTTCCGATATTTTCATTAAATTTATTTTTCCATATGATAGAATGTTAGGTGATAATCTTCTTGGCTTTATTCCAATTTGACAGTTGATATGGTTTGAAAAGTTTACAAGCTCAATATCCAACTTATCATTGACAATTAATTTAGAAGATTCCATAGTAAAAACACACATTTTTATTAACTATTAATGAAATTCTTACGAAGCCATTCTTGGTAATGATAAACCTCGTGAACACTCTCTAAATACGTGCCATACAATAGCGCGTGTGTAGCATTTCTTTTTTTTCGTTAATTTGTCTCACGTGAGAAATTTGATCGCATCGTAGATCGATAAACCAGAAAATATTGTCTAGATTTACCGGCTGATAATCATCATTGTCGTGTTAGTTCTTTAATCAAACGTTTATATCAATTGGCGCTACTTTCCTTATCATTTTTGTTTTCTGACACGGCCTTTCTGTCGGACGTAAAACGTCATTTTTGTTATCATTTTAAATAAAAATAATTCGTAATCAACCCATTGATGGTAGTAAATCACCTCCATTGTGACAAATGAATAATATAATCTATCTCGTTTCTTGAAGTGCAAGTAGAAGCTGTGGGTCAAAGTGCAAATTGGTTTTGTTTAGTTGAAAATATCACTGTAACCTAACTTTAGTGGAAAATAGTATACTGAAATAAATTTATATTAAATCATGGCTTTAACAAACATCTTGTTGATTAGTCAAATAGCTGGTTATGTAGTGGCTCTTATTTTGTCGTTATGTATCATTGTTCCTATGAGCTTACATCAAGATGAATTCAGGTAATTTTTAGAATTTTAATATCCTCCAACATTTAACTTGGAGTAATATGCCCAATTTTTTTTATTTACTCTTTTATTAATTACTCAGTGCAATTAGTTCATCACAATGACTCATAATTGAACGCTATTTAATCTCTATCAATTATTTCCAGGGGTCATTGCCTTCTATTCTCAACAGGAGTCTGGCAAGAAACTGATGGACAATTAGTGGTCCAATGGGCCTCCCAAATTTACTGCAATTATACCATATTTGTTGGGCTAGTTCTCTTCCTGACTTCCATATACCAAATCTACAGGCTTTCAATGTTTATGTATCGTGGAGAAGATAGTTCGTTCCTATCAGCATTCCTTGATGTCGTGAGCTCCGTTTTTCTGACACTAATAACTTTAATCGCCGCTGTTTTTATCACACTGGGTTTCATGAACTGGTGCCAATGTATGATCAAAAGATTTCCATCTTGTGATTTGGCCGCTGGCAATGATATTGACAAAGTAGACCACATTGACACATCAGGATTCTACATAGAACTTGGTGTTGCTCAGTTTGGAGCTTGGAGCAGTCTCTCTATCTGGGTGGGATTGTCCGTTTTTGCTGTGTTAAAATTACTCAAATACCATCAGCTTGAAAATATGAAGGTGTCGATGTATAGAGAGAGACAAAGGTTGATGGAGGCTGCTAGTAATAGCCAACCTCATGAAATAAGTTAACTTTCTAATATTATTTCGCTTCCCACAAAATTCAAACTATTAGGAGACTTTTTTTTATGCAGCTAAGTGCTTTCATTATTTTATCTTTATGATTGATCTGAATGTTTATTTAGATTACGTTATTGTATTGTAATCTTGTTTGATAAAAAATAATTTCCACAAGGCTTATTTAATCAAAAATGCAAAAGACATTATTAAATATTAAGAAAATACAAGAATATTTTAATGGCTCGAAATATAATAACTTTCTGATTAATTATTTTAAAAAAATGTTATTTAGAAATAATTTTAAGTCATTTTTTAAAATTAATATTAATTAAAGATTGCTTTAAAAGTTTACATATTTATATATCACTCATTAACTAGGTAATTATTTTACTTTACATATACAGTTTATATTTAGAAAGAAATACTCTTATAATAAGTGAATAATTATTTTTTATATTTGATTTTCTCAAAAAAAAAAAGAAACAAAAAAATTAAAAAAGTGTTTTATATTTTTAAAAAATCGATTTATTGGATTAGATTGTGTATTATGAATAATTTATTATTTGATGAATAATTATGATAGTGCCGACAGAAGCATAAATTTTAGTCAGTATTAAAGAAAAACGAATAACATTAAGCGAGTATGTTATATTTTTAACAAAAAAAATCAATTTTCGTCGTTACAGAGTGTATGTACATATCATGAACAAAAAAAAGTCATCATTCATAATTATATGAATATTTTGCTAGAGTTCATAGAATCTCTAGCTAGTTTTATATAAAAAATAATTATTTTAACGTATACGATAATTAAATCATTTATATATTATATAATAATAATAATTTATTATCTGGTTTCAAAAGTATATCTACTATATATTATTTCCTTGTAAATAAATTTCTATTGAATAAAATAATCTAGAATTTTAGGAAAAAATTAGTTTTTATTATATATTGAAACTATTAGTTAATTCAAATGGTTTAAAATCATTTTTAATTGATGATCATTTTTATTTAGAATTATTTATGGACCACGAGCAGGTCTTTTACACATTCCAAGAGCAGTTCTACGACTTCCAGGAGGACAAGGAGTTGTTGGAGCATTGATTATAATAAACGGAGCAACATCAGTTGGAATACATTGGATTTGAAAGGTGGTTTCATTAACTCCAAGAACTCCATCAGGAGCACAGGGTCCTCCTTTTGTACGCAAATTATAGCAGACGTCATTAAAACGTACTTGACCGTCAATCTTACAAGGATTCGGTTCACATTTTGGTAAAACTTCACCAACAGGAAGGACAACATATTCTTCTGGCTGACAAGGACCTTGTCTATAAGCCTCATGGCATTCATTGCTCAAAGGAAAGTAAAGAAATCTTGGTCTACAATCACAGATCCAAGCACTCTTGTTACCACCTCCTGGATATAGCAGCATATTTTCTGGACATTTTTCTGGGATATAAACCGGTATTCGTTCCGTTACCTGAAGAAAAAAAAAATAAGAATAAGCATCTCATCAAAGCGGCCATAACTTTTTCGTTACTTACCAGTGGTTTATTCCCACTTAAATGTGTCACTTCTTCATCAGTTGGGAAAACAATATCTTGACATTTACATACGAAAATAATTAACAAATAAGTCAACAAGTATCTAAACATTATTTTCAATCAAAATAAACTGAAACTTTAAACAACAGTTGAGACTCGTCTAATAATATGACTGACTGTTCGACGTATTCTGGAGCAACTGAGGAAGGACTGGTTTTCCCTTACTATTATTAGATATTCATCTATGGAACTGCTATACAGGCTCTTAGTTCAATAAAAATTTTAAAGGAAATTCTCCGACATTCAGAGATAATGGTGTGATTCATTGACATTATGTGACATTAAATTGTTAATTCCAAGGCAAACTGGTGTCGAAAAAATAAAAAAAAATCACTTTTTTAATAACTGACCTTGAAATATTAATTTCTTCAAGAAACAATAGACAAATTCGCAGCACATATTTTCTTGCTCAATTTCATTGAATTTTTTATCTCGAGTATTTTTTAGATTTTTTTTATTAATTGTTGCAAGTAATATTATTATTGTTGTTATATAATCTACTGCTGTGTATTTGATATCGATTAAGAAATTATCAATTTATTCTTAAACATAATAGACCGTCTATAATTTCAAACTTAATCATAATTAGTAACTAGAGATTGATAAAAAATATTTAGTAGTTAAATAATAAAATTTATTTTTGTATCAAACAATTTGATTGAGATTTATACATACATTTAATATGATTTAATATTTTTAAACATATGTAAATATACTTTCATGAATTAAACACAAAACGGTGACCTTGAACTATTCACTCAATAATTTTTCTGAAGAAATAATTATTACGTCAATTTTGTACAATTTGTATTTCAATGTAAAACTGATCAATTATCACCACTTAAATATCTGCATCCTGCAAGTAATGATCAATATAATTAAGCAATAAAAAAAAAACTTCATTAAATAGTAAATAATTTTAAAGAATTCTTCGGCATATTCCTCTAGCAGCCATTTTCGAGCCGGGTGAACAACGTCTAATAGGAGCGACGATGACTTGATAAAGAACCGTACTAACTTCTTGACAAGAAATTTCTAATGTTTTTTCATCGATGACCAAACTTTTTTCATCATCACAGGGAGGTCCGAGTTTTAGAAGTTCATGGCAGGAATTTTGATAGAAAACAGATCCTTCTTTACAAGGATTTTGCAAACATTCTGCTGTGAATTTTCCTGGTTGGAGAATAAAATATTCTCCAGCATTGCATGGTCCTCTGGAGTATGGTTTGAAACACCTGTCTAGAGGTGGATAGTAAAGGTATCCAGAAACACACTCACATTCAATTTCCCCATTTTCTTCGACAATTGTCATATTTATTGAACACTCTTTCTTCATTCTGACCTCCTAAATAAATTTAATAAATGTTATTATCTAATAATAATAATATTAAATGATTTATAAATATTTACCATTGTTTGATTTTTCGATTGACGAACAGCATCACTTGGAAAAACGATATCCTGAGCGATAGATAAAGGCACCAAAATAAATAGAATATATACGAAAATCATCTTGCGGTTGTTTAAAAGTTAATTCCTGGCTGAAACTTAACTCTTCAATGATATTCACTGTTTGATGAGATGCGCAAATTCACAGGTATATTTTAAAGAACTTTAGAAAGTCGTCATTAGCATTGAAACACCTTAATGGAATCAACTGCCTGAATATTTGTATGATTTTTTATTTTATAAAACGAAAGATGAGAATGAAGTTATAAATAAGAATGATTTCTTGTCTACATGGAATGGCACTATCTCCATCAAGTGCTCTTGTAATATTTAAGTTCAAAGTTCACGCATAAATATAAAAAAACTATGAGAAATCTATTTATCACATACATATTTTATTTCTTTCAATTCAAATATACTTGTTTGAGCCCAAGCTTGAGCTATAATGATAGTATTTATTATAAAAATAAAAGCTATCACAGTTCAAGCAGTGTTAGAATATATTTAATAGAAAAATATTTAATATTTACATAATTTTAAACACTGCCTCGACATCTTCCTCTATAATCCATCCTTGAGCCTCGTAGACAGCGTCTAATAGGAGCGACAATCACAGCTGGGAAAGCAATCGTTGGATAAAAAGCTTCTGGGGTTTGATTATCAGCCAGATTTTGGCAAGAAATTTCAAATGTTTTTTCATCGATGACCAAACTTTTTTCATCATCACAGGGAGGTCCGAGTTTTAGAAGTTCATGGCAGGAATTTTGATAGAAAACAGATCCTTCTTCACAAGGATTTTGCAAACATTCTGCTGTGAATTTTCCTGGTTGGAGAATGAAATATTCTCCAGCATTGCATGGTCCTCTGGAGTATGGTTTGAAACACCTATCTAGAGGTGGATAGTAAAGGTATCCAGAAACACACTCACATTCAATTTCCCCATTTTCTTCGACAATTGTCATATTTATTGAACACTCTTTTTTCATTCTGACCTCCTAAATAAAGTTAATAAATTTTATTTTCCAATAATAATATTAAATATTAAATAATTTATAAATATTTACCATTGATTGATGTAGTAATTGACGAACAGCATCACTAGGCATCAAAATGAATAAAATATACACAAAAATCATCTTGCGGTTATTAAAAAAATTATTCCTGACTGAATCTTAGCTCTTCAACGATATTCACAGTGTGATGAGATGTGTATGTATATATATATGTATATATTGTCCAGAATGTTTCCATCTCCATTAACTTATAATTTCCAAGACTAAAGTTCACGTCTGACCATTAAAATACTATGAGAAATTTAGTCATTATATGATAAAAACCAATGAATACACCAGCACAGCTTTAAAAATATTTTATAAAAAAATTTATCATTTTTAGATTAAATAACATTTAATATAAATTCATATAAAATTTAAGAAACTCATCAATAGTTTACAGTCCATCAATAAAGCCCTTTTTTCTAAGTTTATGTACATTTAGAAGTTATTTACAACTAACTTACAATTTTCCTTCATGGATAATTTAGTTCATTGTATAAATTTCTGAATAGTTGGGCATTCCTGATTGTAATATACTCATGAAAGAGCTTGACTCATATCCAGGTAAAGCTCGAAAGATGTTGAATAAATTCAACAGCTCCGGAGATGTTAATTCAGAAAATGTAGAGTAAATATTAAAATTATGATGAATTAAATTTGGTCCACAGCCTGGAATCCATTTCCTTCAATAAAATATATTATTCTTAGTTAACATTAATGAGGTCCTTGATATAAAAAGTTGGATAAATTAATTTGAACATCAATACTTACTCTAGAGTTGGTATGATCCGCGATCGACGATTTTTCATACCCATTCGTAGGAAATGAACAAAATGATACCAATCTGCTTTGGTGAATTTTTGATTAACTTCATCATGATTTGATTCCAACTTAACTACATACACTTTGTCCGCATCGTCTCTGCAATAAGATGCCTTATTCTTCTTTTTCTTTGATGAACAATTAGGTTGAGGGTAGAAATATTTTCGAGACATTGCATCGAGTATTTTATATTTAAATCTAACTCGTAAATAGATATTTCTTGGTTTGTGAAAATTACTTCCAGGGATATCATCGAAAACCTAAACAAAAAACAGTTACTGTTATGTCTTCTATTGAATACTATGTCTGAATTAAATAATAAATTTTTTAATGACTAATATTAAAGCTTAATTAATTTTTGAAGGTTTATTAAAAATGAGGCATTAACTAACCTTCGACACTGATGGTAATATTGCAACATACAGAACTACATGCTCATATTTAAAAGAAATTTTTGGATCTAAAGATGTGAGAAATATAGGTAATTGAATATTAGGCATAGGACCAACGATTTGAAATGAAGGTTTGTTAAAATCATTGGCTAATTCAATTCCACTAAAAACTTTTCCTAGAGTGTCTTCATCTTTTATAAAATCTAAAAAACCTATTTTATGTAGCTGTAATAAATTATATTTCCTAATATGAATTCGCTGGGAATATTTTTTGGACATTGCTTCTAAAGTTTCAATAAATTTTTCTTTCTGTTCATACAAGTAAATTTCAGGAACACCAGCGTCTAGTAATAATTGTGTCAAGAATCCAAATCCTGGTTGCATCTCTAATACAGGTACATTATTTTTTAATAACTCTTTAACAATTATTGAAGCAAATTGCTCGGCGCCTTTCTTATTCAGAAGATACATCATCTTTGGCGTTTTCTTCTTTTCTAAACATTCACTAGGAGCATCTTGTTTATTAAAATCATTCGAATTTTTTTCCGTTGATTGAAGATTTATTTTTCCATTGGAACTCTTTTCAGTTTGAGAACTACACATTTTGAAAAATCGTACATTTTTCTTTGGTAGATATTTCAAATGAATAATTAACCTCTTCAATATCATCTGAAAAGATTCATCAATACTTTTAATTCATTATTTTATTTAAATAATTATAAAAATTTATAAACATACCGCTTGTATCAGTGTACAGTTGCAATTGTTTACAAATAATCATTCATTTGAATATCGTGTTTTTAGGTTATATGGAATTTAATCGCCTACCGACGGATAACGGAACTAAAATATACTTGAAGCTCCATCTAGAGAATTTCTGCAAAACACTATAAACAAAAACATAAAAAATTTTGCCAATAAAATTATTGGAAAAATATTCAATTGTGTCTATAAATGTTAATAGAGTCAAGAGATAATTAATGCACAATTTTTTCGTGATTCAAAAATTACTCCAATTGTTTTTAAAGCATAACCTCCTCAGGTATTCTTCATCTAAGCCATCTATAATTATTATGATTATTTCCATTAGTGTGAATTTTTTATATCATTTCAGATCTTTTGTTTACTTATAAATGTCAATAATATAAAAATGGCACAATGTCATCCACTTGTAACTCGTTTGCTTGCATCTTCTGCAACAGCAGCGGCTCAGGCTGGCAAAATAATCCGTGATATATTTACTCGTGGTGATTTAAATATAGTTGAGAAGGGTGTTGATGATCTTCAAACAGAAGCCGATAGATCCGCTCAAAATTGTATTATTGAATCACTGAGCAGACAATTCCCTGGTATTACTATTATTGGAGAAGAAGGAACATCTAGATGTGAAGTGCCATCAGATTGGATTGTCACCAATGTAGATGAAGAAATTTTGAAAGTCAAACTTCCAAAAGATCTTGAAAACGTTTCCCCTCAAGATATTTGTGTATGGGTTGATCCTCTTGATGGTAAAATTCATTTTAACTTTTTTTTTTTAATCTTAAGAAACATAATGCTTGGTAATTTATCAATCCTTTTCATCAACCCAAGGTACTTCTGAATTCACTCAAGGATTAGTGGACCATATTACAGTATTAGTTGGAGTAGCGGTGGGAACTAAGGCTGTTGGTGGTGTGATTCATCAGCCATATTATAAAGATTTGCAAAAATCGTCCATAGGACGAACACTCTGGGGCATTGATGGCGTTGGAGTTGGTGGATTTATGCCAGTTCCAACTCTCATTGGTCGAAGAATCATCACAACCACTCGGTAAATATATTTTTTACTTAAAATCTCTATTTACTTTTAGGTTTACAATAATTAACAATTATTTTTAGCTCACATTCCAATAAAACTGTGCAAGCAGCCCTAGATGCCATGGAACCAGATGAAATTCTCCGAGTAGGAGGAGCTGGACATAAGGTACTTCTTTTACTAGAAGGTAAAGCTCATGCTTATGTATTTGCAAGTAAAGGGTGCAAACGATGGGATACTTGTGCACCAGAAGCTATTCTCCATGCTGCTGGCGGCAAGTTAACAGATCTATACGGTGACTCGTATTCTTATGATGCCACTACTAGTCATTGTAATTCTAAGGGAGTATTAGCGACTGCACCTGGTGAACAACACTCATGGTATCTGTCACGCATTCCTGATGAAGTTAAACAAGAGATTTAATTTGACTTGACTACGAATATTTGAAAGGTTTTATTATAAAATTTATCTTCAATATTAGGAAATAAAATATTTCGTTTTTAGAATCAGTTTATAAATTGTTTCTTTCGATATATTTTGTGAGTTTGCATTATTTTGATATTATAGTGTATTATTAACAGGTATATGTATAATTAAGTTTTTAGAACATTCTATTATTAAAAATCATTTAATTTATCTTAATTATATCAATTCAATGACTCTATTTAATAATTAATGAACTTTAGGTTTTGCAGATTTCACTTTTTTTAATTTTTTCAGTCCATTTATATTTGTTTTTAAAAGGTTCCAGTATGCTTGCTGGAATTTATTAACATCCTTCGAATGAATCTAGAAATTAAAATTTATTTATATTTAATCTAGTTTTTAGATTAACTATTATACTTATTGTTCAATAATAACTTACTACTGTAGATATTTTTTTCGATCTTAATGATGCTCTGACTAAACAAAGGTATTCTGTTGGTTTGGGTAGAGGTGCTCGACCTTCTCTAGGCACAGGTTTGTTGTGTCCATTGACTAGAATATTTATTATTTATTATACCACTCATATTAATGACTAAGAATTTATATTATAAAGAATATTGTTCACTAATTGAATTGATAGCAGGATATTCACAAATTACTCACATTTTTTGATTGTCATTACTACAGAGCCAGACAGCCGCGATTTATCAAATAATTTAGTCAGTTCACTTAAAAACTGTAAAATAAAGTAGATATTCTATTATAATGGACTTATTTTTTATTAGAGTAAAATATTTACCGCATCATTTTCCAATAAAACCATTCTGATGACAGCATGTGTCTTGACGTTGTTTTGAATATTTTTAATTTAGGTTATGATAAATACATACGTCATTATTGTAACGTCACAATTTTTATCGACAGCTGAAAAAAATACTTTGGGGCTTTTCTGAGGAATAAACAACCAACGCTAACTGCTCTTATGATAATATCATTCAAAATACAATTCTCACAGTCGGTAACTGCTCATCGGATAACGTGAAGCTCAGAAGATACAAACCGGATGCTGATGAAGCCGGGTATGTAGTTGCCATATTTTTTGTATGGGATTTGTCAGGGGGGTCAACAAGGTCATCTAAACACATAGCTACGGCAATACAACAATGTTTATTTATTCCACATCGTGGAGATCGTAATTATTTGATGACTATTTTTTATATTACGCAGAGAATTCAATAAATTATCAAAAATCATGGCTGACCCATGTGTGAAGATTACAATCAACAAAAATAATGAGTGTATTTATGATAAATCATTCGAACAAAATAAAAATTTTGATATAAGTGGACTTCTAGATACTTTAAAAGTTGTTAAATCACAGACCAATAATTTATTAACGGAAATAATTGAATCTGAACGAAAATTAAATCACGGTAAATGGAAATTAGTAATTTAAAAATAAAATATTCAATTTTACTAATCAATTGAATTAATTAAAAATAATGTTGCTCCAAAAATTTAGGTCAAACTTCAGAAGTGAACAGTGAAGAAGACGACAAAAATGACTCCAATGAAGACGACGATATAGATCCTAAAAAATGTAAATTAAGTAATTGATATTTCTCAGACCGGTTTAATAAACACACCGTTATTTGTACTTGCTTTGAAAAGATTAATTAAGAAAAAACATACAGAAAGATAACAAAGTTAAGAGCAAAGACCTGAGTGCCCTGTCATTCCTATCTAAATCCTGTTTCAATTCCAAATATTCCCGAGAGCAAACAACCTGTTCAGTTGTAGTCAAATCGTGACGACACTTTGTAATTATCTGTAATGTCAAAGCGGCGTTAAAATTATCAAAAATAAAGGAATCAATCGCCATTTTTTAGCAGAATCATCTTAAACAGGCAGCTGGTAACGTATATTTTTCATTTTCTACATAAAGCATGATTATTAATGTTCAATTCAATTAAAAAAACGTTCTTTGTTGTCAAATATTGTAATCTAACCTCAATATCTCAAGTTAAACTTGTTTACTTTATTTGGAAAATAAATAAATCAACATTGGTATTATTCTCATGCATCTTGCAAACTATCTAGTAGAATATAACATTTTTAGTTAATTGAAGATGGGTTATTATAGGTTACTTAATTACAAGTGGTATCAAATTACATGATGAAAACATTACATTTTCAAACTAATGAATTCGTTTAACTTTTATTCTTAATCTTCTCATCTTCTGATTTATTATTTAGTTTATAAAATGTTAAAATATGATTTTTCTATAGATGAATCATGTCGACAGCATTATCAAATCAAGCTCAACTACGATACATAGTAGAATGGTTTCAAGAATGGTCTGAGATGCAGAGAGGTGACTTCCTGGGAATACTAGTTGAACGATGTGGTCCTGCAGACATGGTGAATGGTATTGTGAGTGGAATTGAAGGATTAGGATGTAAAGAAGAACCTACAAGACCACCAAGTTTATTCCAATGTCGTGTGAAATTGTTCCAAGAATGGAGTCAGAACTGGTCTCAGCAAGAAAAAGACAGCCTGTTGTCTTCCATCAAAAATATTGATCCGAAATTTGCCGAAAAGTATGAGAGAAGAGTGACAACTGGAAGCACTGAAGAAGACAATTCTTCTTAGAATGTAAAAAAAAGTCGTATAAGACTGTTTTTAATAGATTCATTTTATTTTTCTAGAAGTTTTGTTGATATTTTGTCTAATTATGGCCTCAATTCGAGAGTTATTAACATCTAATCTGCTAACGAGATTTATTTTTTCATACATTCCATCTTTTGACATTCCATATGTACATATCATTGATTATATATGATTAGCAGATTTATACTCTAGATGATAAGATGAAAAAATTTTGGAATATTATTTAACGTTTCTTAAGAGTGAGGAGGTTTCTAGTGAAACAGTTATTAAAAAAAAAAAAATATATCATTGTTTAACTAGCCAACCTCTTCAAACAGTTTTAAAAATCTTTGGTAAAGGTCTGAACTAATAACAATAATTTAAAATTATTTTAATATTTTTATTCGTAAGATTACATATTTACAGTAATAAATATTTAAACATTAATGAAAAGTATAGACTGAATAAATTAAAAATAATCAGCTTACATAATGATTAAAGCTGTCACGAAAAAAATTTATATTCAATTGTACGAAGAATTTTTCATCAACCAAGAGAAATAATAGAATTTTAAAACTTTTTTAATTATGTTTTAATAAAGTTACAGAATAGATTAATCGCTATTTAATGAAATACTTGATCTTTATCGACAATACAATAATTACAATGGATTTTAGTAATATAATATATACATATTTACAATTAATGTAAATATATTCGTGTGTTAAATATCACAGCTTTTTAAACGATAATCAGTTCCATATGCCGGTAATAATATTGTTTATAAATTATTATTATTATTTAACTATTATTTACATAATAAATATATATATGTAACAACAATTGAAAGTTAAGAAATTCATCAAGTGTTATCTTTGTTAATCATAACTTTCAATACCAATAAAAATAAAAGTATTGCAGTAGTAAAGCTTGATAAATATTTACAATTAAAAAATAATTATTATGAATTTTGTTGAAGCCACTTGGTACAAATGGATTTAATAGCAGCTTGACCTAGACTATCAGCTTCTTTTAATATTTTTTGAATGTCCTGAGCTCGTGAATATTTAACAGCTAAAAGATACGCAGCCTTTAATTGTTTACTTTCAATAAAACAACCTATTTTTAACTCAACATCTGTAATCAGTGTAATTAAATGATTTATTTGATCTTTAAATACAGAATCAACTTTATTTTTTGAGCTATTTATTAAATTCTTGATACAATGTGTCAGAACTCGATCTGATATCACATTAGAGTTTGGAGCACCTGAACTTCTACAACATTTTATCAATTGTTCTATCGAATGAATTTTCTTATCATAAACTAAAATTTGTCCCACGAGAGAACAAACTTTCTGAAATCGTAAATTATAGTCTTGCATTACTCTAAATGCGATTCCGAATCCTTCTTCAACATTGATTCCACACAGAATAGCTAAAACAGCCAAGTACGTTCGCTCTTGTTGATTTCCAAACAAAGTTGGAACATTTCTAGGTTGTAGACCTTCACCGTCCATGAATGAAAGTCTACTCAATAATTCATTAACAGATCTGCCTTCTTTTTCGCAAGCTCCTAGGAATTTTGCAATCTCCATTTGCCTTGAGATTGTATTAATATGTTTATCAATCTCTGAAGGCTCCATCTCCATCGTCAGACTTGTTTGTCCACCATGAGATAATGAACTTACACTTTTTTTTCTAGACTTCTCAAAGCTTTCTCCTTTTAATTCAGCTTCCAAATGTTTCTGAGCGTTTAGCAAAAAATGGTTTCTTAAACAAATGTCAGCATAACTGCTAGCGTCCATTACATAAAATCGTATACATGTCATTGCCGCTCTAACATAATCCTTCATGAATAACTGTAATTGATAGAGTGTATTTAATAACTGTTTTTTCTCCAAGTTATGGCAGGTGAAAATAAGATATTTTTTCCATATCAACAGTGTTGGATCCTTTGCTTTCATTTCATCAAAAAGCTGTGTCATGCTTCCATTTTTTAGACAACCAAGAAAAACTGCATTGAAGAATAATTCTGCATCTATGTCATTTCTTAAGATATAGGATAAACATTTCTCTAGTTCTCCATATCGTACGAAAAATTCTAAAATTGAATTATAGCTTCCATACATTAATAAATAATATAAGCTTTCTTGATACCGAAAGTTTCGTAAAGTAGAGTTAGATTTAGATGTAGTATATTGACCCTGAGATATTGCTTTCAAATTATTCAATGTGTTTAATATTTCTTGAGCAGCTGCACTCTTTGGAGATGCTGATTGTTGAGAATACTGATCATCAAAATTGGAAACTTCAAGGATTTGTAGGATTTCTTGAAGTAAAGGAGGATCTTTACTTGGTCTACTTTTCAAAGTTTCTTTAGTTTTTTTCTTCATTTCTCTTTTCTTATTTTTATCCGTACTTTCATCATCTTGACTGCTGTCTAGGCTTCGACTTAAATCTTCAGAGTGAGGCAATAAAATCCAGCCTTGATAAACTTCACAATCTTCTTGATAAACTTTGTCCAAACAGTAAGCAAATTTTTCTCGTGCACTTTCGTAATATCCTACTTTGAGACAAGCTTTACCCCAAGCTGCCCAAACTCCTTGAGTTTGAAGCCCAGACTTGGTGCTGACATCCAAGGCCAATCTCCATTGTTCTTTCTCAGTCAATAAGTCTCTCAACCTTCTGAATGTATGATCATTTATATGCTCCTTGGGTATCAATGATAAACAATCAGATCTAACTAGAGTTGCAATAAGATCAACTTGGGAAAGGAATTTATCACACTCAGTCAAACCACTATTTAGACCTAATTCAGCATACTTGAACTTTGCAGCAACTAAAAGTGTCCGAATCATTTGTATAATCAACTCATGATCGACTTCGGAATTTACTCGGCCATTTTTATCAGGTGTCAGTAAGTCTTTCATAATTTCACATTGGTCTAGCAAAAAACTAGCAGTGATTTTGTGGTCTGAATGTAAATTTAATATCGCCAAACAAAGGGAAATATTTGGAGCATATTCAAAACAAAATTCTTCTCGTAATATTTTATTATGAGTATAATCATTGGTCAGTTTCCAATATTCAAAAGATTCATTAGTTGAAATGGACGATATTCCTTGAGCTTGATTTTGACAATCATTACAAACTCGGACGAAAATTGAATGATCATTAACGGGAATTTTCATTTTTTGTGCTGAACAGGAAGCACAAACTACTCTTCCACATCTTCTGCAATGATGCCTTCTATTGAACATAGAAAAAATGACAGTTTTACAGCAACTACATTCCTTAGCTTGTTCATCAGGAACCCAGTCTTCTCTCGGCAGTATTTTTATTGGAGCAGTTAATTCTCCACTGTTATTCAAAGAAGTGTCTTTTATTTTACCTTCAATATCCCGTTGCACATTGACACCTTTGAAATCCAGCGATTTTTGAGCATAAAACCTAATTATTTTATCAAAATCTTCAACAGAAAAATTGGCTAAACTAAAATGATCCGAGCTATTCATAAGAATCTTTTGTAGATTATCAAATTTACAGTTCATCAATAACTGTTCTAATATCAAAAGAGGTTCATTGATCAGATGATTATACCATGGTCGATCCCATGTATCTAATTGATCTAGAATTTCTACACCTAGATAAGTCTTTTGATACTTTTCACGTTCTGTTGGCGAATTTTCCACTAAGTATTGAATAACAAACTTCAAAGCATTCATGGATTCCAATCTTCCAATAACTCCTTTGCATAATTTTATTAACAATCCAACGGGAAGTGCCATCAACAGCTTCCTAGCATGTTTAAAATTGTCTTTTTCATTTTTTAAAAGACCAATAAATAGATCTTCTGATACTAAAGATTGAATTTCTAAAGATGGAGTTTGGTATTCCATCCATTCTAAACATAATTCATACTGATTAGCATCAATAAGAGATTTAATTATTTTTATTGGATCAGTTTTTTCAGTTTTATAAACAAGATTGTACCAATTTAACTCAGCATCATTCTCGAGCTTGCAATAAATTAGCATCTTATCAAAAACTAAAACTCTACATAGAATTTCACTCATTTTTAATCTGCAATGCGTTGGAAGATCATTAGAATCAACATGACTTAAAATATGTCTTAAAGCTTTTTCACAAATTCGAGCTGGCCATGTTTTTACTTTTGATAAAACAATTTGAGTGAGCACATGAATATCTTTTATCTGATATAAATATTGTAAAACTTTCATTGTACTTGATGTTTCTTCATTACAGATTAAACAAGTCAATACTTTATCTCTAAAGCTTTGAATCTCAGCATTGACGAGTAGCAGTGAATCAGGCAGTGAATTGAGAATTATTAAACATTTGTCATATTGCTGATTCTTCATAAGTATTTCAAAGTATTGCCATAATTCTGATGTTGAAGAGAAATTTTGTAATCCAGCGATAACAGAATTATCACCAAATAAACATTTTAAATTTTCAGCCCAAGGAGATTTGAATAAATTTTCTAGTATTGCCATTCTGTCTAGATTATCATAGCTACTGTCATGAATCGTAGGATTTTCTTCGTAAATTCGTTGAATTAAATAAGACAAAAGCCAACAGTGGCCTTCTAAATACTGTAAAATATTAGATTTAATTATTCTATTTCTTCTAACTAAACTATTGCCATAGTCATTTCCATCAAACTTATCACCAACAGTTTTTTCTTCTGAATATTTCCATCTAATATCATATAAATATTGGAAAGATTCATATTCAATATTTGCATCAGCATTTAAATTATTTTCTAAATTTAATTTAGTATCTTCAGCATTATTCAAAAGTTCTTTATATTTTTCTATGAGTTTAGGACGAATATTTGTATTCACTCGATTCTGATTGCAGTAATGGTAGAGATAATCATGAGCAGCAACGTTTAAATCTTCGTTCAAAGTATCTAGCTGATATATCTTCATGACAGGGGATCTTTGATATTCATTTATCATCGCAAAAATCACTCTTGGGTCTTGTTGGAGATCTAAATCTTGCCAGGCAGGTTCGTTGAGTTCTTCAGAGTACTCAAAGCCTAGAGATCCGTAATCACACAACGATTGGCCTAGTAATTTAGATCTGAGAGTGAAAAGAGTAACAAAACCAAGATCTCCAATGAGATAACCGATTGTACTGCAAGACACAGCATGATGTAGATCATTTATTGGTGGGTCTTTGCTCCAAACTTCTAAAATTGTGTGCAGCATCATCAAGTTCCAGACATTGAGGAAAAATACTAGGGTATGTCGACCACAAGATAGATAACTTAAATCACAGTTTATCAAATACGACGATTTATTTAGAATATTTGTGATATTTTCATTTTTAGAAATCGCTTTTAGGTCAATGTCAGTATGAATAGAATGCAAGATACAATCTTGAAGAGCTTGATTTAATTCCGATACGAGATCGATAACAAATTGATTTGGATCATTGATGTGATCAGTGATATAATCATTTTTGTCATATTTATTTAAAACAATTATTCCCCATCTGTTGTTTTTACTTTGATCCATATTGGTATTGCCTCCACATAAGAGCTTAGGACAGCAGTTAGATAATATACAGTATGCTAAATTAACTTGCAGTTGATTAGCAATTATTTCTAATGACTCTAAGTCCATGTTCATGTCAAAAATTTGATATCCTATATAAGAATCAATTGAATTTTCCAAGAGGAAAGGCTTCAGCTGAGTAGTTGTATTCATATCTTCAAATGATGGTGCGATAGATCGTATCAAATCTAAATGTGCATTTAGTCTGTGCAAATAAAGTTCTCCATTATTGCAAATTGATAAAACTTCGTCCATATTAATTTTGGTATCTTCTTCATTATCTTTATTATCAACAGTAGCAATGAATTTAAATTGTTCTTCTAAAAGTTTCAATTTTTGTTGGAAATTATTCCAATATTCATTCTGATCACGATATTCCTTCAGAGAAAGTGGAATTCGAGCATCACATAGAATTTCATAAATAGAACTGTTCTTTTTTTCATAAAACAACTGATAGATAGTTTCGAAAAATTTATGATACTGCGTGTTGAGTAATTTTTTGTTCGATTTTAAATGTTTAATCGCAATTTCTGATAAATTTTCTGATGTTGGATTATCATGACCCATAGTTAGAGCTAAGTCGACTATCACCAGTGTTAAAATATCTTTAGTATTACTAGAATTAGAACTAAGAATGATATTAGGTTCTTGTGAAGTTAGAAATGTTTCTACTTGGCTCGTTATTCGTGTTGTTTGAATACCATCTTCAGCTGCTTTTCGAATGAAATCGAGAGTGGAATGTTTCGATTCCATATTCACTTCTTTTTTGTTCAATTTGAAGGATATTTGCTTACCTATTTCTTGTCTGAATTTCCGTAAAGCATCAGAAAACGATATTTCACCAGCTAAATGGTTATTTTCCATGTTAAAAGTCTGTAAATAAAATAATATCAGTTAATTAAGGAAATAATGTTACTTGATTACTTATTAATAACCTTAATATTATATCCTGAATACTCAAATGCCTTTTTGCCACCATCATACAGAGTTGCGATGAGTAAATTAATCAAATAAAATAATAAATAAAACATATTGCTTACAATAAAAGCTTTTTTTTATTTACTCAGGTGGATTTAGAAGATCATAAAATATTCGTGATTGATTTTGAAGGTGATCATGATGAAGATAGTGAAAATGAAATTATTAAACCACAAGATTTAATTAATATACCATTATTAAATCGAACTGAGGATAAATATAAACCTTTACATACTCATGTAGAACATTATAATCATAAAGCAGCTCTAAGAGCCATTAAAAATAGAAAACATCCTAAAAATGAACCCATGAGTTTATTAGAAGAACAAAATAATGATTATTTAGAACCTGGACCATTTGTTGCTGGATTTCAGGAAGACCTAGACAAGGTAAATCATTCATCAAACTTCAAAGTGTCATCAACATTATTATAACAACGAAAAAAATTTATTTTCTAGCTTAACTTTGAAGAGAGTGAATCAAGGATTCTAAGAGAACTCCAAAGCTCAACAATAAAAACGTCTACGGATGAAATACAAAAAGACTATCAAGAAGAAGGGCACACTTTATCAGGTCTTGGATCCAATAACTCATCTAATGGAGAAGAGTTAGAAGAGGCTTATGATTATGAAAGCTTTAAAGCGGAATATGAACAACAGATTCAGGATGCATTGAATAGTAATCAAACTTATAATTACACAGATAAAGGTCATCCAGAAGACACACCTAAAGAGGTTGTAAGAAAAATATTCCAATATAAGAAGCCTAAGAACTGTACAGAAGATGAATTGAAACAGTTTGGATTAAAAGGTTTTGAATGCCTAGCCTTTGACTATAAGCATCCTGATGTGAGAAAAAATTTTAAAGTTCTGTTGTCAAGAACTTGGACTGTTTTGAAGATCTGGATTATTATTTATCTCGTTTTTGCTATTCCTTGTTGGTGCCAGAAAGGTAATTTAATCAACAATTACTTCTATCAATAATGTTATGCTTCTTCTGGATCATTTAAATAATTTCAGGCTGGTGCTGTTGCTTCTTTCGTTGTAAATGTTGTTTCCCAAGCACGAGAATACTCAACGCAAAAAGATTTTATGTCAATAATCCACCAGGAGTAATGACAGAACAACCATACAGTAAAGAGAATCCTTTAGATTTCAAGCCAACAGTTTTGGAGCTAGATGCCTACGAAAAATTAGAGTTTGCCATAAAGAATTTATAAGTAAGATTGTTTACCTTAATAACACGTTGAGCTTCAACAAAATCGTCTTTCCATAGACATCGTAAAACCAAAGTCTCTTTAGATGATAACATATTATTTAGAGTTAAATCCATAGGTTTCTTTCCATCTTTGCTATCTGATGAGCCATGAAATTTACTCGTTTTCAACCGTTTTCTTCTCTTTCCACTGTCATTCGTATTTCCCATTGAGCTTTCAGAGCTTATTTCAATATCTGACCTAGAATCTGCTTCATTAGATGAACTGTCGTCGACCTTATAAAGATTAGATTCTACTTTTTGATAAATAAAATAATTTGATTTCAGACACTGAGCATTATTTTTTTGCTCTGCATCAGGTAAACCTTGTTTTTTCGTAAATTCTTGACTTATTATCAACTCTAATCTCCAGGTAGCTTCGTTACAGTATGTTTTTAAAGCTACGATTTTCTGCTGAAGTGGATCAAGATCCTCAGCAGTATCTGAATCAGCTTTGAATTTTTTGTATTCATCATCCACTATGAAGATACATCTCTTGAGATGGTGTAGAATTTCTCGAATGGCATATTTATTGCAGACAAAACCAGTGTGATATTGACCTGAATTTTTTTGTAATGACGACGGGAGTTTTTGATTGCTCGTATCTTCATCATCTGCATCACAATCGGCAGTATTTTCGTTAGCAGAAAAATGTTCATAACGTAGAAATATCATTGAAAAAATGTTCTCCAGCACTTCCAGACGTAAATTAATTGGATATAAATTATTAATATATTTTTCCATATCATTAAAATTTGCAGTAACGCACTCGAATTTGGTATTATAACAATTACAGAGTAAAATGGCTTTGAGAGCCGATAATAATGCAGTGTAAGCTTGATAAGTTTTTCTAGAATTATCAGAGTCTTTTAACAAAGGAAATATTTCCTCAAATGGTATATTATGAATATCTGGCACCATGGTTTTAATTGTAGACAGAATCGAATGTTCTTGGAGATGATGAAAAACCTGTATAGGGTTTAAATGTTGATTAATCGATTGTTCTAATTTATTTTCTAATGAATTTCTTGACTTTATAATCCAATCCCAGGCATTTAAATGACTCTCCAAAGTATCTTTTACTTTCATCATTACAGGATCCTCTCTTGATTCAAACTTGCAATGTTCTAAAATAAATCTCAATGATGAAGAAATCGTTGAACTCTTTTTCCACACATCACTTGAGGTAATATATTTTAAATCTAAGCAATTCTTGAGGCATTTGAATAGTAACGGCAACCATAATCCATCAAACCATGGATTATCCAAAGTTTTAGCAACATCATCTAAACGATCATTGATCGTTAATGTATAGCAAATGTCTAATGTATCTGATAACCAGTGAGATTTATTTTTCAACATCCTAGTTAATATTTCATAAGAGTTTAAATGTAAACGAGAGTCTTGTATATCAAAAATTGCTGAGCGAATGCTCAGTGCATTATTCAAATTGTCAGCTGATTTATTACGTGAGTTAATATCATCGAGAAATTCATGCCACATTTTAAAACAATGCAGATTCTTTCGAGAATAAAGAGCAAGTGCTATATCTTCGAATTTATCGATCGTTAATAATGCTGGCCAAAGCCATGAGGTTAATTCTTTTTCCTTTGCTTCTGTGATGTCAAACTTAGACAAAATGCATAATAAACTTCCTAATGGCACATTGACGTCAATTGGAAATAAGATACGTGTTTGACAATCTTTACTAGGTGACGTAGATGATGATACATTTTGGAGTAGTGAAATTATGGCATTTTTATAAAGATCCTGGAGATCTGAATCAGTTTTTGCAAATTTTGGTGACCAGATACAAAGTAATTGATCAATTATCCAGTGAACTAAGGCTGGACTTTGTTCAAAATTATTTTCTAAAAATTTTAAAGTTGACTCGCTTAGATTTATTGACAATTCATCAGACTCTTCCTTTACAGTAGTGACTGCTTCATAGAGTTTGAGCAATTCCTATACGGATTAAATAATTATTTGAGGTTATTTATATTTTTTAAATTGTACTAATACAGAATAAGCTTCTAGATTACATAAAATAATTAATTATTGCTACATGAATAATTAATTTATGTAAAATTGAAAATTAGGTTATGAATATTAGGAAATAGTCTACCTGCTCTACTGATTCAGTGACATTTCTATCAATTAAATGTATAGCTTTCTCGAATTGAATTAAATTCAATAAACCTTCCTTAACTTCATTATTAGTCAACATAGCCAATAATTTATGAATAATCCATGAACTTCTCTTTGAATAGTTAAAGCAACTGAAAGTGAATGTTAAAATTATGATTCATTAAGTGATAATACAGATGATCTCATTTCAATTGAGGTTTAGAAATATTTATCTTTACTTACGATATCAATAAACATAACTTAGCTATATTATTATCATTAGAAATATCATTTTTACTTTTTGTTCTATGAACCACATGTGCAGTATACCACAATTCGCAAGTAATTAATTTTTCCAGCTGTAAATAATCCACATTTGTTGACATTTTTGAATACTGTTTGATGGGTCATATCCCTCCACCAACTTGGGTACTATTTAGAACGTTAGTTTTACGAATAAATGCTTTTATGCACTTTTGTTGTTTCTTCAGAACTATGACTAGCACTCACGTGCGTATATAGAATGATAGAAAATATGTGATAACGTTAAAAAATGTTATCTTTTATGGCAATACACTACATACAAATGATACACGTGTCTGAGCTGCATCGGATGACGCGCGGGTGTGCGAGGTCAAAAGTTTTGTAGATGGCGCCACTGACTTTCTCGTGTTATTGGCGCGTAAGTTGATAATTTTTAAATATTTATGAATGTTAAAAAATCAATTATTTTCCATCTAATCACTTTAAGTGTTTTAAACGTATAAATAAATGATTAAAAATGAATATAGTTGCATGTAAATAATTATTTTCATAGCATTAATGAAAATATTGAAGAGATTTATTTTGTAATTAAACTCTTTTTCTTCTACAACTTGTATAAATTTTCTTAGATAAGAATCATAAATTTGTTATCGGTCAGGCTGTAAAGGGCCAAAACAGGTCGTTGTTTCTCATTTCTTACTTCACTCATTTCATCGCAAATTTGTTTAATGTATTTCTTATGCCTCGGATGTCTGTAAGAAGAAAAATAATTATTTATCTATCTTTGAAACATTGCAATTAAAAATATTCAAGAGTTGTATACTCACTTATCAATAACTTGTTGAATACTTTTCTGAAAATCTTGTTCTCTCTCATCAATTTCCAAAAGACTAACCATCGTTCGGATAACAGACATCTCTAAAAATACAGCAAATACCTCGATCCAGGTTTTATAGGATATTCTCTGTAAAGCATTCGACATTGAAGCAAGCATCGAGTTTTTGTAACTTCTTCTTCCGCTTGCTGATAGTTTTTCTCTTTCAGAAAGTACAAAATTAAAATTAACATTTACGGGATTATTCGATGAAATAGAAGTCTCATTAATGGCATTGATTTTGCTTTCAGATCTGTTTAATGCTGGCAGTGGTGTATCTGTTTGTCTTTGCAAATGTTCTGCAATATCAGTCATACTAATTTTCCTCTCATTAAATCTATCTCTTTCCCAAGACTGTAATCTAAAGTTTCCTTTTTCATTACTCTTTAAAATGATTACATGAGGTATAGAATTTTCTCGGCAATAATCAAGAATTTCTTCAGTCGTTGAAAAATCCAAAACAGTTACTCTAAGCCCTAGAGCCCAAATTTCACGTAAAAGATCCACAAATTCAGCCTCTCTTTCTGCTGATCTATCAACATAGCCTACAGCAACTTCAATGCCATATTTAGGCATGTTAGCTTCAATACACTCGTCGGTGGAAAATTCTCGGATAGCACAGACAAGTTTGTCAAGGGAAATACTTATTCCAACACCATACTGCGAAATTTCTTTACTCGCTAGACCGGTTCTCTCTAAAATTCTTCGAAACGATTGTAACATTTTATCATATCGACCACCAGCAGCTATCACTTCTTGCCCACCACGTCTTCTTCGACGTTTTAGATCACAGGTAATTTGAAAAATTACCCCGCTGTGATGTTGCATGTTGTACGCAAGAAGAGGCATTATTGTTATCGGCCACTAAAAAATATAGAATTGATTAATAAAACATATTAACATCAATTGAAAAATTGTTTTAGTGAATTAATTATTATCTCATTAAAAAACTCTGTACCTTTACTCCCATAGCTTCGAGATAAGCAGAAACAGCTTCGATTTCTTGAAGACCTTCTTTAGCTAAAATAGCAGCATCTCCTTTTCGTTTTGTTATTGTCTTTAATACACTCGCAATCTTTGGTACAGAATTTTCTGTATCAAACAAATTAAAAAGAGTGTCCATAGCTTGATCAGTTAAACATAAACTTGTGAAATGTGTTTGTACTTGAAATTTTGAACATTTGCCATCACGGGCATTACAAAGAATAGAATATATATCTTGATATTTTTCTGGTTCTATTCCACAGTACATAAAAACGGCTTGGAGTAATGATGTGTGATTTAATCGAACAGTAAAATTTCGCTGACGCATTTCAGGAATTTCGTTAAATAATTCCCACGCAATTCGAATTAATTCTGCTTCAGCCATTAAGTTGGAAGTTGGACTTATTATGTCAAATGCACATTCGTAGAGTTCTCTAGGGTGGAAGCCATGAACCTAAAATAATTAATTAATTATATTAAATTACGAACAATCAAATAAGTATTTAATTTCATTTTACCTTTTTTTCTCTATAAACACGTTCAATAGCATATCTTCGATAATTTATAATATTATTCCACACAACATATCTCGCGAAAGGAGCTCTGAGATCATGTGGAATAGAGACGATGCTTCCAGAATGTGTCATTAGTTGGACATAAGACTCAGTAGGATACAAATGAGAAGACTTGGGCATCAATAATGGAGTAACTAAATTAACTCCTCCATGTCTTTGAAACACTTCAATCACTTTAGCTTTTATTCGTTCTTGTAAGAAGTCAAGCTTTACTGATGATGTATTAGTAGTTGATCTAGATGGTAAATTCATATCATAAGTAATATCTTCAGCTGCTGTAACTTCTTGCGCAAAACAACAAGCGATGAGGTATTTATACGCCTTGCTATGGCTATTTGACAAAGTATGTCGCACCATCTCTTGCAGCTCGGCTTCTTCTAACAGTGGAGGAGGTAGATATTCTGATGCTAATAGCTCTTGAGCTGTTGGTCGTTGACTTGGATCATGATTCAAAAGCCATCTAAAGAAAATTGTGATAATTAAATTTCAGTAAATGTTGAATGATAATAATTTTACACAGGGAAAAAAGCTTACCTGAGAAGATGAATTTGATGTGACATGTCTGTCTCAATCATATCAGAAGGCAAAGTTATATCTTTTGATCGAACATTTTGTAAAATAGTTACTCTCTCCATTTTTGTTTCTGGAGGTTTATAACACATTTCAAAAAGAATTATTCCAAGACTATAAATATCAACCTTTTGATTATATCTAGCTTTAGTAACTTCTTTTCTTAGTTCTGGAGCAACATAAAGTGCAGTTCCAACCTGACCGGTCATAGATCTAGGTTCATCTAAACTATAATTAGCAGACTTATTAATTAATTGATTCTCTCGATCATTTTCAACATTCGGTACTAACGAACATAAAATATTTGTCGTCGCTAGACCAAAATCTCCTATTTTAACATGATCATTACTGTCCAAAAAAATATTTACTGGCTTCAAGTCCCGATGGATCATCCCTTGTTGATGAATATAAGCAATTCCTTCAACCATTTCTCTAAACAGTCTCCAAACTCTGTCTTCATCTTGATACAGTCCATTATCAATAGCAGTTCTTAAAGTACTTTTTTCACAAAATTCCATCTGAATATACATAAATTGAGTTTTCTGTTCAAAACTGTTCTCTTCGCTGGTCATTTTTTCAGAAGTTTCGCAGGATTCCAGCTTAGAATCTTCAGTAGGAGATTCACCATTCCGTTCAAATTCTATACTATCAGAGGAATCCATAGATTTTCCCATAAAAAATTGTCCTTCTTCATCACTATCATCACTAGAACTATCAGATCGATCATCTTCCTCTGAATCAGCAGCTTTTGATCGAGCTTCATAAGATGCAGTCCAATCAGCATCAATCATTGGTGTTAGAAATTTCTCCAACTTATCTGATTCTAATCCGTGATTAATTTTGTTATTATTTCGTACTGACAGAATAGTATCAGATGGTGAAGTAGGTGATTCGGTGACATCATTCACAATAACATTCTCAATCCAAGAGTTATAATATCTTACTACATTCTCGTGATTCAGTCTTGATAGCAGTTTAACTTCTCTGATCATTTTTTTGTTCAACTGTTTATTCTTTGGATTTAGAGCTATCCTTTTGATTGCGTATACTCCACTATCTAGTTTATTCCTGACCTTCCAAACATCTCCAAAAGCACCTTCTCCAAGCAGCTTCAAAATTTCAAATTCATTTTTAATCCGGGAATGACCATCAATTGTTGGGAGATTAAAGTGAACATCAGATGCCGGTTCTTCAGTCTCAGAGTTATTTTGTTCCTTATCACAATATCGTTTAGGTGACGATAATTCTCGAAAAATAGGTGCACGTATAAAAGAATGTTGTTGAAGTTGTTTCGCAGACCATCTAGATCTTTCATCATTATTCAAACATTTTGACAAAAAATCTTTGAGTTCTATTGGTAAATTTAATTCAAGGTCTAACTCATTCTCCGAAACAATAGTACCTTTTAACAGAGATAAAAGTAAAATTCCAAATCTATAAATATCTAACTTCTTTCCTCCTCTACCCTGAATAGTAGGAAAATCATGTTCAGCCTTAGCAAGACAACTTGAGTGATAAATATCAGAAAGTCGCTTATTCAATGAATAATCAGAAACTTTAACAACACCTGTATGATTTATATGTATACTGGAGTCTCGCAGATCTTTATGGACGATGTTATTTTCATGTAAATATTCAAGTGCTGATAGTACTCCAGAAGCGAGATATCTTAGCATATCAATAGCCATTGGGATACTTTCCATTAGGAAGAATGAACATGTCGTACCCACAACAAATTCTTGTAGAATATAGATAACAATACTATCTTTATTTTGCAAATACTTCATATTTAAATAATGAACAAGATTTGCATGATGAAGTTTATGTAGGTGATTTAATTCTTGTTCAATACTTCCTATTTGTTTCATTGAATGCTGAAGATCCGAAGTCTCTGGCTCACTGTTAGCCTCTTCAGCGCTGCCACACTTCAACGTCCATTCAGTAACGGCAAATAGTTCTCCAGTATTCATATCAACACCAGCATAAACTATAGAACCCTTTGAGCTATGTCCCAAACACTTGCCACGATGCACTTGTCTTTCTCCTTTATTATTAACGAAATGCAACAGTTTTGTACCACGATGCTCACACAGTGGACCTTCTGAGCTTTCAGATGTACTTTGACATCTTCTTCTAGAATAAGTACGTACGCGTTCATGAGGGGATGATGGAATCGATTGAGATAAAGCGTTTGATTCTTTGGATAAACGAGCCATCTCTTTTCGATCACGGAATTCAGCTTTCAGAGCTTCTTGACGGCGTTGGATTTCATCTTGTAATACCTAAAGATTCGTTTTAATTAATTAATTGTCAGCATTTAAACAATTAGTTGATTATTGACAATTGTTTTGTAAATATTTTGAATTTTTATCAGTCAATAAATTGTGACACTGATATAGTTATTTATTATCAGATACATACCTGGCGTTCTTTATCTTCTTTCATTTGCTTTTCCTGCATTTCAGATTGTATCTTTTCCTGACGCCGTGATACCATTTCTTCATAAAAACTACTGTAGCTGGGTTTATTATGCTCGTGTAAAAATTTTTGTACATGTTGGGCAAGTTCGAAAATCATGACTTCACCTTTTAAATTTTCTGCTAAATGTTCTAACTCCGAAAAAAGCACAGCTATTTGTTGATCAGACAAACCTCGACTATTTTTTAATTGAATTCGTGGAGCTCTGTGGGAAATCATGCAAATTTATTTATTTTAGATATTATTTAAAAAACTAAAATTAATTTTAAAAAAAAGTTCTTCTATTTACTCTTCTGGATATGTTTCTCCACAGCTGATTAGCAAGTCGATTTGTGCATAGACTTGTGCTGGTCCAGACATCCCTTGTGAAGGAGTTAAAGTCATTTTGATATTCATTGGTTGCCATTTTTTCTTCTGTTTAGTTTTTCTTAAATCTTTCAATTCGTCTCCAAAAATTGACTGTAACAGTCAGCAGATTAATCAAAATTTGAATAAACAATTGTTGAAAGATGATGATGAAATGAAATTCAATTTTACCTTTAGGACTTCAAATTCATTATTTTGGCGATCTTGACATGATTCTACTTGAGACATTTTCATCAACGACAGTCAATCATTAGTTTATTATATTTACAGATAAATTATAAAAAATATGAGTAAAAAAGGTAGACTTTGTTAAAATTGATTGTACATACAAAAATGAAGGAGGGAAAAGGTTAGATTTTGTCTTTCAACTGATAAATTAATTCAAAATTTTCATTACAATTATAAACGTATGGCTTTTGAAAGTTCATTTAACCCCTACATTGTGAAAAACTTTTTAATACTGATTAATTCAGAGAAAATTCAACCGGCAGAACAATCTAACAAACGTAATTCGCAACTCCCGTTGCATTACAATTGTATACGACTTAAATTTTTTTTTGGTTAGTTTTCAACACAACGTTGATTAAATTGAATCCTAAAAAGGAAATATTTTTTCAAAAAATAGTATCAATAATTAAATATAAATTTTTTAATGAATTAAACAGTCTTTTGCCTCATCAAATACACTAAAAAAATAATTAAAAACATTTTGGAGTATTTTGTATGAGAAATTCAAATTATGGCAGCATATTTTAGTTTCAATTTTCTAATTTAATTATACTTAAAATCATTTCAAGCAAATAAATCAATTAAAGAATTTATTATTTTAAGTTTTACCTATTGTTATTACAGTTTATTGAAATTTTTTATAATTATATAATTTTTTAATAATTCAGAGCAATTTCTGAAACAACAATTTTATTGTTCTAATTTCGCGGGTATGGACAAAAGACTGTAGCGCCATCATTCGACGGAAAGAAAAAGTAATTCTGTGTACTGCAATTTTGTAAAATTACTATTTTACAAAAATTTTTATTGTAATAATTATAATATGAGAATAAAGCTTCTTATTTATTTATAAATGAATTTAATTAACCAAAAAATAATCTATAATAAAAATAATAAAGAATGTACATAAAATTTTTATCTACAGGCAGTAATATTTCCTAGCGGCAGGAAATGTAACCTTCATGGTTGGTAGGGATGAAGCCGGTGCATAGCACATTCTCGAATTAGATGGCAGAGTTTTCGCGGCTTTTGTTCCGAACTGTTGGATCATGTTGTAAGGGTTTCGATATAATCCTAAAAAAGTGCAAATATTAATTTATTTTTGATATATTACTTAGCCTAAGTAAGTGATAATTCGATAAAATAGTGAAAAACGAAAAAAAGTCATAAATAATATCAACATTGAAGGGTAATGTTATGTTTTGAGTGGGGATTGAGGGGAAAGTGGCAGTAGCTTGGAAGCGCGGCCATTTTATGTTAGTATGACGTAGAGGCTGGGTGTAGCACAGCTTCGCGTTGAACCGTCCGTGTTGTTTTAAACTCAAAATAACGCGAAAAAGTCTCATGCAGAACTCGAAATAAATGTTTGGTGTACGCACAGGAGGTGTGACGTTGTAAATAAAGTTCGGAAAGTAGGTGGACCAGAAGGTGGGGTAGGTTTAGCAAAGTGGTTGGCGTAGTTGTCGGCTTAAAGTACAATCACAGAGCATGACCGAGGAAAATAATCCCCGTACGCTTTACGTGGGTAATCTAGACCCATCTGTGACCGAGGAGCTTCTTGGCACATTATTTTCTCAAATGGGTGCGATTAAAGGATGCAAAATTATACGTGAACCGGGCAATGACCCCTATGCTTTCATTGAGTTTACAAGTCATCCGTGTGCGGCTACTGCACTCGCCGCCATGAATAAAAGAAGTTTCCTCGAGAAGGAGATGAAGGTTAACTGGGCCACGAGTCCGGGTAATCAGCCTAAACTTGACACAAGTAATCATCATCACATATTTGTTGGTGATTTGTCACCTGAAATTGAAACTCAAGCACTCAAAGAAGCCTTTGCGCCTTTTGGCGAAATAAGTAACTGCAGAATCGTCAAGGATCCTCAAACTCTCAAGAGTAAAGGATATGCGTTTGTATCATTTGTCAAGAAATCAGAAGCTGAAGCTGCAATCAATGCAATGAATGGTCAATGGTTGGGAACACGTAGCATTAGAACAAATTGGTCTACTAGAAAACCTCCACCACCTAGATCAGAAAGGCCGAGGCATGCAAACAATAGCAAACCTAATTATGAAGAGGTGAGTTATATCCAAACTATTTCATCATCTATTCTTAAATCATCAATATAATCAGTTATCTAACTATTTATGTGTTTATCCAACAGGTATATGCCCAAAGTAGTCCAACCAATTGCACAGTTTATTGTGGTGGCTTTACAAACGGCATAACTGAAGAACTTATCAGATCTACTTTCAATAATTTCGGTACTATTAGTGATGTTAGAGTTTTCAAGGACAAGGGTTATGCTTTTATCAAATTTACCACTAAAGAAGCAGCAACACATGCCATTGAGGCTACACATAATACAGAAATAAATGGTAGTATTGTTAAATGCTTTTGGGGTAAAGAAAATGGTGATCCTAATAGCGTTGGACCAAACGCTAATCAACAAGCTCAACAGGTATATATTGTAAAGTTATAATTAATTATTAATAATCTGATGATGTTTAGGAATAAATGAAATATTTATCTGATAATTTGTCTTCCAGATTACTACGGGAGCTGGCCAATATCCTTATGGATATGGCCAACAAATGAGTTATTGGTATCCGCAAGGTTATCCGCAAATGCAAGGACAATTTATACCACCAGCGCAGTACTATGGTCAGTACTACAGTCAACAAGCTCAGTACATGAATAGCATGAATAGTATGAGAATGCCAACTCCGGCGGCAGGCACATGGCAACCTGGAACATCTGCTGCTGCACCACCAACAGGAACTGCTCCTCTTCAACCAGGACAACAACCTATGGTAGCTTATACGATGCCACAATATCCTACACAATGAAACCGATTTCATGGAAATTAAGACCAACCTTACAAGACATGTGACAAAAAAACGAAAAAATAAATAAATAAATAAATATCTAAATAAAAAAAAAACGAAAAAAAGAATAAGGAACATTTGAATGGGGGCTTCTTTGAACAATCATTTTAGCACGTGTCTGGTACAAAAATAAATACGCTCACGCTCTCACTGATGAGGAACTAATAAATGAAAGATGAGTGTTAAAAGTCTTAAGTTACATTTAATCTGACGATTCTGCATATCAGAATAATTATTTCTTATATTTTTTGAATTTAAAAAAATAAAGTATTTTATTACTTTATTTTTTTTAATATTTTCAGATTGCGGTTCATCTATTTAAAAATACAGTTGTACAATTACTTCAAAGTGAACTACAATCATGGCTTTGGTTAAACAATTTCAAGATATTTTTATTTTTATTATAATAATATTAGTTGTGTGAGCGTGGCGTGACTGTATAAAATAATGAGAATCGTAGTTTTTGCTACTTCATAGAGCCCTTCACTCATTTCGTTGATGTTCGATCCATATTACCTATCACTATTTACTTTTGTTCTCGATTAGTCTTTTTAAAGAAACATCATTTATTAAATAACAATATAAATAACATTTTTTAAATAACTTTTTTACACATGAGTTATTTATATTCGATAACGATAAACCATTGGATCACATTGCGTGATAAGTTTAGGGCTCTTGATGGAGCAATTATAGTTAAATGTAGAGAATTAGCTAAAAAAATAATAATGAAATGACAGTGCGTTTATTGTCGGTAGTTGTTTATTTCAACTATTTTCATTTTATTTGAAATATGACAAAAAAAGTCGACATTTTGATTGATTTTTCTCTAATAAATGTAGTAAATTAAATGAACTTATAAAAAATGTATCGTAGACATATAAATATTTTTTTCATAAAAATTTTTTAGTACCAATCGAAATCCCTTTGACTGATAATTATTTTGTAAATTTTGCTCTATCAATGGGTAACGATTTGGTTAGTTTAAAATTGATACGTCTTTTTATCTATTAATGTCTTCCAAGTTGCTGTGGTATTATGATCATTATGAATTCATTTATGATTTTATAAATTAATTTGATTCATTGCCAAAAAAAAAATCGACAATATTTTTTTGTTTTGTCATTCAAAAAATTATTTGAAGACATTTATAATGATATGAAGTTGAAAAAAAAAATATTTTTTTTTGTTCTTTTTTCATTATTTAAAAATGATTGATTGAAAGTAACAACTATCGATAATGGAAACTATTTAAGAAAGCCCCACAAGTTCCATTCGCACTTCTCACCAAATAAGAAAAAAATTTGTCCGTGGTCAGTATGCAACACGTTAAAGAATAATTTATCAAGCCAGGAAACAAGTTCATTGACAAATTGAGAAATATGATTTCATTTATGATGTGTAAGAAAGATAAAATTTAATTTTAACTTCGTGATGTGTGACATAATAATGAGTGAGTTACTGGCTGCAAGGATAATGATCTGACTATGGAAAATTAATCAGCGAAGCAATGGAAGACGTAAAGAATGTTATATAAAAGATAATTTAGGTACGGCAGGGTGTTACACCCTCGACAATGCTTAGGATAATGTTATCTTATAATAAAATGATAAAAAAAAACAAATTGTCCTTTGAATGAAAAAAAGGAATAAATATTTAAAATACAGATTGGTATTTTCACTAAATTTTCATTCATGTCCATCATTTCTAGAACGAACGAATTAATGTTGATATTTAAACAGGAATGATTTTTATTTACTTTTATTAATCTTTTTACATAAATAATTTAACGGTAATTTATAATTTATTCTTCACAATTAGAGCTTAAAGAATCATCGAATATGCTAGCAGCTAACAAAATTAGCATGTGTCTAAATGACACATTGATTCCTCAAGATGATTTTGTGGCAATTTTAAACGCGCTACATTTATTTTAATTATGTAAATACATTAGAACTATCATTAATCATACTATGAACACTACGTTGCAACGTAAAATTCAAATAAAATGGTACGGTGCAACGTGATAAATTATGGAATGTTTCAAGTATTAAGTAATTACATCACTTGGAAGTCAGGGAAAATAAGTTATCTATACATGTTAATTATTAAATAGTTAATAACAGATGAAAAAAATTCATTTTATAATAAATATATCAACAAAACAACTTGAAATGTCATGAAATCAATAGTAATGCATAATAAAAACAATATAAATTACAATAATTGTATATATAGCAAATATATGCAGTAATCAAACTGCATTTGAATTATATAAAGACCAGAATGTTTGTCAGATTTCACTGAAATTTAAACTGTCAAGTTTGAATTATAAATACACCAAGTTCATTTCAATTTATCAAATCCAATATGTAAAATTTCTTTAGTTAATTACTTTTTATTTTCATAGCTTCAATAATGCAAGTGATTTGTTATTATATAATCTCAAATAGCATTGATTGAAAGTTTATAATCGTAACGATTTTTCTTACTTAATTTTTATTGCTATGAGTTTATAAAAGTAGCAAAATAATTGGATCAAGGCTGAACTGTATCATAAATTGGAAGGCGTAGGAAGAATTAACGATTTTCTTCCTTATTAATCGAATCATTTTTTGTTACCACAGCAATACATCGAAATTGAACAATAAATATTTATATACTGGTAAGTGCGTTTCTTTTTATTTTTTTCTAGAGAATATTCTTTGAGCTTTGGAAAAATTTTTTTTTCTTCTAATCGGCAGAAAATTGTAAAGTTTAAGAGAAAACAGTTAAATATTATTTTAATACTCCAGTGTTTGTTTTTTCAATAAACAAACAAAATTAGTTAACAATTTAATTTGCGCATTTTTTTTTACAGAATTTTACCATTGAGTAATTGGATAATCTATTGATACAAAGCGTCAGTATTCTGGATACATAAAAAGCCTCCAAAACATTAACAATAAATTTTTAATTTATTAATTTATTATTATAGTCTGAATTAATTAAACGAAAAATTTTTTATGGTTAACAGCCTTGCGTTTGTACTTATTTTTCGTTTATCTATTTTTTTTTGCAGAGCAGAAGCATTTGCAAATTTCGAAATTGAATTAAAGTTTAAGAGGCTTGCTATATTAATTAATAATTAATAATTTACATAACAATTCGTTTAAAATATCACATACATCGTCTAAATAAAATTTTCCATCATTCAGACGATTGTAAATGTAATGTTACAAGTTTATTGATTATAAATTATTAATTAATTATTTTAGTTATTATTAATAATTATATTTTATTATTATTTATGAATATATAGAGAATAAATATAGTCTCACACATCAAGGAAGATACTCATTATCATTTTACAAGTTTGTAAAAAATACTAGATCAGCATTCAATGTTGACAAAAAATTTCTCTCTATCAATCGAATTTTTTTTACGTCAGTCATAAATTCAGTGTTCACTTGATAATTTCCCATTTTTTTCCGTTAGTCAAGTAATGTAATAGTTTGTATCCAAATATAATAATTTTTAAACCTTAATTGATGAACCAATTGATATCATCTGGTTTTTGTAAATTGTTTTTATCACTTTTATTTTAATTTAATTTATTCTTATCCAACTAAAAAGTAAATAACATATTTAATAATAATTTATCAATTAATTTATATTTAAAAAAATAAGTCAATTATCAATTCGTTGTCTTTTTGATTATTTTTCCCATTACTCGATGCATATTGTTTTTTTTTTTTTTTTTAAAACCGATTTTGGTTAAATAATTTTTTTAATTCTATTGTTATCCTCTCTTGTTTTTTTTCATTACTTATTATCTATTGTTACTATTTATCTTGATATATGTTTGGTTTGTACATGTGAATTATTAAAATCTACGACTAGATAGGTGACTATTTCCATTTTATGTTCTTTTTTTTTTTTTTATTATCATTCTGGACGTGCATGGTTGCATTCATAATTGTGTATATTATTTGTAATCAATGTTACCTAAGTGTCTTTTGAAAAATCCTGCAGTAAAGCTGACGGAATCGAAATATTTTATTTTCTACTGTCGAGTATTCTTACTAACTCTTCTCATTTTTAATGTAAGTATTATAAACGATAATTTAATTATCAATTTTTTTTTTTCTTTTCGCTTTATCGCTAATTTCATTTTAAAAAACCTCTTACGTCTGTGTATGCTGTAGACGTAATCGATAACAAAATAATGCCTTACAGTCCATCAGAATTTCATCTTCAACGCTTAATGTAATTAAAAATGTCAATGCGTTTTCTCTTTGAGGTGGTTAAAGCCCTCAGGAGGGCACTTTTAAAAATCAAAGACTTACATCTCCATATTCTAAACTCCATTTTTCAAATGCTGCTAGACTTGATGGTGATACTGAACGTCGAATTCTTTTCAATGATTCCAAAAAGTCTTGCATCGTAATGTTACGAACGAGATTTAAATCCAGGGCTTTAACTTGTTCTGGATTCAATTCTAAAATCAACAGAGTACAAATTATTTTACGAAAGTTGTTTCAAGTTCAATTGTAATAAATAAAATAAAAAAAAAGTTGACATAGTTTCATTCATTTTTTTTATTTTTAGCCTCTTACTTTATTCAGCATTTATTGATCAATAATTTTTTTTTGTGAATTTTATTTTTAACACTAAAACATTCGTGTTATTTCGATCTTATATCTAGTGTGACAATATAACTTTTATGTAAAAGTCCAGTTGAAAAATAAAATAAATTACCTCTTATGGGACCAAGAGCAGCATCTTTAGCCAACCCAGTTAAATCACTTCCAGAGTAGCCTTCCGTAAGAACAGCAGTTCTCTTAAGTTCCTCCGGACTCAATGGATTATTATGCTTGGCAAGGAGCCTCTTCAAAAGTGTAATTCGTGTCTGAAGATCTGGCAAAGTTACATAAACCCTCTTAGTAAATCTCCTTAAAGCAGCTTCGTCCAGTTCTTGTGGTCGATTGGTCGCTGCCATCACTAGCACACGTTCATCATGATTGGATGGCAAACCATCAAACTCTACCAAGAATTCTGTTTTTAATCTTCTCGACGCTTCATGTTCATTATCTCTTCTTTCACTAAGCAAAGAGTCAACCTCATCAACGAATATGATTGAAGGTTGTAATTCTCGAGCGATTGCAAAAAGAGCTCTGACTAATTTCTCGCCTTCTCCAACGTATTTGGAAGTTAAACTTGCAGCAGAGATTGAAAAAAATGTCGCTTGACATTGAGTAGCTACAGCTCGAGCTAAAAGAGTTTTTCCATTTCCAGGAGGTCCGAATAATAAAAGTCCTCGGGCTGGAGTACGTAATCCTGTGAAAAGTTCAGGTCGGAGAGATGGTAATATAACCATTTCTTGCAATGCTTGTTTAGCAACTTCTTGACCTGCAATATCTTCCCATTGAACTGCAGCACTTCCTTCAAGAATCTCATCCAAAATAACTTGTGCTAGTTTGGGGTCAACTCCTTTCAACATTGGTACTTTCTTCGATGGAGTTCCACGATTGCTGTTGGATCCTCCTGGAGTTCCAGGTCTTCTGATTGGAGAACCACTTCCCGGTATTGATAACTGTCTTTTAATTGATGGAGGAGTTCCAGAAGGCTTGATTGGTGTTGTTCTGTGACAAGCAAGACTTGGGGTTGATCTTCCCATACTTCTTGGCAATGTTTGACTTTTACTCAATACTCCACCTGGTATTCTTTTGCCTGGAACTGTCAGTTTTCTTCCCGATGCTGAAAAAATTAACCAAAAAATTATTTCATCATTTTTCTTTTAAATTAAAAGATGTAATTTATTAAAGGGAAGCACATTTATTCAAGCAAGTTTTATTTAGCTAATGAGTTGATGATAAAAATAGGCACAGTACCTTCTGGTGCACGGGTGTGACTAATTTTTGGAGACTTTGGTCTTTGCGATATTTTAGATATTTGTGTTTGTGTACCGTTATTAGAACTAATGTTTGTATGGTTATAAGATTTATTGGCATCCGTTAGAGACTCATTTGTACGTAAAATATGAGTATTTTTCCTTATCCTTGGATATGTTTGAGTTTGAGAATAGTCTTCAGAGGATTTTTCACTTCCACGACACTTATTTGTAGTAATATCCAGCTTTTTCAGCGTACAAAAATTTGCTACAAAAATAAACAAAAACATTCCTTGCCATGCTCAAGTAAAAACGATGATAAAATCATAATTAACATCTTTCGATGTTTGAAGAATAATTTTTGCATTGAGTTGAATAAAAAAATAAAAATAAAATAGGAAACAAACACAATGAATATATATACAAAAAAACATGCTATTTATGAATTTATAACATTGATTTACGATGAAAACGTGCATACACGTTTTGTAAATAAACAAAGAAGGTTATGAATGCATACACATTGAAAATGTTTTAAGATGAATAAAACAGACAACTAACCCAGAAAGTCTAGCCTATCCTTGGCCATTGCTAAATTAGCTCGCATTTTCTCGTGCAATCTTTGAGCTCTTTCATAAACTTCTCCTCTACCGCCATAACATTCAACTGCAACACCTTTTTCCAGCTCTCCAATACCTTTTTTGTATAATTCAATAGCCATTTCTTTGTGTCCTAAATTGATAATCACATAAAATAATTATACACATTTATTGAACTGTATAACAAGATTAAAAAATATAATACCTTCATTTTCTTCATCAATTTTTAATGCTTTACTAATGAATTCAAAGGCTCTTCGATGATGATGTTTTTGTTTGGCAAGCAAAGGATCAGCAGGACCTGGACCTGCAGGTCTTCGTGAAACTTGAGACATGACTTGAGGATTTTCTTGATCACCAGGAACAGCTAACAAATCATTTGTCTCAGGTCTAACAATAATTTCCAATTGACACTGGCCTTTAGTAGCCTTTCTTTTTTGTATCAGGTGATTTGTCGATGCATATAAATATTTGAAAACAATAAACAGCTGATAAAGAAGGTTTCTTAATAGATTGAAGACGAGTATGAGGGGAAAAGAAACGATGTATAGATTACGTTTATGGACAGACGGTTGTGGATTATCTAGATAACTATGACGATGATGATGGTGATGATGATGATGATTTCCGTAGTTAATCGTTGTCGTTGTTCGATCACTATTCTCTAATTTTGTCACACGTAATTTTTTCGGCGATTTGGAGCCGGATTTACGTATCGAGCGCCCGCCATCACTGTAAGACATTTCCTGTCGCGCTCTTTCTTGAGTCTAGACTTTCCAATTCAATGATTGTGTTTTGATTAATATACTGATTTACGGTCGAACTTTTCAACCACTTCGACATTACCGGAATGTAGAAATTATTAATTAAATCTCTGCAGGTCTTGTTATATTTGGAGTAGTTATTTTCACCACAGTGTTTATGTTTATCTGACTTTAGTTCGCAACAACTCTCAAGCTCTACTAGCTGTTCTCGGGGTATTACCAGCTCTCTTAGTAACGATTGACTTCCTCAGCTAGATCTTTTTTGCTGTTGACAGTCGTTAGTGTGCACGCGATGCTATTGATTCTATTTATCCACAAATAACTGCACGCACTCACAAAATTCCAATGCACAACTTACTTGTATCTATCCAGTCCAATCTACCCGTGTGCGCACACCCTTCTTGCGTGATAGTCAGCACTTGGACCAATTTACTTGCAACAATATCCCCTCTCACCCTTTCATACATTACTTAAACGCAGAAGCAGACTTTTTTTTTATTTTTTGCAAACAAAAAACTTTCCTGGAATTATTTAATCACAAATGGACATCGGTAGACATCTAGATCAATTTATTTCTTCACCCTACAGCCTTTTGTGAGGTTAATGATACTATAATTAACACTTTTATGGATAAATAGAATAATGACGTAATTATTTTAGACTTATACATGTTTTTAATTTGAAAGAAATAAAAAGATTGTCTTCAATACTCTTAATTCAATGACACTTTTATGTGCTAATGAATCGTTTGTTTATAGTTCTTTGTTTCACAACAAACTGATTTTATATTTTATAATTATCAATGATTTTTTTTTGCTCTAAATAATTATCACATTATAATCATGAAATAGTTGTAAAATTTTTTCAATTAAAGTGGTAAATATTAAATAAAAATAGAAATAATATTTCGATTGTTTACGTTTGGTTATTTAAGGTTATATCTTTCAATAATTAAAAACATTATTTAAAATACCCGCGAGGAATTTTAGAAAGAAGCGCTCGTGGTGGTTAGTTTAGAAACTAAACAATTGCAGCAGATGGTAAGTGAAAAAGTCGTAAAAAATCTCTTGTTGATAACCATTACCGACAATGATAGCAAAATTCCCCCACCACCATGAAAATAATTTCGATCGAAAATTAACATTCGCCGCCATTTGTAATTTACGTTTGATCGTTGTTGAATGAGTGCTTATTTCCCCCGCTGTGACGAAATTAAAAAGATTACTTCGTGTTTTACTGATAACATAAAAGCCGCTGAAGATGTCCTCGATGAGCGGTGATGAGAATGAAGTTGTGGAAAATGAACCTGGTATGTATAATAATTGTTTAAATCATAAAATACTTTGTCGTATCAATTGTCGTCTGTGCATGTGGTCTTGGAGTAAGCTGCCGACATTTGAAACGCAGAACGCTTTATCAAGGGCCGGCGTGGAATATCGTCATCATAATGCAACTATAATAAGCGCCATTATGATTATTCTAGTTTATTAGCTTGATTACGACATAAGTCTCCACGTTTATTGTTGTCGTGGTAACGCACAAATCTTATTCTAGTCAGGAGAACGAGATCCGGTCGTGCTTTGAAAGCTCCAGTTTCAACAAAAAAGACGCCTACCAAAAAACCTGTTACTAGAGCAACAAGAACTCAAAAGAAAGCTTTAGCAGAAACTGAAATCATAGAAGTAAGTGCACTTGTCAATATGGTTAGAATCATTATGCTTTTAATGTGAATTTTTATTTCAAAACATGTAATGTATTTAGAGGTTATACTTATCACATTACCTTGGGCGTAGTCCGAAGTCTTCTTGTATTTATTCATATATTTACTAGAAAAACATTTATTCAAAACATTGGCTATTTATTCATTACAGGAATGTACTACAGTAATTGAGGAAGTCGATGAAACTGAACCTGTTCCAGAGAACGGAATGAAAGACTTGCATCAAATTGTCATTGAACCTTACGAAGAAAGTGCATCATCCTTGCCGATAGAATCTGAAGAAGTCACTGATTCACAAGATATTCAATACGAAAATATTGAACAAGAAATCCAAAGTGTTTCGGAGCTAGACTTACCCCAATCACAAATTGTAAGTTACAACAAAAATAGGAACTCTAATTTGTTAATGAGCTTAGTGCTAGAATTTAAACCTATTTATTTCATTTTAATTAAGAGATTGTTTACTGTTATAAATATATTCTAACAATTAACGTAACGTTAGTTAATGACTACTTTTTGTTTTAATTACAGGAAGAAACCGAGGATAAAATGATAACAATAGAAGAAAGTAGTTTAGAAAATATGTTAGAACCACAAGACAGTAATTTAGGTGATGAAGGAATGAATGGTGGACACTCAGATGCAAACGAAAGTCCTACGATTGAATTTGAAGATGTTATAGATAATATAGAGTCATCAAGAGCCATAATAGAAACAGAGGAGACTACAAATACAAATCAAGAAGGAGTTGTCGAAGAGTTAATGGACGTAGACGAGACCGTACAAGAAATGTTTGAATGTACTGATGTTCCGGTTGAAGAAAGTTCTCAGAATGATGTAGTAGAGGCTTTAGAAGAAGAACCAACTGAAGAAGTATTGGATCAAGAAATCCCGGAGGAAGTTGAAGCAATTGAAACTATCGAAGAAGATGCTGAAAAAACAGAACCTGATACGGAAGCTGTTTCTGAGGATGAATTCCCTACTGAGGCAGCTGCTAAGGTATTTATATTTTAACTGATGTGTTCTTAAAATATTTTCCATTATTCCTATGTTGTTATTTTCGCATATTTGACATAGTTTTAAATTTTATCAGTGTTCCCAAGAAGTCGAAGATGTTACCGATGATGAATTTTCATTTAACGAGTTTATGTTCGAGGTATTCCTGTCCATCCTTTCCTAAATCATTTGTCCTAAATTCCATGATTTAATTTTTTTTTTTTAATTGTAATTTTTGATTTCAATATTAGTATTTATTTTTAGCACGGATTAATCATTATTTATTTATTTTATCAGGAACCAGAAACAGAAGCAGTATCAGACGAAGAATTGCCAGCAACTGCTACAGCAGACCTCGGTGAAACCGAATCTGTGTCTGATGATGAATTGCCACCAGATAGCGAAAAAAAGCGACGAGCAGCAGCTAAGATATCGGGGAAAACACCGGAAACAAAAAGTAAAACAGACGTAGGAGGTAATTAGATTAAAATTTATGTGTTTAATTAATTATTTCGACAATTTATTGCGTTATAAATATTTAAATATGAGAAAAAGTTTTATTAAATTTTTTAAGTGAATATCAAACTCATATTAATCAAGTTTTTTTTTTATTAACAGCAAAAAGAAAATTAAATGCAGAAGGTGAATATGATCCAAGTTCACCAACATCTGAAACAAATGACGAAACTCCTGCAAAGAAAGCTGCTTTAGCAGTTGACACTGAAACTAATGAAAAACAAGAAACAGCTCCTGCATCACCAAAGAAAAAAACACTTCCTGAATTGGATAAATATTGGAAGGCAGTTAATGAAGATCCATCTGATTTTACTGGATGGACTTATTTATTGCAATATGTGGATCAAGAGGTAAATTATTTTTTTATAAACTTTTAATTTTAAATTATCGGATTTTCTTCAACGGGAATTAATCCTATAATTGGATAAAAATTTCTCTGAAGCCCGATATAAAAGGAAATATCTGTTGTCATTTGATTTAATACAATTAGAATGTGATAATCTATTTTCAATGTATCAACTTATAAATATTTAATAGAAAAATTCTAAATAGTAAATTGTTTAATAATAATAATGATTTAAAATTGCAGAATGATGCAGAAGCAGCCCGTGAGGCCTATAATAAGTTTTTGGAACGTTATCCATACTGCTACGGGTATTGGCGGAAATACGCCGATTATGAGAAGAAGAAAGGAGATCCCGATAACGTTCAATTGGTGAGTAAAAATGTTGATAACATTTGTTAGGGTAGTTTTTAAATGGTAATAAAATTTAATTAACGCAAAAATCTAATGAAAATAGCTCGAGTTAGGAAGACGCGTGGGCAGTGTGCACGCACGTAAATATGGTTTTCCCTTCCAACAGCCTAGCACGTCTTGTGGCACCCATACAACTTTCTTCGTTTACCGATTATTAGCTAATTATTTAATTATTCAACTAGAAAATTTAATTAAAATGCGTTACATTTACATTCCGTTATACATAAATGAGCTTAATTACGTAAGTCATAAGCATTTGTTGTCACTATTTGAAATAACTTGAGTGACAACAAATATCTGTGTGTGTTGTTAATATCTTTTTATTACTATAAGCATATGTACACGTAGCTTACTACGGAAGTATTGTAAAAACATTAAGCATTAAGTATTTTGCGTATACCATACACATTTTGTAAGTAAGATCTCGGGGGTCGGTCGGGTAAATCAGTCAGAAACTTAGGAGACGCACATGACGAGGGAGCAGAGAGAAAAGAATGGGCTGAAGAAACAGAGGCACCCTCAATATGGAACACTCCCTGACTCTTAAAGGTGAATGCACAATGCTCTGCAATCTCTCTCTTAATTATTATTACATTATTTACAGTTCGCGAAATTTATGTGAGTACATGTTACTATGATAAGTACCAATATATGCTTAACCAAATTTATAAGATATCTTATAGGTTTTATACAAATATTAAATACAAAATGTCAACTACTTTTATTTTTGATAATCATTTTCGATATTAACTTATGTCATTTATTCAACATCGATCACAGGTGTTCGACAAAGGTTTGAAAGCTATTTCACTCAGTGTTGATCTTTGGCTACATTACATCAACCACTGTAAGACTGTCTATGAGAAGGATGAAGATAAAATGCGTGAACAGTATGAGAGAGCCATTGATGCTTGTGGATTAGAATTCAGGTAAGATTTATATCATGGTAATATTGAAATTTATTTTTTAATTTATTTTTAAGGTTTCTTTTCGATATACTTTCCACTCTTTATTGGAATTTCAAGGATTAAGAACCAGGATATCAAAATAATTAGATGAATAAAATTTAATTAATCGGCAAAATCACGTAAATTTACACTTATTATAATTTGTCTATATTAAAAATAATTATTTCAAATAAATCTTTATGTAAATAAAAAATTTTATTGATTTATTTTGTTTATGTCAACATTTTCATTGAAAATAATAAACTCTATATAGTCAATAGATATTGAAATAAAGAATTAATTATTTATTGATATTATTTATTAAATAATATTACAGATCTGATCGTCTTTGGGATAATTACATCAAGTGGGAACTTGAAGGTAAAAGATTGAACCGAGTTATGGCTCTCTATGATCGTCTACTTTGCACACCGACTTTTGGATACACACCATCATCTACATATACACCAACACCTGGATGCACATCACATTTTGACGCGTTTCAAGAATTCGTACAATCCAATAGTCCAAATCGCATTCTAAGTGTTGATGACTTTCTAGCATTAAGAGCAGAAGTTAAAGCATTATTAAAATCGGAAGAAACACCAACAACTACACCATCAGATGATGTTCCACCTGGTGAGGATCTTCCACCTCATGAAGCTCCACCAACTGATGAAGAAACACGTCTCATACGAGAGAAAATCATCAGCAGTAGACGAAAAATGCACAAAGCTAATGCTAATGCTGTTACTGCAAGGTGGACCTTTGAGGAAGGAATTAAAAGACCTTACTTTCATGTTAAACCTCTTGAACGATGTCAGTTGAAAAATTGGAAGGAATATTTAGATTTTGAAATTGAACAGAAAGATGAAAAGCGTATAATCATATTATTCGAACGATGTCTTATCGCGTGTGCACTTTATGATGAATTTTGGCTCCGTTTTGTACGTTATTTAGAGACATTAAAAGGTGATAATACAGATAAAATAAGAGATGTTTATGTTCGAGCGTGTACAATTCATCATCCTAAAAAACCAAATCTTCATCTCCAGTGGGCTACTTTTGAAGAAGGAGAAGGAAACTTTGACAAAGCTGCTGAAATCCTTGAAAATATTGACAATGTTATGCCAAACATGCTACAGATTGCTTATCGTCGAATAAATCTAGAACGTCGTCGAAATGATTTAGACAAAGCATGTACCCTATATGAGCACTATATTAGTAACAGTAAAAATAAGACTATTGCAAATAACATTGCTGTTAAATATGCTCGCTTTCTATTTAAATTTAAAAATGATATTGACAAAGCAATCAAAGTTTTACTTAAAGCTGTGGATAAAGATAAGGAAAACCCTAGATTATATACACAGTTGATAGACCTAGGACTTCAGAGAAATCCAGTAGATACCAATGAAGTTGTTGGTTATATGGATATGTTCATTGATCGTGAACATGCTGATCTTGAACAAAGGGTTTTATTTGCTCAACGGAAGGTTGAATTTCTTGAAGATTTCAGTCCTGATATTAAACAAGTTCTCAAAGCTCATGAACAATTCCAGAAATGTATAAAACAAGCAAAAGAACGGAAGAAAGCGAAAAGGGAAGACACTAAAACGTAAGTTGAATTTTTTTTGTATTATTTCATTCTATTTATTTAGCAACGTAAATTTTAAAAGTATTTTTTATTATATTTTAACCAACAATCTATTTAATAATTATTAATTATTTATTTTACAGCGAAGCCTCACCTCCAAAGAAGCCAAAAACGACAGACCCATCAACAGCACCTCCACCGCCATCAACGAATACTCAATCGACTTATCAATACAGTAGTGGAGCAAGTGGGACTTACCCATCACAACAACAATTTCAAGGTGGTCAGTATGGAAATCAAAGTGGTTATCAACAGAGTTATCAACAATATCCTCCTCCATCAGATCCAAACTATGCTAATTATCAAAACTGGCAGTACAGTCAAGGTGGACCGCAAGCTTATGGACCATATAATCAGTGGGGGTCATATAATTATTATTAATTTCCCTTTTTTGATAAATAAAAAAAAAACAATAACAACTGCGCTAAGTGACACAATACCTCTGTAAATTTTAATAATTTCAACAACAAAAAAAAAGTGTATTTCATTGAATTTATTGCCTAGCAGTGATAACAAACAAATTGTGTGAAAGAATATATCACGTCATCTCATCTTTCAATCATCATTGGGATGTTTAGATTTAATTAAAAATTAGTTTCTGACGCAATTAACTTTCTATATTTCGACCTTCGTATTCAGAAGTTCGTTATTATTGTTACTGATCAGATTTTAACGAATGAAGAATTTCAAGAGAGTACATGATCATCGAAATTTAATATTTAAGATCAATAACAAACAAAAAATATCTCTTTTACATCTTATTGTATAAATATTACTTTATCATTTGATAGAGTAACCCTAATGAATATTCAGAAAGTCATTTTAACCATTATTCGTATTAAGTTACCGTCTTATAGACATTTAATTGGATAATAAATGTATTTCAAAATTAAAAAATAATTTGATTGAAATACTTGTGAAACCGAAAAATAAACTAGATCGTACATTGATATTTCATGTTTATTGATACTATTTTTTGGTGACATTAGATTATCAATATTAACATAAGTATGGAAACAATTTTGAAATCAAACTTGTTCTTTATCAATGGATTGATACATACATTTTGGTAAAAAATATAATTTTTTTCGTTAATAAAATTCAGTATCAAGTAGTAATACTCTGTTATAATAAAGAGTTATTACTTACTAATTGTAAAAAATTTTAAAGTACAAAAATAATCCTGAAACATAATCTCTACAGTTATAGCTGTACAATTTCTTGGCAGTTTAGCCCCCAGGTGTAAATCAAATTGTTTCAAATTTATTTTGTTTTAACATTTTTCATTATCTCATAATGAATATAAATTATAAATACATAGCGATTTAATAATTCTAGTTATTTTACTATTTGTATCATTATCATTAATCTATCATTTAAAAGCGTAATCTAAATTTGAAAATTTCAAAATATTATTAGTCTGTTGCTAGTAAAGTCTCTTGATAAAAATATCTGCATAATTAAGTTAGCAATGCTTTATGAAAACAAAATATCATCATCAGTGAAAAAAATATTATTTGATATTTATTTAGTGATTCTTTCAAAATCTGTCGGACGAATTTTTCTCCGAATTGTACATAATTTGTAAGGAATATAATCACCTGTAAGACATTAAGTTTTAGTTACTGTTGTATCTAATTGCACCAGAAGTATCTTTATTAGTTGCTTTTTGAATTGAAGTGATCTTTAATTCAATGCCATATGTTTTTGATAGTCTGAATCACTAGCCTCTTGATTACCTCATCTGCTAATAAGCTCAGATCTTGGTTCAAGTTAAAATTGATTGCATTGTTTTAATTGATGATTAGCAATCACATAAGCTTTATAATATTCGATTTCTATAATACATCATTTTAGTAACCATGAGTTCTTAGTACATGTAAGAACTAGGGCTATCAATACATTAAAGCTGTATAACCGTCTTGTTCTAAATATAATATTAATGATATTGTAATTTTATTTTATAAGAAGAAATAAAAATGAAATTAGCAATTGAATATTATAATTCATTAACCAATATTTTTTATTAAAGTAAATAATTAATTTAGGTTCTAAATTCTCTTCTTCTAGACTTTTATATCTCCAGTGTGTTTAGACCAATAGATGCGAAAGTAATTGTATATTTACGAGATTTTTGATGATTGGATCATTGATGTTAACTTTAACAATATATTCTTCAAATTAATAAGTCTCAATCTAAACTACATAGTTTACAGAACAGCTTATGTTTCTATTTGACAAATAAAATATTGGTTTACTTAGTACCAACTCGACAAAACGGGTCCCTTATCATCACAAATAGTATTAAGATATATATTTCTCACAAAATTCCATGAGTCAGTTATATTAACATTGCATAGTACGGTTGAACTATCATCATACCAACAATTATGTTGCAATGGTTTCGTTTCAACACAAGTGGCTTTAGTTAAATTAAAATAGATTTGATATTTGGGAACAAAAAAACCTGATATGCTTGTTGCATTGATTATTTTAACTTCATTATGGTCATGATGTGACCATAAACAATTGGTATTTGATTTTCTGCAGTAATTGATCCACTCTGCTCCAGCTCTAGATGCAAGTACTTTCATCCATTTTTCATTATCATCAATTTTATGAGAGTTTATTTCTCGTTTGAAGCGACCATCTAAATGATTGGAGTTTGGTTTACTTTTGTCATAACGACATTCTTTTGATTGGTCATCAACAATTATGTTGTTGGATTCATCTTGTTTGATAAGCATGTTACATATTTCTTGGAGGCACAGTGATTCTCCAGTACAATCAGGATCTAGTCGTACTGATACGTTTAAAATTGGAATGTTGTTGTCAGTCTGAAAATAAATTAATTATTATTGGATTTTATTTACTGATAATCAAAGCGAATAATATAAATATTTTTATAGTATCCCCGATGGATTCACGTCAACTGTTGAGTAAGAATTGCAATCAGGTAAATAGTAAACTTTCAAAAAGATAGGTTACATTACGGTCAACAGTTGCTTAAACGTTGCTAGTCAGTTAATTATCCGTTTTTTATCGCTCATTGTAACTGGTGTTTTGCCGTTGATGATGAGATGCCTCAAATCCATCAGGAATATCAATTTAATCAACAAGTATTGCGTATGAAGATTATATTAGTTCAATGAATCATTAATTTTATTTTAATGATCATAAGTTACTACTAATCTAATCTAAATGAGGGTGACAAATTATTTCTTTGAGGTTAAATTAAATTATGCTTGTGTCATCCTAGGAAATGAATGAGATGTCATTGAATAATCGATTTATTTTACTCTATTATTTTACTTTCTGAATATTTTAAAAAACATTTCATAATGAAAATATAAGAGAATTAAATTATGAACATATTCACCTTGATTTTTTTGGCTTTTAGCAGAGTTCCACTTCGATAGGTATGGTTATTTGGTGAATTATTATTCATTGACTCCAAAGCAACATTCATGAGAAAGTATCCAAAACTTTTCTTAGGATCAACAGGAGATGCTATTATTGTTCCAACAATCATCAAGCTTAGGAAAAGCGCAATTATATTGAAAAAATTGGATGCCATTTTTGGATTGATTTTACTTATGATTACTCCAAAATTACAGGTATTTGTTATTTTCGATTTAAAACTAACTGTTCAACTTATTTAGCTAAACTAAAAATGGAATGGTCGTTATATGGTATTTATACGATAGAATTTTGATGTAGAACATCAATGTTTACCATAGTAATCATTATCTTGGTTTCCTTAGAATTTTTTATTACCAAATAATGACAATAATATTGAACAACTATCATGGCCATCAAGTAATATCGATAATAATGTAATTTTGATTCTGATAACGAAGTTTACTTGAAGTCGATGACAAAATATTATAATTCATAAATTAAAATGTCATATTGGGAAGCTAATTAAATGTTTTAATTATTTATTTAATTAAGTAATTAATGCGTAAACAAGAGTTTAGGTAATGCACAGTAGTTAGTGCATTATATTATTAATTATTAATCAATATTTTTTGTTTTCATTTATAAACATCTTTTTATAATGAAAATTGTCCATTGTTCGATGGTATAAAATCTATAATTAAATTTGAATAATTTAGAATTTTCATAAATTTTATTTTATTTAAGAAAATACAAATAATAATAGAATATTACAATTTATATAAACTCAAATTTAGCATTGAAATATTAAAAATTTTTTAAATTGAACAACAAGATTGGTTCAATGTTTGGTTATGAAAAAAATCTTTTTTCTAACGCATTATAATACGTTGTTCTTTTTCACAAGTTGCATCAATGCGTCTAGAGGATGTTGTTCCTTTTCACAAGTAGCATCAATGTTTCTGATAGTAAACTTAAATTTATGTTGTTCCTCAACAATAACTGTGCATAATCTGGCAAGACTATCATCTTGTATTGAACATGAAGTTCTAATTTCTACAGTAACACAGGTAGGTTCAACTAGAGTAAAGTAAATGACGTATTTAATTTTATCAGAAAGATCTTCTTTTGTTGCATTGACCATGGTAGTGATGAATGGTTTATCGGATGTCTTGTATTCATCAAGTTTGTTTCTACCTTCATTCACGAACTTTTGAATTTTTTGATCATTAACATCAATTTCAGTAGGTCCTTTTTTTTCTTCGTAATCATAACACTCTTTTGATTGCTCATAAACAGTAAAATCAGAGGAAGATACATTTTCTTTGACAAGCATGTGACATTTTAGTCGTGAACACATGTCACAATCAGGTACCAGTAGGACTGATACGTTGTACATTAAAGAATCATCTTTAACCTAAAAATGAATTAATTGTTAATAGATTAATATTTGTTACATAAAGATTATGGTAATTTATTTTCATAATAATGAAAAATAAAATATAAAATGATGGTAATATTTACCGAAACTTGCTCAACGTTTAACAAGGTTCCACACAGAAAACTATGATTACTGTGTTGATTATTCATTGAATCCAAAACAATATTTAGGAGTAAGTTTTCAACATTTTTCTTAGAATGATCGACAGGAGATGCTATTATTGTTCCAACAATCATCAAGCTTAGGAATAGCACAGTTATATTGAAAAATTTGTATGCCATTTTGGGATTGATTTCACTGATGATTACTCCAAAATACAAATATCGGTTGTTTTCAATTTAAAACTGACTGGTCAACTTATTCAGTCGAATTGAAAATAACATGTTCGTTACAAAGTATTTATACGATTAGATTTTTATGTGAAACAGATTTATCAGTCATGATAATCGCTATCTTTGTTTAGCTAGAAGTTTATGTTGCTGTCTAACACCAATGACAAATAATAAAAAAAGGTTGCATAATCGTATTGTTAAGATAATGATGATGATGTTGAAAAAACTTATGCCAGCTACAAAAATATTTTGATGGTTTTGATAATTTTATAGAAAATATCGAATTCTATCATGAATTAATTAATTTATCCTATAAAGGTCTTTCCGCACCAGGTAATGTTTTTTAAAAAATTCCACTAAAAATATATTTAACAATACTACGCATTTAGTATTAAAACGTGCCACTGAAAAATAATCTTCAAATAACTCATAATTTGTCTGTTTAATATTCCTATGAATCATGTTCTTATAATAATGTTAAATCGTGTAGTTCTTCACAATACTTTTACTCTGTTTAAATAATAAAATTTTTCCACTTTATCCTTAGTCATCAGTTAACAATAATTTGTCTCAAATTAAATCTTTTAATGACAGTTGCTTTGTGGCACTTTATTTGAGACTATTATGAATAATAATAATTTGTATTTAAACATCATTAATTTAACACGCTTCTGAATGTCTATCCCAACGCCCGATTAATTTTAATTCGTATTTCGAAATCCTATTTACATATAAAGCCTTGTAAATAATTTTTTTTATTAATTTAAAACATTTTTTTTAACCACTAATCACTTTTTTCTGAAGTTTAATATTAATGAGGTTATGAATTATTGATAATAAAAAGTCGGATGTATTGTTGAAAGTATTTAATGAAAAACATTTTGCAGTAAAATTTATAATTAATGAAAAAATTATTGATAAATAATTTGAAGATATAAAAAAAGAGTTAATTTAATTTCTGTAACTATTTTTGTTCGAGCAAGAAAATAAAAATTATCCTAGTTTCATCTCACTTTATATTTATACCTATCATCAACTTACAATCAGTTAGTATATCACTTAATAAAAAATGGTTTAAATGGATTATATATAACAATATTGCCATAATATTTTATTGATTATGTAATAAAATCTCATTTAAAAAATATTATTATTTAATCGCTGATAATAAAAACGTAAAATGGATTAACTATTTATATTTCAATTCATTTTTCTTGGATTTCTCTTAAAATTAACTGTTATAAAAATATAATCAACTATGAAGAGCTTATAATTTTCATTCATTTTTGATAATTAATCATTATATCCACAAGTGGATTTAACAACACTTAGTTCTTAAGCAACAATAGCACTTGAAACATCAGTATTAACACCACAAGTACTGTCACCTCTATACACTCGATAGTATCCCTGCTCACCCCAATGTGTACCCCAACTGTTTTTAATGATCCAGTAAGGAATGGTTTTTTTGAAAATTGGATATTCTGTATCAAAAAAAAATGATTTCATTAAAAACTAATTACTAGAAACAATTTTTGTTTTATTAAAACGTTGAAGTTTCTGATACTTACTGTGTACTCCATATCCAACAATAAGAACTCCATGATCAAGATTATCCTTATTACAAAGGAATGACCAAGGATGTGAGATTCCTCCCATGTAAAATTGCATAGCATTAGCATTGATTCCAATAGCCATTGGACCATTTTTAACAAGCCATTGAGCCATTTTAGTTTCATTGGATGAGATATTTACTGCAGAAACGACATTCACAACAACTCTGCCTTTTTTGAAGTGACACGTTTCATCTTCACCATCATAAGGATAATCTTCTTCCAATTCAAGCCCACCTATTTCTTCAAGAGCTCTGTATGCATTCTCCTGAAGTCCTCCACCACATCCGTCATCAAGTTTATCACAATCCACTAACTCTTGCTCGGATAGAGATAACAATTTTCCATGCTTGATAGCATATTGTCCTTCAACATTTCCAGTTACTGAAAAAGCCCAACATGATCCGCATGATCCTTGATTTTTCACAGGAGTTACGACATTTTTACTTCTCCAATCAAACTCCACAGGCAATTCTATGTCAGGAATATCAGCTTCTGGGAAAGGTATTTGATTTTCTGATCTCAATTGAGGTTTTAAACCTGTGAATTTACGGAATTCTTCTTGGGTCAAATCAGCGAAAATTGTAGCTCCGTATGTTGCAGTTCCTTGTTCATGTTTTTGGAAATTTTTAGCAGTAATCATATTCTGCTTAAAGATCTCAAAACGATAATTTCTTTCCTCATCTGAACCGTATGATTTATTAAATCTTTTCTGGAATTTAGTAAAAGCTCGTTCATCTTCAATTTCCTTGGCTGTTTTCAACATTTTTGTTGTGTATCCTTGACCTTTAAGGCCTCGTTTCCTTCGGTTGTCATCACATTTCACTGTAATTTCCCGTAAATTTAACCAAGGTCGAGACCAAACTTCAATAACGCATAACTTGGTTGGACTATTATCAGCCAACAAACAATTACTAGAATACTGTCCCTTTGGACAATTACTTTCACCTATTTTGACAGTTATTTTATACAACATCCCAGCAACAACTTGTTGTGTTGCTTTAACAACTTCTGCAACAACAGGTTCTTTAGTACCTTGATATCCAGATGAATATTTTTCCATTCCTTCCTTCACATATAATTGCACATCAGGATTATCAATAGGAATCTCAGTAGTTCCTCCAACGAATGCTTCTCTCTTGAACCTTTTTCCACGTTTATCAAAGCACTGAGTCTCAATGACTTTCGCTGTATCAAGAGGATTACTGTTTTCAATATTAATTTGAATCTTGCAAATCTTCAAAGAGTCAGTAGATCGATGAAGACAATTTTTAACATTTTTTTGTCTCTCTGAACAGTTCGTAGATGCTGATAAAACTGTGATGTGATAAATAATCCCATTATTCTCTTCTACTTTTTCTGAATCTAAAACTTTAGCAATAACTCGTTTGTTATCATCTTGATCAATGTCATCTAGATAATTCATAGCTTTTTGTGCTAATTTCATGACAAACTTATTCTCTGATCTCAAAGATCTTTTTCTGCGAGCAACCTGGATCAAAGGATCTTGAGATCCATCAGACAGATTAGATTCTATTCTTTCTGGACGAATAACATCTTCAACAACTTCAGGGCCATTGAAGATTGGTTCTGATGGTTTCGTCGGTTTAATAGGAATATCAAAATCAGTCAAAAATTCATCAAACTCTTTCATTTTATCAGAAAATTTATTAGGCTTTTTTGGTATTTCCTCTTTTTTTAAAGTTATTTCTTTAAATGGTGCTTCTGTTACCTCTGGCTCAATTTCCTTATCTTGATAACCAGTTTGTACTTTAGTAACAGGAACTTCAAGAAGTTCATCAACGATGCTTTTATATGTATTAATTTGTCCTTCTTGAGCCAATTGATCGTGAGCTGTTGATTTTATTTCCTCTTCCTGGGTTTCTCCTTTATCATTATCAAGAACTAGTGATTCTCCCACTAACTCCGGTCGATTAAAATCATTCACTTGATTTAATTGATCACTAGACTCAGTACAGTTATTTTTTACCATCTCACGACTGTCAGGAAGCCAAGGACGCTCATCAAACACAGTTAAACACAACATTAGAGGTTTATTAGACTGGAACGTACATTCAGATCGTGGAATTGGACTTGTTTTGAAACAATCAGTTTCTCCAATCATCATTAACAACTCATATCGAACGACATCCAGACCTGGAGGAATAGCACGAGTGACTCGAACAATTCTATCAATTCTATACTTGAAGACATTATTCTGTATATCATCTAGACTTTTTAGCACGACTTCACCAAAGGTTTCTAGACCTGGGATGTTAGGATTTAGCTCATATGGACATCCGGGACAGTAATTTGTTGATCTTATAGCTATAAAAGGTTTATCATTCTTAGATGTAACACGTTGAACTTCATGATCAAGTTTTACACTGTCGTTTATTATTTGTTTTTCCAAATCTTTTATCATCTCTTGCTCCTGACGATCTGAAGTATGTTCTTGTGATATTTCATTACTATCTTGATTTGTCTGGGGTGTAAAATCACTGCATTGTGTTGATTGATTATCAACAATTAAATTGTTGACAACATCTTGGAGAATATTCATTTCACATATTTCTTGGGAACATGATCCTTCTGGGCAATCTGGATCTAGAATCACGGATACCTTCCAGATAGCATAGTCTCGTTGGTACTAAAAAAATATAAATATTTAGCAATAATATATTACGTTAAGTTGATTTTTAAAATTTTTGTTTAATAAGAATTTCAACTTGTTGAAATAGTTGTATCAATGCCAATTTCTACAGAATGATAAAGGTTCTTTCTGATAACCTTTAAACATTTCTGTCACTTCTAATCAGTTAAATATTTTTTGACCCTATTAATTTTACTTTAAAAAATTAAACTATCTTATTTTATAGTCAATAAGTGATTAATAATAAATAAAGTAGTACAAAAAATAGTCTACTATTCAATTATTGAATTATTTTTAGATGATTCAAGCAGTTTATAAACAATGAAAGAAGGATAATTTGGTTTGTATGCAGACATAAATAAATTCACTGCGTAAAAAGAGTAATTATTTTTACAAGTACAAAGTAATTTGAAAATAATTAGAGATGTTACATGAAAATATAATGATAGTTGTATGATTCTATATTTTATTTTTACAAGGTAATTATTAAAATTATATTAGTGAATAAATATTTACCGTCGGCTGTGCAAATACCAACTTTCCATTTTTATACGAATGTTTTGTTGACGAATGAGCATTTAAAAATGTCAAAGCCTTATGAACAAGTAAATCCGAAAAATTTTGTGGTGATAAATTGGCTGGGATTGTCGCCAATGCTCCAACAAATGTTAAACAAAATAATAACACTAATAGCCTTGAATATTTTGATGGCATCATTTTATCTGCCATCTTTGTCACTTTTCTTTATAACTTTCCACTTGTGAGTAATAGTTCTCGTTGGTCTTTCTGGTACAACACTGCGCGATTAACTGATCACGGCGCAGTTAAGTCATGAATAAGTATTTCAAGTCAAGACTTAGCACAGTCAGCGCAATATGTACATATGCAGCGAAGAATAATTTAATTTATACTGTCAGCTAATTGACTGTTCGATGAAACAAGGCCTTTGTAAAGGAATGTTTACTTACAAATAAAGTTTATTTTTTCTGATTATGCATTCACTATTTTGCAACGGTATTTTAACAAATAAATAAACAAAAACACATTGAAAAAGAAAATATGCGAGGACTCACACAGGAATTTTAAAGGAAGTTGAGAACACTTATTTACACCCTCAGTAATGTGGAAGCAAGAATGTTAGAAAAAAATTTTTTATGGTTATACAACCAACTTAAATATCAAATGCCGGATATTTTTAATTCTTTAATGAATATTAATGAGTTCGTTGAATGATATTAACTTTCTATAAATTGATGAATAAATAAATTAAATGTAATTTTATTTGTAGAATTGTTGTTTTCCTAAGGTACATGTATTAATCACGTCGGCAAATATAAATGTCTTGTTCAAATCATTATTCATTCTCGCTAAACATTGCAATGGATATAAATCCTTCGTCACGTCCGCAATGTGAAGAGTAATAACAATAACTTCAAGAACAAGTACAATTGAATAATGTTGGCAATTAACAAGAATTTCAGAGTTTTGAAAATTATAAATTAAAGCCACTAATTCGGGAAAGATTCTGAAGAGGGCGCAAAAGAGTAATGAGCGCCACCTTTGAGCAACTTTGCAAAACACGAAGTCAAAAAATAGTTCGACATTGGAACAATGGTGGCGCTTTTGAGCGTCTTTGCTTGTTCTTGACTGCAGTTCGAATCCGTCCATCCCGGTTTCCCCCTCTCGCGATTTCCCGCAATCTCTGTCATCACGAGGATCCAAGCACCGTCAAGAAATTTCCCTGGTCCCCAGGATGGCTGCTATGATGCTGTCCAATTGTTCACGAGTTGCACCTCGTGCTTTGACACGTTTAACAGCTTTTCCAAGAATTAAGGTAAGAATGATATTTTACTAATCACCTGGTTATGTTACTTTTACATTTATTTTTGGAGTGAACGTCACTTGCTTTAACTTTTTTTTTATCCTGATGGACTATCCCACACTTCGTTTGTTGAATGAACAATTGTCATTCTACTAAATCAGAATAATGTGTCAAGATGTCCTTGAAGTCTTTTTGCTAACCTAAAGCTTTTAGATTACATAATCTAAGAGATATACCTTTTCAGAGCATTCACCCTGTCATTAATATTAAATACATAAAACATAATGATCCACGTAACCGGCACAATGAATGTGAAGACATGAATTATTATCTTTGGGTTATCTTACACATTTTTCCACGTGATATACTTTTTTATTGGGCAAGAGTTATTTTTATTTTCAACTCAGCTATTTAGATTATGTTTTATGATTTCGAAATATTTTTTATTTTCTCTCTAATGTAGTAATTTGGATTTATTTTAAGAATAAGCGCTTTTAAAAAAATCAGTTAATTGTTAATAATTTTCTCTTCATTGCAGCTTGCGAGGTCATTGCATCTTGAAGGTATGTCAATATTTCTCCAGTGCATTTTCAATTTATCACGGTGATAAGTTTATCATGTTTACATTCTAGGGCGTGTTCTTAGGCTACAAGCAAGATGTTCAACAAAAAATTTATCGTGCTTGTAAGTAGACTTTGTATTATGTTCAATTTTTCATTTATTACTTAATCTTAATTACTAACTATAAGAATATAAATTGATTTTATTCTGAATTCAGGTTGTCCATAGAAAATCCTGTACATTGTTGGGTTCTTCATCCAAGAAATATTCATTCAACACAAATATTATGTAAGTGTGAAAAGTAATTTAAATATTCGTGAATGGCATAAAAAATTTGAATGTTTGATTAAACAAATAAATTTATTGACTTGAAGGTGAGATTAAAGACGTCATGGTGCCACCATTTGCAGAAAGTGTAAGTGAAGGAGATGTCAGGTGGGAAAAAAAAGTTGGAGACCAAGTTAAGGAGGATGATGTTTTGTGTGAGATCGAAACAGATAAGGTTAGTATATTAAAAGAAATCATAAATAAATTATATAAGTGACTCTTTCTAAACATAAATATCACTTTTTTACAGACCTCGGTACCCGTACCATCCCCTGGACCAGGAGTGATAAAAGAATTATTTGTAAAAGACGGAGACACCGTGAAAGCTGGTCAAAAATTGTGTTCTATAGATATTGGAGCTACTGGTGGAGCTGCTCCTGCAGCAGCTGAAGCTCCAAAAGCTGCAGCACCACCTCCACCACCCAAACCTGCGGAAACACCTAAGCCAGCAGCAGTTACTCCACCACCACCGCCACCAACAGCAGCTGCTCCTCTACCTCCTCCACCGCCTGCCGCAAGACCTCCTCCTCCACAAACACCAGCTGCATCCATGCCAGTAGCTGCTATCAAACATGCTCAATCTTTGGAAGGTGCAAAGGTCCAACTTCCTCCTGTTGATTATTCCCGGGAAATTATTGGAACCAGAACCGAACAAAGAGTTAAGATGAACCGTATGCGCCTTCGTATCGCTGAACGTCTTAAGGATGCTCAAAACACTAATGCAATGCTCACAACATTTAATGAAATTGATATGAGTAAAATAATTGAATTCCGTAAAGATAATCAGGAAGCTTTCACCAAGAAATATGGTCTCAAACTAGGATTCATGAGCCCATTCATAGCTGCAAGTGCTTATGCACTCAAAGATCAACCAGTGGTCAATGCAGTTATTGATGGTACTGATATAGTCTATCGTGATTACGTTGACATTAGTGTCGCTGTTGCAACACCTAAAGGTCTTGTGGTACCTGTACTTCGTAGTGTAGAAAATAAGAACTTTGCAGAGATTGAAATTGCCATGGCGGCTATTAGTGATAAAGCTAGAAAAGGAAAGATCTCGGTTGAAGATATGGACGGTGGTACTTTTACTATTAGTAATGGTGGAGTATTTGGATCACTTATGGGTACTCCAATTATAAATCCACCACAAAGTGCTATTTTGGGAATGCATGGTGTCTTTGACAGACCCATTGCAGTTAAGGGCCAGGTGAGATATAAATGAATAATTAAATTCATAATCATTTTAGATGCATTGTGAAATTATTTTAAATTTGTTCTTTTATTTAGGTGGTAATACGCCCGATGATGTACGTGGCATTGACTTATGATCATAGACTTATTGATGGACGTGAAGCAGTCATGTTCTTAAGAAAAATCAAAGAAGCAGTGGAAGACCCACGAATTATTTTAGCTGGTCTTTAAGTTCATTTATCATCACGTCACATCGAGAACACTTCTCACCTTCTTGAAAGAATATGAAAAATCATTAATTTGAATCTCCGTTGGAAGAAATTTTATTATAACATGAATCACAGTACATATCTTGTTGACCAAAACAGTCTAAAAGTTAAACTTCAACAGGATATATTTAACTGTACATTGTCATATAATTTTTAATTCTCATAAGATTTTATTTCATTTTCTGTTTCATGTAATCATTCAAATGTTCATATCCTTTGTTGATTTTATAAAAATTTTTAATGCCATTTTACAAGTGGGCGAGTCGTGGTGACTCGGTGTAAAAAAAAAAATAACTAGGAGTGATTTGATGGATACCAAATGTAAATAATGTAAGAATAATGATTGTTGCGCGATAAAACTACGCAAATGTAATGGAAGATAACTAGAAAAAATCTGATGATTATTTTAAAGTTTTTTTTAGAACAATTACACATTGTTAGGCCGACGAAAAAAATGGCAAGAGTAAAATGTGTTCAATTTTGACCAATTTTTCGTGTAGTTTAACACCATGTTAAAATTTGGATTACATAATTAATATTTATTATTAAAAATACGAAACTTAAATAAACTTCAAATGAAATAAAAACAAAAGTTACTCATCTCGTCTACAAACAAAATACCGAAATTAAAATAATTTAAAAATGTTAGTTTAAATAATTATTAGTATTTATTTTACTCTTACAATTCTTAATTATTTATAAAGAGTTTTAAATGCGCAAATTGTAGATGAGTATTATTAATTATTAACATTAATGTATCAACCTGAAAGTAAAATAAAATTCCCATCACTAACATAATTTTTGAATTAAAAAATTTTTCGCGCTTTAGAATTCTTTTTTATCATCGCATCAAGAATCTTTCTGTCGGTAACTAATTTAAGAATTTTGTGTATCCAAAAAATATGGCGTCATTAATGACATCATAAAGTTCCTACGTTAGATGTGATTTTACGTGTGCTGTAGAATACAATTATTTTTCACCCATATTATAATTTCGATGACATCATTACACTACGTACTGCTATAGTCAGACACGATAGCACTTCGCAACTACGCGTCAAACTCAAGAATTCCACCTTGCTCCATTTCATCATATTTTAGTTTACAATTTTTTTATTGTATTCTAATTACGAAGTGCAATATTATGTACATATTTTTAGTGAAAAAGAATGTGAGTCAGTTATATAAAGTTAGAAGATGCTCATTAGATTTAATTTTCTCATAACATTTGCCTAAAATAACTATGCTTATTTGTAAATAATTATAACAATTGTAAATTTTTTTGATCGACTTCTGCAATGTTGAAAACGAGGATGAAAGAATTATGAATTAATTTATGATTTTTTAGCTAATGTATATAAAATTTTTACATGATTAATTTTTAAACAAACGAATCTTGTCAAGACTTGCAATAAGTTAATAAGGCTATGAAAGAATTTTAAAATTATTTATATATATTTTATTGTTAGCATTATTTAACAAATATAAAATGGATAAAATAACGACTTGTCAAATTGTAAATACATTCGATGAAAGCACATTATTTTTATGTGTTAAATGGAGCAAGGATGAAGTAAAATTAATTATTTTGAGAAATGGAGATGTTCCACTAATTGGTTTGGTGAGTACTTATAATTTATAATTTTTATATTATATATGAATTTAGGTTATTATTGCTAACTTTCTAGTTTGAAATTATTTAGTTAAATCTCATTAATAAAAGTAAATATTGATGTATATTTATATTAACATATGTTTTATTTATTATTCATAGACATCGATTGCAGACCTAGCTAAGAAAGCTGAGAATTTTAAAAAAACTGAAGAAGAATTCATCAAGGAGATTCAAGTACAATTATTAGGTCAAGATGAAGAAGTAAAATTCACTCTAAAAGATTCAATATTCACTTGGAAGAAAAAAATATGGATCCATGGCCAAGTGAAATGTGAAACGATTGATGATACTCTTAAATTTGCAAATGAAATAATAGAAATATTGATTTATAATTTAGAAATAACGAAAAGTTTTCGAAAGCTCAAAGAAGAACATGATACCTTGAAGCAAGTCAATAAAGAAATAGAGGCAACAATGCAAATCTTAACTGATGATAAAAAAACAATTGAAGAAAATATGTTGAAACAATGTCTTCCTTTGTTGAATTCAAAAAAAAGGAGGATTCGCGAGCTTGAAGAAGAAAATAGTATATTAAGAAGTAGAAAACATGATATTTTTAATCAATCGACTGACGAAAGTGATGGAGACAATGTCCAGAGTGAAGACTTTAGTCAAAAGAAGAAAGTATTGAAAAAAAAATTATATATTGAAGCAAGCAGCTCAAATGAGTCGAAGATTATTGAAAATAAAAGAGCCAAGAAGCAAGAGACGAAGCTTGATAAAAATGAACCACGTAATTTTTCAATGTTCGAAAATATTGTAAGAGCTATTGAGAATGAGTGCTCTTCATCGGTTGATCATAATATCTAGATCATTGATCGTATTTCATACGTAATGAGATATTTTTATAATTAATATGGGATTCAGCAATCTATGATATCGATATGTATTTACTTATATATCAAGGAATTTTATAAAGTGATAAAATTATGTATTTACAATGCATGAGTCTTGATAACCAAAGGAATAAAAAATCATCTAGAAATTTTCGTCAAGATTTTTAAAAATAGATATCATTGTAATTTTGAACTTCCCACACAGGAAGTTAATTATTTTAAAAACGTACTTATTTTTAATTTATTTATAAATACAATCATGTAACGATTTATATTGTAGTTGTTTAAACTATAAAAAGACTTTATGTTTTCCATCATGAAAACATCAACCATAGTCATAAACCGGTGAAAGGATTAAAAATATTTATATGTATAAATATTTTATTAATGTTTTTTGTATTTTAATATATTTATTACTTAAATTTTTCGTCCTTAATTCATCGAATGGAAGCTAAATAATAAAGGAATAAAATGTGCTTAGCCATTAAAACTGATTACTACATTTTTATCTGAATATTATCAGTTGATTTGAAATTCCTATGTTCCTTTGAAAGTCACAATTTTAAAATATATTAGGATTTTTAAATGATAAAACTTCCAGGAGTTGTATATCCAAAGGAAATCACTTTTATTTTTTTTCTACTTCAAACTCATCTTGCAAATGTCGATAAAGTAGTTTTCCTTCATATTCAACATTCATATGTGCTTCGTTTTTATCACCAATGACGTATCAAATGCAAAAAAAATGCTTGCTAAAAAAAATGAGTCGTTTTCTGTACTGGTATTTGATGTAAACGTATTCATTTAATTATCTTTATTCATCCACACATGTTAAAGTTTTGATAAAAATTATTTCTACGAAAAAAAAAAATTGTATTGCGAATTTTAAGATCAATTATTTAAAAAAAAAAAACCGTTAAACATAAGAATGGTTCATAAGTAAATATTGAATTGATTTATTTTCTTTATTAAAAAATTGAGTGGAGTATCAAACAAAGGAATTGGAGCATTCATTGCTCCAATCCACAATAAATTTACTACAAATAATTATTCATAACCAAATTAATTATAGGCTTAAAAATAAATAATAAATTTTTATATATTTTTAAGAATAAGTATTAGATATTGATGAAAGTAGTATCAAAAAGCGGAAACTCTTACCCCATTGACATCAATTATCGCCAACGGTGGTGGAGTTACCAATTTTTGACGCTTTACATTCTTTTGCAAGCTGCATGACCTATTAAATACCATTCTTAATATTAAAATTATTTATAAATATTTTATTTAAAAGGAATTAATTTCAGTCTTGAAATGATGAAGAAAATCTTCAGGATGAGTCCTTACACTTGAGACACCGTGTAGAATCATGGAACGTGCAAAAAAGAACGCCAATCGTACGACCTTGACCGGAGTCTGTGTAGCAGCCAGATAAGGTTGTCCACCGAGCCTTAAGGATTCTTTGTACGTATGTTGAAAAAATTCATATAAATACTTACACATTTATTAGCGTTAAATAAATATTTTCTATCCTTGTGAACTACACAGAAAAAAAAGTAATTTAAATAGAAAATTACTTCGTAAGAATAATTATTGTTAATTTGATGTCATATTACAGTAATTATTGTTAAAATAATCAGTCAAGAAATTTTTCTATGGAACGCTAAGTTTCATTTTATGGTTCAGTAAAGTTGAAAAAAATTACAATAACTATAGAGAAGATGCGAAAATGTGTTATTCGCTTTCCATTAAATTTTCACTTTCATATAACCTTGATCTGAAAGTCAGAATGAAGTTTATTTTCAATATCAAATCAATAGGTGATTTAAAAGCAAATATTTATCAACAATAGCATATAAAGAGAGTCTTAAAAGAACATATACATATATTTCAAAGTGTCTTTTTTTTTGCAATTTTAATACTTACCGGCTTTATAAGTCCAAATTTTTACACAATTTATCACGATTTTGTTGGCGAGCACTGTTTGTTGTCAATGTGGTTGGAAGAAGGATGTATTAATGGTTATATTGAATCAGTGATGAACTAAACGTAATCAAGCTGCAATAAATACTCGAATGTATTTGAAGTCAAGACGTGAAGCGCAGTACTGACGACGATCGAGAGCGCGTGTGTAGGCTGACCAGGGTAGAAAAGGAAGCCGGCGTCGAAGCTATGAGTAAAGTAAGAAGGAGACGTAGGGGAAGAAGAAAAATAAGAATAAGAAGAAGGAAACCATTGGAGCCCTTGAAAGGAGAATTGGAAAGTATGCCGGCAAAATTCATGCCAGCGACCTTGACTACATTTTTCCCCTTGACTTTCTTGACAACGTGCTTTCCGTCTGGTTGACTTCCAGCTGAACAACTCAAGCGCAAGCTTTCAACATATCACGTATGTTTCTATGGTATTATTAAACAAATTTTCATGATATTTCTCATCATACAGTATTCATATATTGGTAGGAATGATGGTGTAAAAAAAAACTTCAGTTGCAAGAAGAAGAAACAACTAATGAAGTGGCGTTCTCCCATGGTGGCCACTTCATGAACCCTGTTTTCTTCAAGAATTCATAGTGGGGGTGAAAGATGGCCGCCCTCAGCGACTGCTTGGCTTGGGAGAATAAAAAAATTAATAAAATAAAAAAAGTGAAAAAGCGAAACGCGGGAACCGGTTTCACAGGGGCAGTTTCAACCTCTCGGCAAAATCATCTGTCTGGCTAACTTCTGTGAGTCCTGAATTCTTCTGCACATCCACTATTTCATTGCGAATCTTCAAGAAAATCCAAATGATGGTTATTTTCTTCAAAACTTTTCATTTTATTTCTCTACTGAAGGTCTTCTTTTGATACCGATTTAAATATTTTTTAGGTTAATTTATTACTAAGGTTTTTATCATTTATTAAAATGTTAAATATTTTAGAATTTATTATTTCAAGTATTTGTTAAAAAATGTAGAAAAACATTGAATTGAAGTATGAATTCAATGATTTATCAATTAATAGCATTTCAACCATTTTTAGGATATTGCAAAATTTGAGCAACTGAAACAAAGAAATGTGGATAAATATATGTTATATCTTCTGATGTTATTCTCACAATTCAACAACGTTTAAATAAAATAGGAAGTTACTATGGTAAAATACTTCGAAATTCTTTGAAGAAAAGAAAGAAAAAAGGGAGGAAAAAAATGAAATGAGGTAACACACAAAGCGCCACACCTGCTTGCATTAATATACGGATGCCGGTTCACACACTATTGCCTTGTTCTATGCACTCTCATACTCAATTTTGTTGGGTTGTAACGACTATTTGTGGCAGGTGAGACAAAATGGTATCCGCAAGACAGCCAAGTGCACTTGCTTCTTTTCTCTTGCACATCTAGGTATATAATAAATTTACTCAAACAATAAAGAATTGGATTAATTTTTTTTTTAATAACGATTTTATTGCTTGAAGATTTCTACATTTATTCATGTGATGTAGGTTAATAGTTGATGAAGCATAATTTTCATTTTTTATGGAACAATTGGCTTTTAATGGATCCTTAAAAAATATTTTCACTTTTAGCTATTTTGTTTATTAATACCAATTAACTTTCTCCTTGACCGTTACGTACATATTTATTACAACTTATGTCAAATGATCTAATGTAATTTCCTTTTTGATATTCATATTTTATAATCGTAATGATAAATGCTGATTATATTATGCAATTGGTACAAATTTTGTGTTCATTATTTATTCAACAAAACTGGATAGAACAACATTTCTCTCTAGTCAAAATAAATTTTTTCTTTCACAAAATATATTACTAATAAAGTAAATTTTATTATATTTCTAGAAAATTAACTCAAAGAACTGCTAAAAATATTTCACAACACGATAAGATAATGAATAACCGAAAAAGGAAAAATATGCAGCATTTAGTAAAAAATGCAGTCAAGTTGCAATTCTGCATTTTTTGTTTGTAGGTAAGAAATTTTTGTTACTTTTTATTTCATTGAATTATTTGATAAATATTTTAAATAAGTAATATTCAGAATAATATTTTATTCATTTGTATTTGATACATTTTTTTATATATAAATAATTCATGATAGCAAATAATGTAAAAATTTGAAAGTCATTGTTTGTTATTAATAAATTTCACTTCTTTAGACATTTAAAAAGTTCCATTTTTTATGTTAATTTTACGAACATAATTCTGTCTTTGCTTGTTCTAGAATTCTCAGTAAAATGACTAGAATTTTCTCCACACCAAGACAAACAGTAATTCAAGATAAATAATCACTTTAATATCTGGAATTAATATACCGTTTCGACTACCTTTCAAGTCAATATGACCTTTAAAATAATAAATAATTTATAATCCACACATATTTAAACATCCCAGAAGTATCTCATTGTTGAATTGTAATGGTAATATGGACGGAAGAAACAAGTCATCTGGTATATGGAGAGTGATCGCAAGATGTCAATTACCGTGACCTTGGGATGGCATTGAGTTAGCGGGAGAAATAAGACTATTTCCTCGGGCTTTTTAGTCATTTTGTCCCACAGATTAACAATTAAAGTGTTGCATATATTGCCAAGAAACCACATTAAGATAATTCTGTGGTTGCAAATGTGATGCTGATGGTGTAGATGTTGCGTACAACGTTATTCTGACATTTTTTTTTAACCATTTCAAGTACTACCATACCAAGATCTCCAAGAAGCAGAAACAATCCGGCATTCCAGTTGGTAAGTCAAACTAGTAGCTTTATAGCAAACAGGACTTTGGAATAATTAGCTAGAAGAAGATTCTAGATATATTCTTTTTTATCAATTTTTTTTTTATGAATTGTGCTTATACTAATACAATTGTTATTCTACAGTGGTTTTGATTTTCCTGCACGCATCGTGCTCTACAATTCTTATAAATTGAAGGAAAGTTGGTCTCTACTTCAACTCCTTTAGCAATTTAACGGGGATATAGGTATAAGAACTCAGAGACGGGGAGCTGCTCGAGATAGTTCGACATAACACACCACACCCAGTCTTACACTGCGTGAAAGACATGATTGTGCCAATTAAATTTTTTGTAAGTATCTATTTTTTGGTATTTTTTTAATAGTTTATCAAAACCTAATATCCAAAAATAATCCTAATTATTAATTAAATTAGTTATTTTATTTAAGTTTTAATTCAAAAATTTTCATTTACTAATTCAACATTTTTTATTGATTAACTTTTCAGAGCAAAAATAATCATTTTATTTCATGAGTGAAAAATAACCAATTTGTTGGATAAAATTATGAAAGTAATTAAATAGCATAACGTGACACTGTGAAATATGCAATTAAATAATTATGGCAAGAGACATTATACCAAACTAGATTATGATGTAATACATCATCTAGTTCTTTCGTTTTGTTTTTTTTTTTTTAAATGCTTAATCTTGTATCAATTACATTTCAAGTTATTTAGTTCTCTCATAATTATTCGAGTATAAATTATTTACTATTCTTGTTAAATGAGCGAATCGGGAGTATATCTAAAAAAAATAAACTTTTGCATTTGTTGCGTGACCGAAAGAGAAAGTAACCGATTTTCACATCTCCTTGTCCAACTTAATTCGGTTAACGTCTCACTAGGTTTTTAACTCGAAATGTGTGTTATTTTCTTTCACTTTTATCAACGGGTTATGACAATTTTTCATGAATTTTAACTAACTCCAAAACACGTTTATCTATTTTTTTTCCAATCCAATCCGGAAGTGTTATGTTTATTCAATCGATTAATTTATATTCGGTCATACGAGCCAACATCAAGGTTCATTGGCTCATGACAAGGAGATAGGAATTAAATGGAATGTGGTGCGGTTACTAAATTGAATATCCAAGATTACATTAACGTATAAGTAAGAGAGAAGAGAAAGTGATATAAATGGTTCATAGCACGTGCCAAGGATATATTTAACTTTTTCCATGTGTATAGAAATTTAAATGAGCTTATATGCATAAGGAAAGTCGATCTAGTATTCGGTATATGATTATTATAATAACTAGTAAAATAACCATTTTTTATTTTATGTCCATAGCTATTGATATGTGCCGTGGAAGTCGTTTGGGCACAATTTCCAGATTTAAATTCTGATCCAATTCAAAAAGGACCAATTTCACGTACATCGACGCGCTTTTTCCCGCGTCAACAGCCATCACGATCTAATGTTGGACCACCATCAGGCATCAACAATCAACGTATACGACGTCCTATTGCATTAAAGTAATTATTTACTGTTCTTGTTTGCTCAATGCTGAGAAAAATTTGATGAAACAGTGCATTGTAACATTAGCACTTCAATTTTAATTATCAGAATATGTCTTTTGATTTGAAAAATTAAATTTTTTTAAGATATTTAATCAAAAGTAAAGAATTTTAATTTTATATCGTAAATAATCTACAGACTAATTAAATTAATTCCATGAGAAAATACCTTTGGATAATTTTTTTCTCAGTATAAACGATTGAATAAACGATAACGAATCTAATTAACACAATTTTCTCATCTTTTAAGGAATCGACCAGCATCAGAAGCGAATGAAATTTCCTCATTTAATCCAATTCGGCCAAAACCGACATTACTTCCGTTAATAAAACCAGAAAATCCGTCATCGCCGCCCCAATTACAGCGAGACCAGCCTATAAAACCAGTTAACGAAGAAAGTAAAGAGGAAGAGGAAGATGCTAATTCACCTGTCATTAAACCACTGAATCCAGTAGTGATACCTCAACCTCAACAAGTATTTCCTCAACAACCCAGTAATCTCTTATCTAGTCCCTTAACACCCAGGCCGGAACCAATCTTTCAATTCAGACCAAATTTGAATCCCACTTTTATCCAACCAGTTCAACCACCAACTCGTGATGAAAACATTCCACCAGTTCAATATCGCCCACAGAAGCCAGTTAAATTGCGTAAGCCTATTCAAGAAGACGACGAAGTTCACATTTCAGTGAAGCAACAGTATCAGCAGCCGTCAATTAACAAACAATCGTACAATAAAAAGGCTGGGTATCGTGAGAAGAAACCTGTAGCACAAGCGATTCGTCGTTGGAGAGAGGATAATGATGACGGTTCTATTACTTGGGGATACGAAAATGATGATGGATCTTACAAAGAAGAAATTATTGGTGTTGATTGTATAACACGTGGCAAATATGGATACATTGATTTAGATGGAGTTAAGAGAGAGTATTCATATGAAATGGGAATCAAGTGTGATGAACAAGAAGACGAAGAAGAAAGTGGATTTGTTGATTATCAAGAAAACAAACTAGTCTTACCTAATGGAAAAACAATTGATTTATCAAATATGGGTAAAAAACAAGGACGTAGACCTCAGCCACTTTACAGAAATTAAATTTTTTTGTTACACATTTTTTTATTGTTGTAACAATTTATTTACCTTCCTCAGGCAATTTTTCGTTTATTTTTCACTGTGTTAATGCGTACGTATTTTTAATAATAATAATAATAATTTTTTTTTTAATAATATTAATAATAGTAATTATAATGTTCGATAAACATACAAGGCAACGTGATAATACATCAATTCATCTCATGTAACTTAATTATTATCAATTCGTATACACAATACGTATTGTTTGCATTGTAATGGTATTGGTCCATTTAAATAACAAGTTTATGGAATATACAATAATTAATTTTACAAAAATAAGGTAAGTAAATTTATGATTTCCTTCATTTAATTCAATTCTCTATTGCATATTTCATGTTAATAATTTTAGAACTTTCATTGTAGCTTGGCAAGAGTAATGATTATAATTTACACTATTATTCTATAATACTATTTATTATATTGCTTTTAATCGATTTACCACACATATTCTAATTCAATATATTTTACTTAAATGGATGTTCTATTTATTGCTCATAATAAATTTCTCAATATAATTTAATGAGGCACTACAAATGAAAATTTTATAAATAGTTAATGCATTTAGACATTTATTACTTCTACTTATTATTTAATTACTTGTATCAAGTATTAAAATTATAAAAATTGAAACTCATGCAATAGAGATTTAAATAATTTTTAAACACACACAAATTCGAAACAAAATAAGTAAACACACAAAAACAATATTAAAATACTAGTAATGTAGAAAAAGAATATTCCCAATTATATTACAAACTTTAACGACATAATTTTTATTTAGAATATTATTTATAAATAAATATCGTTGTTTTGTAATGAATATTTCATTCATAAATATAAAAGTTTTGTAAAATTAGCAGTTCTTACAAGCAATATTCAAAATATATTATCTCCTTAATACTTTTTGAATCATGAAAAATCAATATAATGAACAGAAAATTATGACTTGGTATAGAGAGAAACATATAAAAGTATACCTCTTTGCATAAGCGTATGAATTAAACACAAAAGTATGAAAATAAATAATTACAAATTCACAATACGCGTGCAACAAAATTAGCAAATACAAAATATAGATTAATCGTGCACATAAATATACAAAAATATGTACAAAGTTTGAACAATTTTTTTCATCTTTTGTGTTTTTTTTTTGTGTGTATCAATCTAAATTCTACGCGATGAGTTAATGTTTTTTTTTCTAATATTGAATCTTTAATAAATCCAATTTATCCAACTATCAACACCACTAATAGCACGCAAAAAAATTTTGCATAGGCAACTGCACTATATAATCTATAAATTTACAGCAACTGACAAATATAGTTAATAATTTAGACACTTGATTATGATTTTATGTAGAGGTAGGTATACATAATATGTCGAATGGATATGATGAACATGAATGAGATTTATGTTCTCCTTCTTCTTGATATGCCATTAATAAGCCGGACTTGTTACAGTCGATACTTGTTTAGTACTTTCATGTAGTTGACCTTGGGCTGGAGTTCCACTCTTTATTGCTTTGAATTTCAAGAAGGCATCAAAAGCATAGGTACCCAGGGCACAAAATCCAAAGAACTAAATTAAGATGAGATCAGTTAAAATTTTACTATTCAACCCTCAAAAAAAAAAAAAGAAATAAATTAAAATACTTACTGCAGCCGCACCATAAGCTTCTCTTCCTCGAGCAAAATCAGCAGCTAATGAAGCAGCCAGGAGATAAAACAGACTCCAAATCGCGCAGAAAATGAATTCCTGTAATAAATAAAGAATTTAGAAAGTGGATAGTTGTGTAAGAAAATAGATGAAAAATTATTCAATGCATTTAAAAGCGCATTAGCAATCAGAATAAATATTATCAAATGCTCTAAAGAGGCATCAAGAAATTTCTGTGCGTTTAAAAATTTTTATAAAAGTATGAACAAACAACAGCTTATGTATAAAGTATATATGAAGTAAAAAAGAGTTAATTATTCAATCTAATTGGAGCTTGATATCTGATATAATAGGCTTATCTACTTGATGAGCATATTATTTGTTGAGTGGTGCATAGACTAATGTTTCAATGTGAAAACATCCAACAAAATGTTGGTTTCATTGATGGAATAGGGAATATAATAATGAAATAAAATCCAATCTGTATCTACTTAAAAATGTTTGAAAAATCTCAAAACCTGGATTTTTTCAACTGGTGTCGGTAAAATTAAATTGCAGAACCGGAGTTGTACGTGGACTTACGTACCTGAGCATGTTTTCATTCCCTTTACTGTTAAACATAATGAAAATATGAAAGAAAGAGAGTATGAAAATGATGGTTCAAGTGTTATGACTCATGATATATAAATATAATTGTGATTGAAGTATTAATATTATTCAATTTATCAGTACGATTAAAATGTGATTAGTGTGTTAAGTTTGTTGATATTACTGAACAAAAAATCACATTAAGTTGACGACAATTAATACAAGTGAAGATGATAACATGGTATTTTTAATTTATTATCAACTATAATATAAAATATATATCTATTAAAAAAATTATGAAACCACATCATCACCTTCTTTTTTAATATCAAATCAATTACATCATTGATATACTCACTATTTTATTCCATGGTACCCTATAAAATTTCTCCACTACATGGAATAAATAAAGTCCCAAGAGAATTCCAGTGAACCAAAAACCTAGCATGGCTACTGTATTGAACCAATTTCCACGACTATGAGATCCAAATGCGGAGCAAGTGATGCAAATAAATCCCAAGAGATTTAGAGCCTGAAAAAATGTATAACTTTAATTTTTGTGGTATTTTAAAACTTATCAATATGATGATACATTATTTGGTTCTGAATCATTAATTGTTATCTTTTATTGATATTACTTTTATCATTTTTATTTTCATTTCACTTGATTAGATTCAAGTTATAAATGACTATTATAAATATCTTACCATCTGTGCACATTTTAACATGCCCGGTAAACTCCTGATGTAGGATGGATCGAATCTCACATTTGGTTGATGTGTTGTCGATGATGTAGTGACTGTTGTTGTCGTGGTGTGCTGTCCAGGAAATCCTTGCTCCATTTTTGTTTGTTATCTATATGAACCAGACGAAATAAAGCTTCATTAATAAATTAAAAGATAACAGTAATTAAAATAACGACAACTAATTAGATCTTTTGATTGTTAATGAATTATTAAAAATATTTATTTATCAAAATGATGTGACTCTAAGACAGTTATTGAATTAAAATTGAAATAGTTGGACTGGTGAAAATAGAAACGATGCATGTGGGCGTCATCATGAAACACTATGATTAACATTGTCATTAAAATCAATAATAAAATAATAACTCTTCATATGGAGCCTACTAACGCATAAATAACAATTAAAAATTTTAATTATAGCTGTAGAACTAATAAATGCTAATTTAAAACAAACTCCATGAATTGTCACGAAAACTTTTATTATCGTCAATGTCACACTAACATTGACATTATTTGAAATCTATATTTCATACTTACGGAGAAATAAGTTAGCTCGTAAGATTTTAAGTAAGATTATTGTAAAAACATAATAACGAGAAAATCAATAAAAAGTCGAGAAGATAAGGAGGAAAAAAAATATGATAAGAAAAGATAAACGGAAAGCAATAACCGCGAAATGCCACTCCTTGAATAGAAGAAATCTTATAGAATTAACTGGAGATTATTGTTTAATATAATGAGACGTCTGTTGAGTAATAGTGTGAGAAGTTGAAACATAAGTAATTAAAATGCGAATAATCACTTTCTGATGTTAATATTCCATTTATATTTCACTTGTGCACTGTAACAATTATAAAATTCTGTCAAGTTTTGATATTTAACCTTTCTAATGATGATAATAGCAAGATGAGGAAGAATTCGCAAAAATTTGATACGAAAGAAAGCGTGTAAAACTTACGACTCAGCAGGAGAGAATAACAAAACGAACACCCGGGATGCTGTAATACGATGACCTAATCCACGCGGCCTTACCAAAGCTTCTCGTTTTACTCTCGACTCTTGTACGAGGAATTTTGCTATCCGTATAGTTTATAATTGTGTTAGTAGGCGGGATCCAGAAATGCCGTTGGAATTACATATGTACAGTACTCCGTTTCATATCGACCCGAATTAATCAATGTTTTTTCATGCGTTGAAACGACGCCGTTTTAATACCGGAGTTCTGGGTCAGTCCACGAGAACCGTCAATGCTATTGAATATTTATGAATGCAAATATGCAAATAAAATTAGTTTTAACAAAAGATAAAATTGTTAAATATATAATTGTTGAATTTACGTACTTGATAATATCTTTGAACACTTTAGCTCACTCGTTCTTTTTCCTTTTACTGATTAATACACTTAAATGACGCCAACGTACGGTAGCCAACTGACTGTAGACATCAAAATAAAATGCCAACGCAAGATCCTTTTTCTCTCTTTATTTTCTCATTCTCTCTTACTCGGCCGTCTTCTTCCTCTATACCGGTGAAGTGTTGGGAAAGTAGGAACGTTGGTGCAACAACATCAACAATTCAGAATTGAGATTTCAATTTTTTTTTTTTACAATAATAAACAATATATAGTTATATCTATTTTTAGGCAATAATTAAAAGGATGATAGTTGTATAATTGAGAACTTTATCAACTTTTTTAGATATTTATATAGAGTTTGTAATACTACTGGAGAGTTTTATATATTCTTTCAGAACATAACCTATTTTTTTAGAACACAGTCAGCGAAAATTGGATGTTATTGCAGGTTGTAATTGATTGTCCTATTTTATAGTTGATTGATAAGCCTCTTCTTAGAAGAACGCACAGTGATTAACCACATTTTCTTGAAAATATATCTATGAAGTTGTTATCAAAAAGTATTCTTGATTTCTTTATAGGAGTGTGCGTAAGTCATTGATTTTAATCAACTAAATTATCATAGAATAAATGTAAATGAACAAATATTAATAATAATCCATATAAATATATTGTTTATTGAATTAAAAACTGAGGAAAAACACTGAGAATATGAAGAAATTTGTTTTGAGATTTTGGAGGGAAAATTGGCTATAGCAACTGTTCTTTAATCTGAAAATTATCGACGGTTGGTAAGTAAAGTGAATCGTCGGTAAAGTATAAAAGTTTGTTTTCTGGAGAATATTTTGATGATAACTGATCGATCTAAAACAAAGGATAATAAAATTGCTTTTTTATTCAGGCAGAGGGGGTGAGTGACTCAGTCTTCTTCCTGAGTCCTAGTTCAATACCCACGTTGTTTGGAGAACCATAACCTTTTATTAAAGAATCACAATAACACATTCATCAAATTTATATTGTTTTGGTACATTTCGTGATTGATTACTAAAAAATTTTGTAATAATGAAAACTAAAGTAAATCAGAATCTTGATGATTATAATGATAGACGTGATAAAACACTTTACGTTCGTTTACCACATACGATTCATAATGCAGACGAGGTGCAAAAATTATTTCCAATCCCTGTAGAAGTAAGATTGCTTCGACAATCATCAAGGAATTGTCATGTTGTTTTTTCGACAGTAGAAGAAAAAATGAAGAATTTAGAACATGTGAAACAACAGGTTATAAATGGAAAAAGAGTTTACGCTAGTCTGATAAATAAGTCTTACGTTAAACGAAAATTGATGAAGAAACCAAATAAAAAACTTGTTATCCCTGAACCTTCACCCTCTCCAAAAATAACTCGAACGTGAGTATTCTTCAGTGTTATTTTATTTTATAAAATTTATTGTCTAATTTTTATTATAAATAATTATTCTAGACTTTACGTCTGTAATATCAATATGAAATCAACCATCGATGATTTGAAAGAAGCTTTTGGTGAAGTAAGCACGGCAGCATTTATCAATAAAGAAAAGAATAAACACAATACAAAGTATGTATATTTTTATTATTTAATACAGTAAATAAACAATACAAAACTAATTTTTTTTTATATTTATTACAGAGAAGCAATTGTGAAATTATCGAATGGTAAACTCGCTGCAGAATATTTAAAAAATGAAAAAGAACCACCTTGTCTTCATGGGAATAAATTAATAATTAAACCAGACACACGAAAACATCGGAAATCTGAGAAGTTAAGCGATAAGAGTTGAAGTAATTTATAGAAAATATTAATAGATAAATTAATGGTTCAAACAAATACAATAAAATTTTGGAGTAAAACATTCCACTAAGTGATGTTATTGATTTTATAACCTAGTAAATTATTAAATGAAAATATTTTATTTGTATTTTAACCAAATAATTTACTAAGTATCGAATTTTTTTAATAAAATAATTAAAATGCATTGTAAATAGTTTTTAAATCCTATCTGATTAATGTTATTTATCGACACAAGATGTCAGAATGATCAATTGGAAGCATGGCTGTATGTTAAATAATTAAAAACGCAAACAAATCCATATATTTTTATTTTAATCTTTATAATTTCGCTATACAATAATCAATAATGATTATCAATGAACAAAAAATAACAGGGATTTTGAATTCTAATATCAGTGAACATCCTAAATGTGCCCACGGTATTTAAAATTTTTTTTTCTATTCAACTACCTTCTTTTAAGGCTAGGATAACCTCAATAATCAAATAATTTCTTTTAGGACCCACTTTATTATTTCAAAGGACGTATAATGACAACAAAATTAAATATTTTTATGCTTGTTCAGCTTGTAGAGATAGGAAATTATGTAATTTCTATTTAGAAAAAGATCAACAAATGACATTGTCCCAAAAAAAATTATGGGATCAGCAACTTCAAAAGCTATCTAAATCTTACAATCATCAAAAATGCTTCATCAGATTTAATCAATTATTATGTGAATCGCCAGATAAAAGACTTTATTGTCATACATGTGAAGAACTTTTATCTAGCAATGATAGCCACAAGCATACCAATCATGAATTAACATTTAATTTAACTGATGATCAAATGATGAACCCTACAACATTTTTGCGACCTCTTTCTGATGCAAAAAAAGAAGCACAATATTTATTTTCTACGAAAGCTACTGTTGATATTGTTGATATGATTTTAAATCAAGGTATTAAACATGTTTTGTGCATAGGAGCCCCAAGGATTCATGAATTTCTAACTCAACATTACAAGGAACAAGTGTCTAGCCTTCTTCTAGATTTTGATAAAAGATTTGTAGGTATTTCAATTATAAAGATAATAATATTTAAATTATAAACAATGAATTTTCTTAATAATTATATTTTTTTATGTACAGCATAATTTCTTCGGACCTCTTGAATACTGTTGGTATAATCTCTTCAATAATTATTTCTTCAAAAACGAATCCAAACAAGTTTTTAAAGACTTTCTAACCCAGAATAATGGTAAAGATATTCTTCTAATCTGTGATCCACCTTTCGGAGGTAGAGTAGAGTTTATTTCTCAAACATTAAGGACAATAAGTGATTTACATAAAAAATGGAATAAATCCCTAGGAGAGGATGAACTAAAAATAATGTTCATATTTCCTTATTTCATGGAATCAATCATGAAATTTAAAGCCAACCCTACTGATATTGATGGTGGATTAAAAAATTTAAGGATGACAGACTATAAAGTTGATTATGATAATCATCCTCTGTTTATAACAGAATCAAATACAGGAAGAAAATATGGATCTCCTGTCAGATTATTTACGAATATTCCTTTGCATTTGTTAAAACTTCCTGAGAAAGATGGTTACAGGTATTGCAAAAAATGTTTGCGGTGGGTGTCAGCTGAAAATAAACATTGTAAAAAATGTAAAGAGTGCACTTCGAAAGATGGAAGACAGTATCAGCATTGTAATAAATGCCAAAAATGTGTCAAACCAACTTGGAAACACTGTGAAGTATGCCAGCGTTGTGCTTTGGAGAATCATTCTTGTGAAATTGTTCAACAATTAGGTAAGATGAAGTGCTTTATATAACATTTAATTGGTCACCAACTCATCCAATTCATGTTAAATAATTAACTTTTATTTTTTAGATACTACAAAACATGATCTGATAAATAAAAACTCAAAAAAGAGCTTACCTAAATCACGTTTAAAACGTAAAAAACATCGAATTGAAGACGTCAGTAATAAGAAGAAAAAAAAACTTCTTTGACTTGACTTTATTAGCCAAAGATTAATAATAAAATTTTTTACCTTTATTCCGTGGTTTATAATCATCAATTGAAGAGTAAAAATGAAAGTTTATCCTTGTGATATCATTCTCTTTTTATACCATGGAAATGTTTCTTTCATAAAAAAGAAACCACAACAAATCCTATAGAATATTCTTTTCGTTCATTCAAACGATCGAATAATTTTCATAATCTTTAGAGTGCTTTATTGTATTGGTTTATCCATTTTCCATTGCCCAAAACATTGTCAGAATTCAAATGATCCAAGCTCGAGTGATATAAAACATCCGCCAGTGATAAATTTTACAGTATGCTCTAGTTGGTCTAGTCAGCAACATCAAGAATTATTTTTCATTTTCTGCTGGCCTAAAAGATAACTATGTCGATGATATATAAATTAATAACACTTGCTATTTTAATCAGTGCCAGTTTGGCGTGTTTGATCACCAATTGTCCACGTGGTGGAAAGCGTGGAGAAAGTCCATTGTTATCAATGCATAGTTTTATCAAAGAAGTAAGTTAGTTTATTTAATTCAAATATTTTCCAAGCTTAGATAAATTAATTATTGCTTTCGGAAACTGTCAATTTAACTTTAAACGAAAATATATTCTTCCAGTGTATGAGCTGTGGACCTGGAGATCAAGGCCAATGTTTTGGACCCAATATTTGCTGTGGATCAACAATCGGATGCTATATTGGAACCTCAGAGACTTATAAATGTCGAGGAGAAAATTTATACTCTCATCCTTGTATTGCTGGATTTGCTATGTGTCGAGATAATACTGCTCGATGTGCTGCTAATAATATCTGTTGTTCTCAAGGTAATATAAAATATTTCGAAAAATAATCATCTTAATTTTTAATTATCAACATAAATACTGGATGACAAGAATAATTAGTAACCTAAAAAAATTTGTTTAATTTACAGAGAGTTGTCACATAGATTCTTCATGTAAAATCGGTGATGATCTGCAATCAATGGAGCAAAAAAACTATTCTTATTGATATGACGATGAATTTGAAGACCAATAATTGATGATAAATCGGAACCATTAAAAAAAGATAAAAATTTTGGTTAAAAAATGTTTGCATTTTATTTGTTGTCATTATTTCTGTAATCACTAAATATTATAAATAAAGATATAAATATTGAAAAAGTGAATTTAAAATAAAAGACAATTTTCTGCAGTAGATAAACTATTTTTCTTCAAACTTCTTTACTCACAGTAGAGTTTTGAATGTCTGATAACACAAATAAATATGATTGCACCTCGAACTCGATTAATTAAAAATCTTTTTTTTAAGCAAAATGTGACACCATGTTCGCAATTTACTGTATTTATAAATTCATTTTGTTCAAAAAATAATCAAACTATTCAAACTTATGATAATAATAACAGAAAAAAATATGAGTCGATTAAAAATAATTTTTTAACCTATACAATCACAATAACAAGTGCTCTGAGTATTGGATATATTTTATATAAATGGAAAAATAAAACTCTTCATGACTTTTATTCTAATTTAACACTCCAATGTCCGCCAATTTATGCTTCAAGTTTATTCACCACTGATATTAGCCAGAACAGGAATAAATTTAATTTCATAGCTGATGTTGTGGAAGTATCAGCACCTGCTGTTGTGTATATAGAAATTAAGGATAATAATAGGTAACTTCAATTTCGTTATTTTTTTTTATTTTTCAAATTATATTTTATAAATATATTTAAATATATTCTATACACTTAATACAAATTATAATTAATTTTTTTCATTTTAAAAGAAAAAGTTTGATATTTTTTTAATAAAAGAATAGGATTGACTTTTTTACAGGTAAACCATCAACAACTAGTAATGGATCTGGATTTATTGTTAGTGAAGATGGTCTGATTCTTACAAATGCTCATGTTGTGATTAATAAACCAAGGACTTCAGTTAAGGTAAATTAAATACAACTATTTTGTTATCAAAAAAAATACCTAGAAGATTGGTAACAACAATTAATTTAAATTATAGGTCAAATTACATGATGGTTCCACTTACACAGGACAAGTTGAAGATGTTGATTTACATAGTGATTTAGCTACTGTCCGAATTAATCGGGTTTGTATCTCTTATTTAAAAATCTGTACATAAAAGATTAAATAATAATCATCAATGATCCACTGAAATGATGTCATATTCATCAGACAAATTTGCCGGTCATGAAACTTGGAAGTTCAGCTGATATTCGACCGGGTGAATTTGTTGTGGCAATAGGGTCTCCTCTTGCACTGAGCAATACCATTACGAGTGGAGTTGTGAGCAGTGCAAATAGACAAAGCGAGGAATTAGGTTTGCATCATAAGCATATGGGTTACATCCAAACAGATGCTGCTATTACAGTGAGTGTTTCTGTATTAAAAAGCTTGGAAACATTGCGAACTAAAAATATAAAACGTAATTAAAATTTATTGATGTTTCATTTTAATAGTTTGGAAACTCTGGTGGACCCTTAGTGAATTTAAACGGTGAAGCAATAGGTATAAATTCAATGAAAGTCACCGCTGGAATATCATTCGCCATACCTATTGATTATGCTAAAGAATTCTTAAAGAAAACTAAAGCTCGTCGGAGTGGCAAAGGTAATGGAGATTAAGTTAGTTAGAAAAAAAATTAAAGGATTATTACAAATAATAATTCATCATTATTTTTATCTCCAGGTCTTACTGATCACAAAAATCTTCATGATCACGTCAAACGTCGATACTTAGGAATAACAATGTTAACTCTAACTCCTAGCATTCTTTACGAATTACAACAGAGACATAATAATTTTCCTTCTAACATCAGGCACGGAGTTTTAATTTGGAAAGTAATGGTCGGATCACCTGCATTCAAGTAAGTTTATTTATACCAATAAAATTAATCTGACATTTTATATTTATTTATTATAAAAATAATAAAAATTATTTTTAAATCCTAGTGGAGGTTTAAAAGCTGGTGATATAATAACGCATGTGAATGATGAACCTGTTATTGAAGTTTCAAATATCTACAGTGTCCTAGAGAAGTCATCATCCTTGATCATGACAGTTGTAAGAAATGGTGAGATACTCAAGTTGAGAGTGGAGCCGGAAGATATTTGAACTATTTCTCTAGCGTATCAACAAAAAAAGATATTAGTAATGAAATAAAATGGATTATTTTGATGCTGATAATAAAAAAATATTAGCTTGCTCATTGTAAAAAAAGTAAAGTATAATTTGACATCTTTATATAGTCAATACTGATAAAATAATTAACATATACCTGTAGGCGTGGTCTTCATGATAGCTTAATATATGTACTCAACATAAACACACCTCCACTAAACCAAGTTTTCTCTTTATTTATTCTCAATCATAAGATTGTTTTTTTTTTTATTATTTTGTTAAACATATAAATAAATACATAGAGTATTAAAGTTTATCATTTTAAAACATCAACATGGAAGACGTGTTGGATTTGTAATATATATTCATAGCAACTACATGATCACTTTTGATAATGACCATCATTTTATATTGATATTTTTATACAATTATTACATCTACATGTTTCGAGTACAGTTCATAGTGTCTAGACAGTAATTGTATAACGAGAAAAATGTATTGCATAAAAATGAAATAATAAAAAATCCAAATTCCAATGACGTGTGTATATGGCAATGAACTCAAGCATAAAGATTAAATCGTTTAACTTACAACTTGAAACTATATCCCAAAAGGTATGTAAAGCTGCGTTTCACTGGAATGTTCACGCTCTCGTGCGCGATCTTCATAGCTCCATATAAATACTTGACGCAGATACCTTGCATAAACGACTTGGCATGTACTCTTGTTCTAGCAAAACTCGTTCCCCTTTTTTATCAGTAAGGGAAGTTACATGGTTGGTAGTATGTGGGCGTAAAACTGATTTTGTAGTAAAATAACGATGCAAGGGATTTGATGATTTTAAACTCTACATTTCTGAATGTTAAATTTATATTATTTTGAACATCAAAATTTATGAATAATTATTGTCATAGTTATAAATCATGAATAAAAAAAGCAAATAATTTTTAAGAGAAATTTTTTTTTTTTAATATTAATACTAGAATTTGTATTTGACATATATATTTTTATAATCCCAATGTCAAATCCAACGCAGGACACCTACATGATCAATTGTTCACTATCATTAAATCAGCCATGAGGATACTTTTATTTTAACAATAAAAATAAGGTTATCTTTTTATGCAATAATTATAGGTTAATTTTTTTATTAAATTTTTTGAATGACTAAAATATCACAAATGTTGTAATAATTTAAAAAATTCGATATAATTTGTTTTATAATCAATAAAAAAAATAATACAAATTATTGTATGAAACACGAAATGTATTAAAAGATGTAAAAATTGGTTCGAAACTATTATGTCGATGCGGCAGCTCGTGCTGAAAGTAATAAACAATGATTTATCGAGCTAAAAATCAAATCCCTAGTGATTTGTAGTCACGAACTTGTCAGGGAGGGATCTATAGGGCCCACCAGTAACTTCTTAACTGCCCTGAGGACTGTTTATAAGAGGAGGGAAGTAAGGCCCGCGCACACGGCTGCGCATCCGGAGAATCCTATATAAGAAGATGCATTACGCCGGACTCAACATCTTTTCACTCTCCTACTTACTATTATTTTATTCATTTCATCGATTAATTCATCATCATTTTATTGCTTACTGATTTTAATATAAACATTAATCGTCAATGTTTCAAGTGAGTAAATAAATATATTTCATTAATTAATTATCATTTATTTTTATTTAAACATGTGTATTTGTTGAATTTAAAAAAATGGCAGTTATTAAAAATAATTTTAAATTTTGTCAGTGTTAAAATAAAGTCTTTAAATATTTTTAATAATTTATTTTATAAAAAATTAAATTAATTTAATTCAAAACTTATTTGATTTTGTTTAATTTTTGTTATTAGTTAATTTTAATTTGGTGCTCATTGAGCCTGGCAACGTGTTCTCCAGTGTTATCTAATTTACAATATCATCATCAAAGCAATGACGGTACAGGTTACTATCGTTATGGTTTCCAAAGTCCGCACCATTCAAAAATGGAAACAAAATTAAATGGCATTACTCAAGGAGGTAAGTTTATTTAATAATAACTAAGCATTTAAAATAACGATTAATTAATTCGTTAATATAAATAATTGTCTAGGATATTCATATATTGATGCAAATGGTATTTTACAAAGCGTTGCCTACACAGCAGACGATATGAATGGATTCAGAATCCGCGCAAGTAATTTACCTCATTTATCAGAAAATTCTTTACTACCTACAAGCGAAATGAGTAAAACAACAGAGGCGGAAAGAAGTTACTTGGGAGAACAAAAAGCCAATGAAAATTCATTAAGAAGTTTGATGAGTAATACAAATGGATTGGTTAAGCATCCTTTTCTATTATCAGATAGAGAAGTGATGAAAATTCAAGTTCCTAAACCAACTCTTAATTATATTGTAAAAAGAACATCTCCAGCATTTTTAATACCAACTTCTACATCATTAGGATTACCAGTCCCTCATAAGATGATTCACAGTTCTCTTCATCATACTCAAGATTCATTAGGTCAATACGATTATAGCTATGCTGGTGATACTAGCGCTAAAAGTGAATCAAGATCATTAGATGGAACTACAAGGGGTGCTTATAGTTATATTGATGCTAATGGTTTGCTTCAACAAGTTCATTACATTGCGGATCACAATGGATTTCGAGTTCTTGCTACTAATTTACCGGAAGCCTAAATATTTATATTTTTTTTCTTCTTTATTATTATAATCATCATTGTGTTAAATATTTTAGTACACATTGGTTCATAAATTAAATATTATTATTTGTTAATTAGCATTTTTCTTATAATTATATTTTACTCCAATATAAAATTATAAGTATGAATGTATAATTATCAAATTTTATACAACAATTAAATAATAGAAAAATTAATTACTTATTTTTGATTTAATTTATCATTAATGAACCATTTGAATATCTTAAAAAGGACATGTATAATTATAGTAAGAAAATAAACAAACTCTACGATTATTTTTTATTTTATTCTCACTCAGTTCTTTCATGTATATTTGAGTATTATTGTACACAACCAGAATATATTTGGTAAATCAAATATCGCTGGCTCAGATTGTAAATCTGCTAACTCCATTCTTGGTCACGAATAACATTTGGAGTAATGTTTGACGTAAAAAGGGATGACAACAATTGAGAAACATTTTATCGTAGTTCAGTTAAAAAAATATCCCAACAGGACTAATATTGTTCATATTTATAAATACGTATGTTGAAAAGGGTTTTTTTTTTCTCTGTAAACCTTTTTCTTAATGGAGTTGGCTTGATTACACTCTCAGCTAATGATATGTATAATAACATGTATACTTTTTTCTTATACTTTAAAAGTCTGCTGCTTTAATAATTATTTTTTTTTTCTACCTACATATTTACACTTTGTGATTATGTTTTGTAAATTTTTTCGAGAATAATATATATATAGATATATATATATATTCTTTTTTGTTTTGTTTAAATAAATACCGTAGTAACGGTACATTTATACATATATTTATAAATATATACATACGGAAAGTAGTCATATATACATATAACAATTAATATAATACATAAATTCTTTATCATCAATAATAAAAATTAACATTATTCTTTCATACCAAAGCCGAGATGACTCGATACATATTTTTTCCATGTCATTTCAATTGTATAATAACATTATTATTATTTTATTTAACTTATTCACTTGTTTTTTGAATCAATAAAAAGACTAGAAGAGATTTACACTCGTCAGAATTCGGTGGTATTTATGATGATTGATCGATTAGTACTGCACGAGAATGTTTTACAGAATAGGACGGTAAGTATAGAGAGAAGGAATTGGTCTGATATAATATAGAGATCAGACAATATTAAATCACTTATTATCGGCACTTGCATAATTCGTTGCGACAGCACACAATTAAGCATCATAATATTGATGTATTGATGTATATGAACGATGTAAGTGGATTTTTTACGTGTGCTAAAGTCACCTCGAATCACTTTGTGAGTGGGTGTTATGATCGGAGCCTGGATCAGGATCAGAATCATCAATTGACACACCATGTTGTCGTATCCGTATTGAATAGTTTAGACTTCTATCATTCCTATAAATGATAATAACATATGAATATATAATTAAACTACTATATATTTATTATTTATATAATATATATGTAATAATTTTATTAAAAAGTAGTTAATTGACGTTAATAAACTATAAATGTGCTACTTAATGATACCATTATAGTATTATTTATTTAATGACTATAATACTACATTTATTTTTATAATTAATAATAGAATAACCTTGTTGCCAATTGGCTGCCATCACTCCCACGGCGTAAGGAATTTTTATTTCGTTTGCAAAAGAAGTTACAAATAATTCTCTTAAATGCAAACCTAAAATCTTTACTGAAGAGTGCGTAGATACATGGATTTATAGCAGAATTACAATATCCAAGCCAAAATAGAACACTGAAGACTGTTGGATGAATGCAATTCGGGCAAAATGCTCGTACCATGTACATTGTAAAAAATGGTAACCAACACAGTATAAATCCTCCTACTATTATACCAAGAGTTTTTGCTGCTTTTGTTTCCATTCGAAATCTCTTTACCTAAAATTTTCATTGAATATCTATTGATTTATCTGAATAATTAGAATAAATTGGGTGGTTATTCATACAAAATACCTGAGCTTTTATATTTCTTTTGCCCATTTTCATCACACGTGGTGGTTTCTCTTCAATACCAGGAGTTAGTTCACGAAGTGAAACCTCATCTCCAGTTACCTGACTTTCACAACTATTCCGACGACTAGGTCTTCTTGCACTACCAACTCGAACTACACCACCGACCTACATTTAAAGTATCATTTTTAATTTATTGTTTTAATTTTTAATCACAATATTAATTAATTATAATAAATTTTCAAAAATAAAATCCAAAAAAAAACAAAAAAAAATTAAAAAATAATAACTTGATATAAAAAATAAATTCATCGGGAAATTTCTCGGACATTAATTGACTAGTTTATTTAGTTATATAGACATTGATAATTAAAACCACACAAACAAGTCTGCAGGGCTCACTTGATGGCTACACAACTTGATCAAGCTTCGTACTACAATTGACAAAATAAATGTCATTCGCATCCACCTCTTGTTCTATCTGTACTGGTCAATGTGCAGTATTGAATTCACTCAATGTCCATGCACATATAGACGACATATACAATTCAGTTTGTTGTTAAATTGTATCTTTTGATGAACAATTTCTAGACAACTAGATTTTAAAATTTCTACCATCTGCTATATTTGCATATAAATATCGATATATAAAAATAATCATATAAATTCAAATAATAGCTGTAAGAGATTAATTTAGATTAGAAAAAAAAAATGCGAAAACAGAAACAAATACTTGCAACAAAAGAAAATCTTTATGAAAGATATATATATACACCTTAAGATGAGTATTCCTAGATGTAGGGCACAGATGACTTTGTGTTTGTCCATTACTGTTGTAATGTACTGACATTTGTGAACACCTTGACGGAGTACGTTCTAAAGTATTGTATTTAGTGTTGAGAGTTTCAGTGCTAGGATATGATACAGATATTTTGATCTTATCTTTTCGTACAGATGCACTCCGACTAGACTCTGGGCTTTTGGGACTGGTATTATTACCTCCATTGTAAACACTACCTCGGCCTCTGTGAATCCTTAATGTCAATCTTTGTTCGTCAAACCTGTTGTTGTAAAACAATATTATTGAAATAAATCTTCTAATAACTTTACAGTAACAATATGATACATGAAACCACATGATGACTTTTAGGAGTTATAATGATCTCAAAGTAACTATATAGATACATTTAAACTTTGAACTTGAAGTGAAGTTGAGTAAATATACTTCGAGAAGAGTATAATGTATTATATAGTCACTGTTAAAAGTTCAAATCGATTTTAATGAAAAATTTTTATTAACTTCCTATTAAGGAGTTATTCTAATGGAGTTGATTTTTGAAATTCGTAATTTTAATTAAAATTTACAGATTTTAATATTTATTTATCCATCAGAATTAAATACTATAATTAATCATAAATATTACCTTGATCCTAGCATTTTTGATCCTTTGGTCGTTCGAAAACCCTGATTAATAGCCTTAGTCGTTGACACGGCTGCATTATAAATTCTCCAATAAAAAAAAAGCATTACTAGTGTCGGTATGTAAAAAGACCCAAGAGCACTGTAGACAACATAACCGGCGTCATTGGTAAGCTCACATATCCAAGGGCATGGTTTAACCGGAACGAGTATTGTCGTGCTGTTAAACGGTCCGTTTTGTTCAAATGTCAATACGTCATTCTGTTGTGGATGTGACTGTTTAGAAACATACATCATATAAAATTATCAATTATTATATCAACGTTAATTAACGTATCCATAGAAAAGCTTTCATACCCTTTGATCTTTCCAACCAACTAGAGGTGGAAAGCAAATGACAAAGCTTAATACCCAGACGGCTGCCACGAGTAACTTGGCTCTTTTCGGTGACATTATCTGATGCATTAGTTTTTAAAAATTTACTTTTGTCTCAAATAATTTGTAATCAAATTTGTTTGTCAGTTTTAATAAACTAAGCTACTGACATTTACAAATTTATCAAACATATTTTATTTACATTATTTGTTTTTTATATCTTTATTGGGTCAATAGCTTATTGATTTTCGAAAATAAACTTGACAAAAATTTTTAATTATACAAAAAGCTGTGGTTAAATTAATCTTAAGAGAATAGGTTGCTTTTAAATTTAGCATGATAATGGTTAATACAGTTATATTTTATAGAGGCTCAACGCTTAATGAATATTAAATACTTTAAAGTAAAATAATAATTTACCTGAGGATAACTCACGGGTCTTGTAACAGCAAGATATCTATCTAAACTTATTGCACATAGATTTAAAATTGATGCTGTACACATCCACACATCAACAGCTAACCATACAGAGCACCATAAATCTCCAAATATCCAAACCTTTATCAAATAAATACAATAATAACCAAAAATTATTTTTATTCTGAATACAATTGATTGGAAATAAAATATTTTACCTTAAAAACCTCCCATGTAGCGCTAAAAGGAAGAACAGCAACCCCAACAAGAAGATCAGCAACAGCAAGACTGACGATGAACATATTGGTGACGTTTCTTAGTTTGGTGGTATGGTAAACGGCGAGTATTACAAGAACATTGCCAAGAATGACCATAACATCAACAATAGCGAGGACGACGAGGGTTCCAACGATACCCGGTCCTGACCACTCGACGTCCTCATACAATTCGTTACATGCACTGGCGTTGAGATCTCGCATCATTAACAATGACGCTTATCGTCCAACTTTGTTTCGCCCAATTCTTGGTATTCTGACACACGAACATATCGGCAGTTTCGATCCATAACATTTCATTCTTTTCATTTTATATCTGTCTGCGTATTAAGTTTGTTTTTCACAACTTCACTACTTGTCTTTTAGGTTATTTTTTTTTTTAATTAATTTTATTAATAGCTCATTGTTGTTTATTTATTCATTATTGTTTTATGAACAAAATGATTGATTGCAAATAGTATAATATGTATAAAAACAACGCCAATGAATTAAGTTCATTGTACGTACACATTAAGGTATTTATATTTATATATATTATGAATTAAGTGATTTATAATGAGAGGAATTTTCACGACTAATTATTTATGTACAATTAAAAGAATATTAATGATTGTAAGATGATAAATAATAATGATGATGAATTTAAAAATTTTACAGTCCTTCCAATTATTCGAATGGCATTTGAGTGACATTTTCATTTTATTATCCATTATTATTATTAGGTAAGTTTTTATTTATTAGTGTATATTATCATTTTGTTTAATAGAATTCCAATAAAATGGTATTAATATATTATTTCCTGTTTGACGTTGTGATTTTACAAAATAATTTATTTTCCACGAATTTTAGGAGATCCTTCCAAAGCGCATGTATCGCATCTTTTTGATATATCACGATCGTTTTTCACTGTCACCAACAGCTATCTCTTCATAAATATTTTTGATAATCATTAATCGACTTGTGCCTGCTTAGATGCTGAAAATAATTAATAATTTCTTTTATAACCGATTTAACGTTAAAAACTGCATGACAAATTTATTAAAAATAAAAAAAGTAAGTAAAAAAGAGTAAAAGAGGAAAATGGTAGGAAAAAAAGAATGTTTATAGAGACAAAATAGAGCAGAAATGATCAATGAAGGAGAATGCAAAAGCCCAAATGAGCCGGAGGATACTTGAAGCTTGGTCTATATAAATTTTCATTGGTGAGATTTTTTAAGAGACCTCTTTGAAACTCTGTCATATAGATAATACACCATACATATATCTACATCTTTGAATAACATAGATGTCAGTTATCTATGTATATACATACACACACTAGACCAGTAGCAATGATAATAATAATGATATCCGTTAAATTATAATAGATAAAATTTTCAATGAATATTATTTAATAATTAATTGATAATAATTATAGTTATTCATTTTGTTGAATTAATAATATACAAGATAACTTTAGATGAAGTTGAAATAGATAATAATACACTGAAAAAAAATTGACTGTGAACAAGTAATATTTTTTCAATTAAAAAAATTATAATAATTTTGTAGACGAATTTTAAATGCATATTGGTGTAAACATTTTTATTATTAAATACTTAAAGTTGCTCGGATTTGCAGTGTGATGGTTACTTAAAATGATAAAAAGATAATAGATAAAAAAATTTATAGTAACTTTTAATTGTCAATTTACAGTAAAATTAACTAGCAAATAAATTAAAAATTACTAGACTTTTTTACCTATTTTTACCAAAAATAAAAAAAACCTAGTGATTTTTAATTTTTTTTTTGCTGGTAAATTTTACTGTAAATTGGCAATTAAAAATTACTATAAAATTTTCTCCATGCAGAATGATCTGAGTATTGGTTTACTCCAATTTTTCATTAGATTGATAATTTTTTTGACGATCCATGATATCTCAGAAAGTAAGAATTAATTCAAAAAAATTCTACCTTTAATCAATAATTAATGCATCTAATGATTAATACTTCTAAGTAGATTATTTAATGTCACTTCTATTTAAACTTACCATAATCTTAAACCAAATATCAAAATCTATTTTTCAATCAAATATCTCATTCCAAATTCATTTTTATTAATTAAATAACCTTTTTTTTGTTTAACAAAAATTTTTTTTTCAGTGTATCATTATTTAACCTAAAAAGGACAACAAATTTTGAACCCAAACAGTTGTCGTTGTAACTATTGGCCAAGTTTTCGGTAATTCTAACAGGTTGTCGATAGTACATTGAAACAAGTTTATATACGTTTTTTACTGATTTAAAGAAGAAATAATTTTTATTAATCAATGAATACAGATCGATTCGAGTAAGTAGTCAATTAAATTTTAAATTTAGTTACAATTACATACTTAGATAATATGAAAGTTTTAGGTAAACTTGTGAGATTCGATATCACTTCACCCCTATGTATGTATAAAATATAATATAATTGTTAAGTTCTCAAATTTGTAATAATCGTATCTTTAGACACTGCACAAGTTGTGATGAGTTTATGCAAGTTTGCTTCAGCAACTAACGAGCCAATTGTTATTATATTTATTAGCGTCTACACGGAAATCTTGGAGAAATGAGAGATAAAAGAAAAATAATTTTGATTAATTATAACTTGAGATGCTACATAATTGATTTATCAACATATACATCTATACATATTTACTGGAATAAATTAATTAATAAAGTTATATGAATAAAATTTTTATTACTTTCAATGTGCATTATTACTATTATAATAAACTTGTTGCTTGGCTTCTGAAAAGTTATATGATTCATAATGAAAATAAAAAGAAACATATCAAACAACAGGAACAAGTATTATTAGATTTATTTAAATGTTGTGATAAAATAAAATACGTTAACGTAAATACAATTTACATTTTTTTTTTTTCAATAAAAATTTTTTCTTTAATATCTCAAGACTAAAAATATTTCATCTATTTATTTATCATCTACAATTTTATTATATTCATAATAAAAATCAAACAAAATTAAACATTTTAATTCAAAAATATTAAAATATAATCATAATAATTATAAATCTCTAAGTAAAGATGATTTTTAATGGTCGATTTTTTTCAATCTAATGACTTAAGTATTTTATTATATGTAAAAACTTGATAGCCTACCATTATTTATTATTCCACAAGCTGTCATAAAAATTTTTTTTTTCTATCACACGAAAAAAATTTTTCTTATTTTATAATCACATTAAAAAACACATAATCACGAATTAAACTTAACAAAAATGTATGGTTTATATATATCTATATATATATAGATATTTAAAAAGCATAATTTCTAATCACTTGATTACATTGCAGAAGGCGAATGAATAAAATACAAATGAATAATGACTACAAATGTTATCGCGGCAACGATGCTGAGCGCACTGACAAGATCCGGGCGTTCAGTACGAAAAGTGATATATTCGCATGCGCATCGTTCGTCCTCTCGTTGACTCGTATTTGTAGTGAAGCAGTCCTATCCTATCACTGAGTACAGAGAGAGAATCTAGTCTTCCCGGCCGAAAATATCACCACATCGTTTTGCTCCTCTCTCACTTCCTCGCCCTTTAACATTTCTATATCACTATTATCTATACGTCAGATTCATTGACCATTGGGGTTGCACGTTACACTATTTCCCTCGGCACAGATACCTTCTATTATGTGTCTTCTTACTCTTTAACAATTAGACAAAAAGACACTTTTCGACATTCTTTTTTTTTTATTCAATAATAATAATCAATATTTCTTTAATTTTAATAATCAACATTTGACAGGTTGACAATTTTACTCAATCTTTTGACGTTTTAATGATTTAATAATTGACACTTTGATATTTATCAATATTAATATTAAATTGAATCAATTCACCCACTCATAATGATGGTGTTAGAGAGATTTTCTTCAACTAAAAAGACAAAGATTGAGTGAAAAGATTTATTTGGCCTTTTAACATTTACGTCGATAGTTATTATTATTAAATAAAAGATGTAGAGGAAAATATGAGAAATTGTTTTAAAATTGGATTTTAAAAAAAAGTTGTTTCATTTGTTGAATGATGATAATAGTGGTCATACGAAAGTTGATAATGGCTATATATAGTCTGTTAAAAGCGAAAGAAGGATAAATGAGGGAAAAATAGAAATGAGTTGACAATTGCGTGGGATGTAATACATGTACGTTGATCAATTGCTACCACTAGGATAACTTGGTCGCTACACTACACTAGAAGTTACATATACATACATTCAATTCTATCCCGGGAAGGACGAAAAGAGTAGGAGTGACGCGCGCGCACAGATGAAATGAAACAGGACATTGGAGAAACAAGAAGTTAGCTCAATGATTTAAGACATTTCAAACCATTTCTAGTCATTTTATCTTATTATGTAATATAAACACTCTACATTATGCATTTTCGAATTGCAATATCATTCAATATCATCTCAATAAATTAAGATTTCAAATATTATAAAAATATTTTTTCATCATTTGTATCAAAATAATGTTATTTTAATTTTATTATCAGTAATGGAGAAAAAAAAATTTAATTGTCAATTTTTATCTGTTTACACTGTAAATCCAATTGCATTCTTATTAGACATTTAAATGTGTTTAATATAACGTCATCCATTTGATTAACAGTCTTGTCACTTTTAACACATTTAGAAACGCATTAAAAGTGACTACGATGTCTATCAAATGAGTGACGTCATATTTAACACGCCTAGATGTGTAATAATAATGCATTTAATTCGGTCTGTTCACTGTAAATCTGAGAAAATTCAAGTGTTAAGTAATGAAACACTTAAAGTGTTTACAATGTTGAACGCCATAAATGGCAAGAAAAACTTTAAATGTTTAGTTTTTAAACATAAAGATTTGCAGTGTTTTTTGGTTGTTAAAAATGTTCTTTTTTTTAAATAAAATAAATTAACAGATCAATCAAAGTATTGTTCGTCTTAGGTAATTTTTAATTCAATTTCTAATAAAACAGACCGAATTAATTTTTACACCCAATGTAATAATGATTTTTTTTGTCAATCAAAAAGATAAGTAAGAAAATAATTTATTAAAAATAAAGAGTGAATGATTAAAAGGTATTTTAACAGTTGAACAGTCTTTCTAAAGGTGTACATACTAGTCGACGAAAATAAAGAATTATATGCATATATATATGTATATAAGACGAAAGAAAGTGCATTAGTATAATTAATGTAGCTGTAACATAAAATTAAAAAAAAAAAAAAACGAGAAAGTTCGTACTTTTGAAAAAATAATACTTTCATTTTAAAGTTTATTTATCATCTAGACTTTCGTCATTTTACTTTGTCAAATTACAGAAAAAAAAGTTTATATTTACTAATTTATTTTTCGCGGGTATGTTTATTAATTTAATTAATTATCTAATTAAAAACATTTCCCAATATTTTTGACATCAACGCTGCAAATCCAAGTGTGTTATTCTTGAAGACAATTTTAATACCGTGAGCAAACTATAAATTTTCCACACGCTTTGAAGTGTGTAAAAAGCGTCCACAAACCATGTATAGTTTGTTTATAGATATTTAACATTAAA